AGTGGTACCTGTGTAGTAGAGAAGGTAACATATGGCGAAGGGATTGTAAAGCATGATTCGTGCGGAAATGAGGAACCTACCAAATCTCAGAGCAGCGCATACAGATCGAGATTTCCTTTTTATTCAAGTCCGAGGTGCGCATAAGAAATTCAATGAATTCATTTGTTCCGAAAAGGACAGCATACAAAAGACGATACACGTGCATATTTGTAATGGCTAAAGAAGAGAACAGTAAAATGATAGTATAAATTTCAAAATAATTTTTGTTTTTTTTTAACTATAAACTTTTTTTTTGTAGGAGAACATATAGTGGCATAAGTTGAGGAAAGGATGATTATTTCCCTTCCGGGCGACCCGAAATACATGTATATCTCTATGCTAAATACCTGTTAGAAAAAAAAAAAAAAAAAAAAAAAAAAAAGCTACGTGACGCAAGAAGCCGCCCGATTCAAAGGGATCAGCCTTATCCATCCATCCATCGGGATGGACGGATGAGTCTGGCGAAAGCATGCATAGCCAGGTCTTTTTTAAACATTTATTTGACAGAGTTGTATATCTAAAGCTTTATTCTTGCAAAAATATTCCAAAAGCCGGGAATCATAATGATAAAAAAAAAAACAAAAAAAAACTGCGCCGACTTTACTTATTAAGATGAACAATTTAATCAAACGTTTCGTCTCCCATGCGGGAAACATCATCAGTGAAACCTTCAAGCATGGAATGAGCGAAAAAACTTCAACACTTATTCTTAAAAGCAACATACCTTCTTAAAAGCAACATACACAGCTCTCAGGCGCCCGTTCCCGTGTTGAGCGGCGACGCCGTCGCCGTAACAGCGCGTTGCATTATGGGACATTTCCCATAATGACGTCACGAGGGTAAACTTTTTACGCTAAATTTAACTGGAAATTTTCCCGCTGGATTTAGCGGAGAAAGTTTTGCGCTAAATTTAGCGGAAAATTTTTCCTCCAAATTTAGCGGGGAGATTTTACCCTCGTGACGTCACGTGAATGAATGTGACGTCACGTTTGACGTTACGAGGGTAACATTTTTTTCCGCTAAATTTTTCTGCTAAATTTAGCGGGAAAATTTACACGGTCTTTTTTACCGCAAAAATGAACTAGGCGTCGCCGAATGCTCATTCTCCGCCCAAAGGTAGAGCTAGAGGTCACAATCAGATGCCAAAGTTTCAGCCCGATCCGATAACTTAATCAAAAGTTATAAGTGATTTTCTGAAATTTTCAATGGGAAAATGGCGGCCGACGGCGTTTTCAAACACATGGGGCTCTATGGCACCAGAAACCGAAAACGGGCGAAAATGGGCTCCATTTTCCCATTGAAATTTTCAGAAAATCACTTATAACTTTTGATTGAGTTATCGGATCGGGCTGAAACTTTGGCATCTGGTTGTGACCTCTAGCTCTACCTTTGGGCGGAGAATGAGCGTTCGGCGATGCCTAGTTTATTTTTGCGGTGAAAAAGACCGTGTAAATTTTCTTTTGTGACATATTAGCGCACGCGACGCGAGAGAGTTTTAGAATAGCGTTTATCCGTCGCGACACAAAAGCCCAAGCATCTCGCGCTTGCGACGCCACCAAGATACAGTCACAATTTTGATATCACACTCGAAATGCTGTAACTTTAGAAAAAAGCAAGTTTTTTGGTTCAGAGTAGCATTTTAGATTTGTTTAAACATGAGAATGCGACGCCTGCGGTTGACCGGTCGTGTCCGCTTGCGTCGCCTCGGCATGAGAGGTCTCGTGTACTGGGGTGCTATGTTGCGCTTTTTGGACCCCCAGGAGACTAGGGAGAAGGAAGTGACGTCAGCGATACAGCAAACGCAGATTGGATGTTGACAGAAGAAAACAAACTCAACATCCAATCTGCATTTGCTGCGTTGTTGACGTCACTTCCTTCTCCCTAGTCTCCTGGGAGTGCAAAAAGCGCAACATAGCCCCCCTGACCTTCGCACATCGTACCTTCGCCGAGAAATGTTCGCGCGTCGCAAGCGTCAAGTTGCCGGTGATCGTTGCCAAACCGAGTACAATGTCGTCCCGTATTGAAAATCGCAGTCGCGAGGATGCCGCCGACGTCGCACTCACGACGCCGCCAAAGCAGCCGCCAACATAATCCTGGAAGCCGCCATTTTTTTTTTTTTCAACTCTGCTCGTCTTGGCTTGGCTTTAGCCAACTTGTCATCACGAATCCTCCTTGGCGAAGCGCAAAGACTCTTTGCGTACGCACGCTATTTCTGGGAAATAGCGCACGCTAAAATTGCGCACGCAAAACCTGATTTGCGTTCGGAGCATGCGCAGTGGCGACGACGCTATTCTTCGCGTACGCAAAGCTTTAGCGTGCGCTGTTCTAAAACTCCCTACTTTCCTTGCTAAATTTAGCGGGAAAATTCCCGAAAATTTCCCGCTGAATAGGAGGGGAGGGGAAGGTATGGAGGGGTAGGAGGGGCACACCCTCCCATCATTCTCCTCAAAAGCTGCGCTCTAATTCGGCATCACAGAGAATTGTAAACGTCTTTCATCTTTCCCCTCACTATCCCTAAATCTCAGAGCTACTACCCCAGAGCTACTACCGGTGAAGCCTCTTACAGTGAAGTATCAACTGCTCATCTCTGGGGCTGCAGCCTTTGTCTAGAAGGCGAACAATTGATAGAATTAGAATGTTACACAGAATTGTTAATGAGGACTGTGGAATTGAGCGAAGTAAATATATTTTATTCTCTACTAGTACACGCACCAGACGATCTCATTAATTAAATATTGCTCCTTTTCAGTCTCATACTAACCGCTTTAAATATTCGTTTTTTTTTCACGTAGTATTGAAATTTGGAATAATCTTAATGGGCAAATGCATACTGTTCCATATGGTGATTTTATTTTCGCGGTTCTGCCTATGTCTTTTCACTAATACATGCCGTAATCGTTTTCAAGTTCTGATATGTTCAAGGGCATATTGTAGTGTTTGACTGTTATTTTGTTTCTGCATTTATACCACTCCTGCAATGACTTCAGAGGTCGCAGTGAGCGTAAATAAAATAAATAAATAAATCTCAGTGAAATGAAAAAGGAATTAGAGCAGAGCAGGGTTTTGATGCGAGTTATATCGGAGGAAGAAATGTAATACAGGACTGATGTATGCGGATGACATTGTACTCATTACAGATAAGCAGCATACGTTACAGGAACTAGCTGGAATATGTGGGAGGAAGGGGACACCTTGGGCATGAGTTTTAGTAGTGACAAGTCTGAAGTAATGGTGTTTAACGACGAAAAGAGGGAATCCCTAAGAATACAAGACATTGTAATAGACCATGTAGGAAAATACAAATATCTGGGAGTCTGGCTCAGTAAGGGAAGGAAATATCTACAGGAACATGAGAATATAATCAGAAAAGGGAAAAGAAATTCATCTATTGTGAAGCTCAAGGCACTATGGAACTAAAATAGATATGAAGTGGTCAGAGGTATATGGAAAGGAGTGATGGTATCAGGACTGTCTTTTGGCAATGCAGTACTGTGCATAAAATCAGAGGTTCAATCGGGATTAGAAATTCGACAAAGAAGGCTAGGCAGATTGGCACTGGGAGCACATGGAAAATCACCAAATGAGGGAGTACAGGGGGGCATGGGATGGTCGTCTTTTGCGAGCAGGGAAGCAATTAGTAAGTTGATATTTGAACAAAGGTTGATTGAAATGGATGATACGCGGTGGGCACGGAAGGTATTCAAGTCTTTATACATGAAAAGTTTAAACATAAAATAGACAAACCGAACCCAAAAGCTTACATTTAAATACCTACACACTGGTGATGGGGCTGAGGAGACTACTTCAGTGAAAAAGGGGGTGAAAGAGGCAGAGAGGAAAATGTGGGAGGGAAGAATGCAGGATAAATCAGCCTTAACAGTGCACAGGTCATGAAAGCAGGATATAAGAAAGGAAAATATGTTTTCCAATTCACTGAGAAGTTCTTTGCTGTTCGAGGCGAGAACGGAAGTTTTGAGGATGAGTACGTATAGGGCTAAATTTCAGGAGACAGGCACATTATGTGCCGCCCGCCATAACGATAGCGACACACTAGAGCACTTGGTATTGAAGTGCACGGGGCTTCGCCCTGCCCTCCCTGGAGGGGTAACAGATTTGGCCGGGGCCCTGGGTCTTACTTGTGACGATGGGAGGACGGAAGAGAAAAGGATTACAGTGACAAAGAGGCGATTAGAAGATTGGTGGAAATTATCTAGAGAAAATTCAATGATGGACAACTAACTAGCACAGCTGGGGAGAGGCGAGACAGAGTAAAATTGGGACTTCCTCCCGCGTGGCTCTGGCCCAAAGTCTCAACCCTGTCTCCCAGTGGGTCTGGTGCTGGGGTAACGCCGACAAGGTTTGACCAGAGGAAAATTGGCAACTCCCTCGCTGGGGGCAAGAGTGACGTTTTTAGGTTTTATTGCCCGACCCCCCAAAGGTCATCCTGGTGAAATTTCCCACTGCCTGGTGATAGTTAGGGGGAGAAAATTGGTCTTAGAAGGGTGGAGGAATCATGTGTTTTTGTCTTTTTAGCTTTAGGCTAGGTGGCGCAAGCTACCGCACGTTGCAAAGGGTATAGCCATTAACATCCATCCATCCATCCAGCCCTGGAACATGCCCAGCCTGCTTTCAACCAATGGCACCTCCTTATTTGTCTCCTATACATCCCAATGAATGGCCTAACTCCCTCTATATACGATTCTGGTTATCATCTATCCGTCCATCCAGCCCATGACATCTGATACCGTGGAAACAGGCATGTTCTTGGGGGTCAATATTACTCTTCCACATTTACACTGAAATACTTGAAAACAGCATACTCACTACCACAGCATTGTTTAATTTTCTTTTTTGGCTGCATTCCATCTTCCGGTTCCCGTGCCTCTAGAAGTCACAAAGCAAGCCATCCGGCAGCTCGTGATACTGTCGGTTACTTCAACAAGACCAAGCCGGACCCGGAAGAATTCAACAAAGGCATTTACTCGTTCAAAATAACAGTCTACGCTTCAGAATTCTAGAGGACTCGCTTGCACCGGGGGTACACCTGCAAGGAGGAGAAGAGGGAACACATGATCAACAGTTCTACTCTCGTACACTTCGTGACTGGCTCAAAATGACGGACACATCCTAATAAACGAGGCAGCATCACCTGAGTCTCGAGCCCCACAAGCCACGACAGACACCTTCGACGGCAAATGGGTCCCAACGAGACAGATCGGCTGTGTCATACATAGCACGCAGGGATGGGCAGTATTTCAAATACAAGTATCTGAAATACGTATTTCAAATATTTTGTGTATTTTGCATTTGTATTTAATTACAAATTGGGTAATGTATTTGCCGTGTGTATTTAAATACTAAAACGCGAGTATTTCAAGTACAATTGTAATTAAATACAATTTTGTGGGCGAAAATGCATCCCTCAAATTTATTGTCACTGTCCAGAGCAGTAAGAAAACTGTTCTGCACCGAATGCAGTGTCTCTCAATCAAGCACAAGCGTTTAGTGACTTTCTGATTACGGTGCTAGTCCAGGGCAAGAATAGTGACGAAATCGACGTTCACAGGCAGACTTGGCTAAATAAGTGCCTGTGACAACTTGTTATGCTTTCCAGCCTGATTTCCATCCATATTTTTGCCTGGAACATTCTAAATGCGCGGATCGTCCAGATTCTCTAGCTAGTGCTGCACGTCTTGGTCGTCTCGGTTCTTTGTTGGTCTATACCAAAATGTAATCGACAAAAAAAGCTGCTTGAAGCTCTCTACTTTTTTTACCTATTACGTCCAAGATGATTACATTTTTTTGTGATTATATTTCTATTACGTTACTACAGCCTCGCACACTAACTCCTGAGTGTGCGATGCAAAATTAAAATGAGATACCCAGAAACCCGTTGCAGGTGCCCTGAAGTCGCTGACGCAAATTTTGAGGAATATATTTGGAAAAGTATTTGGAGGAGACCAAATACATTTGGTTGTATTTGTATCTTGTACTTAAATGCTTTTTTGGAAATGTAATTAGATTTGTAATGAAATACATTTTTGACGAAGTATTTTGTATTTGTATTTCGATACATATTTGCATGTATTTTGCCTATCCCTGATAGCACGGAATGCTGTCACAGCCACATGCTCGTGGTTTTGACAGCGTTTCACACAGACTATGAAATGGTGTACTGAAGAACCCCCCAAATGGGAACGAAGTATTAGATTCATTATCAGAGAACAAAACTGGCATAACCTGCCACAGATTAATTACCACAAAGTGAGGCAGAAATATAAATATGTGCGTGCAAGCAATGCACTTCAATACAAGCGTGTTGTAAGAAACTTGATGGCATAGAGTATTGCAAAAGAGACTGAAAAATATAGTAGTTTTTTTTATCTTGAAAATTATGCCGGGACAAAATTGCTCCAAGGTCAGTGGAGTTGCGTGCAAGTACACCTGGAGGCTTCCTATACCAACGTACTGCAACCAACGCAAGGAGCCACAGGACATCTGACTTCCCGGATAAACAGAACAACATGCAGAGCATGAAGTTACGCTAGATTGGTTAACCGGCTCATAACATTTTCTGCAGCAGAGCGAAGCAGCGTAAGCTCGTGTAAAGGAAGAAACATTCAAAGCCCGCTATGCTGCCCCTTTCAGGTTAAGCCTTTTAAAAGTTGCGTCGCTCACTGTTCTCTATGACAATTGTTGGATCACGCTTCCCTGCTTGGTAGCTGCAGTGCGAGAGCGGCCACCGGAAGTTCCGTATTGACCATCTTGCGTCCACTGGAAGTCGACCTTTGGGAGCATTGCAGAGGCTGGCCGGCACCATGCCGGAAGACACATTTTCTCTTTGTTCGCTGTCATTGGCCAAATATTTTTAAAACCTTGTGTAAACGGTTGTAGTTACGTTTGAGAACATGTGGAAATATTTACGAAAGTGCAGCACCAAGTGAAAAAGGCAACTCGCCGAACGCCAGCCTTGCGGCAAAAACGCTGAAGTACTGTGTCTCTGACGTGTCACGCTTGGATACCGATCGAGAGTTATATCATATCCACACTCTGTGGATATGTTTACATATCCACAGAGCTAACATACATATCAAGAATTAACATATCCACACTCTGTGGATACGTTAACCCTTCAGAGAAAGTTCTGAAGCTGTGTCGAGCATAGACGTCTTTGTCGCATACTTATCAGTCGCAGAGTTCTGGATCGTCCACCTGCTCCGGTAAGCTGCACTGATTAGTGGTTACTATTATGCATTATGGATCCAAATTGCATCATATGGAAACACAGATAGAGCAATGCAGTTAAAGGAACACTGACACGGTATTTATGCTCGCCAAGGCTTTAAGTTGTACATGACATATGAGAGCCTAACTACACAGAACACAATTTTCGGATCGAAATTCATATTCTTTCTGCCCGAAAACTGGCCGGGTTGAATTGCATTCACTCTCTCCTCCGTGGTCACATGCCATTCTCTATGGTTTAGACACACTCATCAAATATAATCTAAGTCGTAGGTCATCGAAGGCTAACACTCAATATTAAAAATAGAAAAACAAATATGATACTCGTTTTTTTGTGGCTTGTAAGTGGCTGTAAATACATTGATTGAAAAAAAAAAAAAAGTTGCACAGAGAACTGGAAGCACTTTGTGCACTCTCTGCGTAATTCTTAACATGGTGTCATATCGCAAGAGTCGCGGGCTGGACGGCTGAATTTTAGCGGCTTAAGTGAGGGCGGCAGACGACAGGTGTGGGACCTCTACTTCAGAATTGTCGTTCGCGGTGCCGGCGAATCTTTCAGGTTCGAGAGAGAAATTTTTTTACCGATCAGAACAATTAGGATTTATTCCACACGAAGCGCCTAACCACTGAACTGATTTGCACGAAGACGTCGCCGAGTCGTTGCACCTTTTTCAGGCTGAAGACATCGCTCATCTTATGAACACGAATTGGTAAGAGCATGAAGAATGCACAAATGTTAAGCACGAAGTGCTGGACTTGCGTTTTTTGTTACCTTCGCACACCTGTAATGACGAAGAAAAAAAGAAAAAGAAAATGTGGTCGGATGTAGCCACATGAACTTCAAGCAACTCTCAATCCTCCTTTAAATTTTTTCTTCCTTCACAGTTCAATTTCGGTTACGAGCATTCACATTTTTTTTAAATTTTATTCAAGGTGTATGCGACGCTGCAGCAAAATATTGATTGGCTAGTCTTCTGACACCATATTAAATCGCCTGGCAATTTATTTTAAGAGCTTCTGAGGGGGTGTCAGTGTCCTTTTAAGTGTGCGTTAAAAATCACATCGCAGCTTGTGAACAAAGCAAGTGTTCGGGAGATGGTTCGAGAAAGCTAGATTTCCATTCCCTTCGACTGAATAGACCCTTTCCGAAATTCAGTTTTGCCACTTTGATCACTATCATCATGTGAAAAATGCCATATGTGCCATACTAATGGCCACCTTCTGTTTACTGATGAAGGAACATGCTGAAGATACTCCTAAGCTTAGGATTCAAGGCCTATACATTAGAGACGTTAGCACGATGTGAAGCAGGAATTGAATGCAAGAGCTGTATAAGTGTTCATTCCTATAACTCGGGCTTAGTAAATCTGTTAGTAGCACAAAGTCGACTTCAAAGCCCCTTGATGTATACAACTTTATCAAGGCGTTTATCTGGGTTGGCACTTCATTCTGACTGGTTGGATCTTTGTGGCCACTGACACTGAAAAAGGCGATTGAGAAAAAACTGTAGAGTGAAGAGCACATTCTCATTTGTCGTTGACTTGCGAAAGTGACGGTGCCCGATAAAATACTGCGGGCTACAGGTTCATTGCCGCCATTAGTACAGCAACTGCCATTTCAGCCACCAGATGGCACTGAATTTCGGAAAGGGTCTATTGATTGCTAGAAATGTCTCAAAGGCAACAAAAAATGATCACCGCCACTGCTGCGCTGTCCCCCCCCTCCGTCGGCATGGAATCAAACTTGTTTCTGACTTGCGAGGGCCGCAAGTTATAAATACAGTCGTCAGAGTAAATTAAAACACTGCTCCAGAGAAACATACACCTCGACACGAGAAACACCTTAAATATCATCCACATGACGTCGATTCTTCATAATTATCTAAGTGTGTAAAGGAAGAGAGAGAGAGAACTTCGGCATGGCAATTGTCTTCCGATGACGCCACGAGACTTGTGTTTGACCAGTTGTGCCTCTTTTCTGTGATGCTGCACTTTCGTAAAAATTTCCACGTGTTTAAAAGAAACTACGGCCGTTTTCACAAGGTTTTAAAAATCTTTCGGCGAATGATGGTGTACGAGCAGAAAAAGTGTCTTCCAGCATGCTGCCGCCCAGCCTCTGCAATGCTCCAAAAGGTTGACTACCGGTGGATGCAAGATGGCCGTCCGGTGGCCACACCTGCAGAGCAGGAAAGTGCGATCCAGCAAATACCATTGAGATCATTGAGAAGGGCAGTCCAAACCAGCTCGCAAAACGGTCGTGCGGGAACTACGGGAGCCGGAAGTGACGTTTCCTGTGACGTCAACGGTGACATTTTCCAGCTTCCAGAGCCCAAACTGAAAGTTGAAGATATTGAATTCTCCCGGAGCAGCGGAGCAGCGAGGGAAGGCCATATTTTCCCAAGGGAAGGTCACCCTCATTGCAAACCAGAGTAGTAGGGTGGGTAGTAGGGGGGTGCACTTATTGCTTTTCGGGAACCCTACAAAAGGACAAAGGGAGGCTTAAGAAGCTGTTACTTTTGTTGTACTCTCCCCCTCGAAGTCACTATAAAAAGTTCCACAAAGGGGGCTTTCCCTCCCTCTCAGGCCCCTAGAGACTACTGTCACCTAGGGTGGCCTTCATTAGTGAAGCAGGGAAATGCAGCACTTAGGCTTTTCTATCTAGGAACATGCGTTTTTCCCTTTCCAGCTCAACCTCCCTCCCCTCCGCCCGTCGCAGGTGCGCTGGCGGCGGGCGTCCACACGCATGCGCACACATTCTCTCCGTTCCAATCTGCGGAAATTAAAAAAAAAAAAAGGGGGGATTTTGTTTTAGGGACTGTTTCGGACGACGTTCTGCGGGCTGGTTTAGATCGCCCTGTACCGCTGAAGGAATTCCAATCCGTGTGAGCGGCAACGGGTACGCGGCGCCCGTCCCGCCGGACCGATCGAGAGGAGTGGGGTAGAGTCAAATGCACCGGTCCGCGAAGTCCCGAGGACTGAGCCAAGGCGGTTCGGGGGGCTCAGCCCGCCGTAGATCGAGCGGCCCCGAAACCTGCCGACGCGTACGAGGCAGACCCCCAGGAAAGCTGACGGGTCTGTCGCTGGGACAGCGTTTCGGGTGCTCCTCGTCCCTGCTCACCGGAGAGCGTTCACTTGAGCTCCTTGAACATGTCCTTGGCCGCGCAGTGGTCGACGCAGTGCAGGAAATCGAACAGCTCCTCGGTGCACGTCTCCAGGGTCTGGGAGCGGCTGTTGACGCGGTCGTTGCACTCCTGCAGCTTGTCGCCCAGCGCCGAGCAGTGGCCTCTGCACTTTTCGCGCAGGGCGTCGATCGGGTCGACCAGGTCCTCTTCTTCTTCAGGGGACTCCGCGTGCACCTTCGCCTTGTCCATGGTCCTTTGAGAGCCGCCGCGACCTAGCACGCACGCCGAACACGCCGCTGACCAACGACCGAGAGGGCACCGTGACCTTCCCAATGTGGTGGGAGGAACGTTGTAACGCCGCCAGAGTCAGCGGGCCCGCTGCAAACCAGAAAACATGACTGCTCTTCAGCAAGCTGTCATGCCGTTTTTATCACGGTTCGGTATCTTGAGACATACAATCTGACGACAAAAATATTTTTAACTGAATATAAACTTGCCCGATATGTCAAGGTTTTTCGAGCCAACGCGAGCCATATCCAATTATAATCCCAAGTAGTCCAAGTCCGAAGTGGCCGAAGTGGCAACAAGTCCAACAAGTGCTTGTTGACAAGAGTGAAACGAGAGTGTTGACAAGCATCCCAGGCGCTTGAGGTTCGAAGAAGTGTGGTCCGAGCCTCCGGAGTCCAGAGGCCCGGTTTTCTGCGACTGCCCCGACCTCACTGCCATGGAGGAGCCGATGGACGAAGAGCGCGGGGGCTGGGAGGAAGGCGACTCCCCGCTGGGCGAGGACCAGGAGGCCCTGGTAGAACGCATCCAGCAGGAATGCATCGAGAAATTCAGCAGCCTGGACTTTATCATGGAGCCCGGCATCTTCGCCCAGCTCAAGCGCTACTTCCAGGCCGGGGGGAACCCGGAGCAGGTGGTAGACCTGCTGCTCGAGAACTACCAGGCCGTGGCCCAGACGGCGAACCTGCTCGCCGAATGGCTCATCATGGCCGGAATGAAGATCACCGAGGTCAGTACCCACTCAGCTGCGCAGAGAGGGACGCTAAAGGGCGCCACAGCCTGCAGAGTTGAGGATGCTTTGACGGGCACCTCGGTCGAGGTTTCGAAAAGCCACTACGTTAGGTGTCGCACCTCATTCACATGAAGCAGCACTTTGGCGACATGGGCTGCCAGGCTGGCGATAGGGCGAAGCTCGATATCATAGCACAGATCACTCGCTCCTGGCACATTGGGATGGAAGTCATGCCCGTTTCTCGTAAGACGCGCCCATGTAATGCTTGCATCGAGCATAAAGTGCCACTGTAGCGTTCGATCATGCACGAACCACGGTCCTTTACAGGCCTGGGTCAGTAAAATAAAGTACCAGCTGGAATGACGTCCTGATAGAGGTTGGCACAACTTGCACACAGCCTGAGGCAGTCAAAAAAGCGGAAGCCCGTACAATCCAAGTGCTGGCTGCCTCCTCGGCTGTGCGTTAACAGGCGTTAAACAGGAATGAGACTAGTTAAGACAGGCAACTGATCAAATATTGATTGGAAACTAAGCAGAATGGAATTACTAAATAAAGGAACGGGAAATAAGGATAGCATAACATCATACTGCCCAATAACAGTAACTTCGGGCCTGTACAGACTAGCGATGCAGGTAGTAGGAAGAATGGGCGGAAAACATTTTAGGTGAGATACAGAACAGGTTTCGAAGAGATAGAAGATTAGACAATAGCTTATTCATCACCACTTAATGTATAGAGGTGGCACCGACGATTAAAAACCCTTATGGATAGCGTTTCTAGACATTAAAGGACTGTACAACAATGGGAGTCAGGAAAAAGCTGAGAGAGTATGATTCAGATGCACATTTGATTACGCTTTAGAATAAGCATACTGTCTGACGGAAGCGCTGAACAAACAGGAAAAAAGTAGACGAAGACATGGCGCACTCACAACTGAAGGTTTATTGAAAAAAAACAACATACTATTGATGCCGCCTGTCTGGCTGCTCGCACAGGAAGAAAAACTCTATGTGTCAGGTGTAGTGATAGCACGCTGACACACGAAGAGTCCAAGGACTAAGCTATCAGTTGCGAGTGCACTTCCTCTTTGTCTACTTCTTCGTCCCCGTTTGTTCGGTGCTTCCGTCCAATGACGTACCAACTAGCCCATCTTTCAATTTTAAAACAGGTATACCGTACATAAGTAATAAGGTTGTCATAGCATGGGAAGCAGAAATGACGGAACTGATAGAAATAAAAAGATGACTCGGGCGGGGTTGTCCTTTATCACCTCTACTTTTTTTTATGATATACCTGAGTAGAATGGAATAGAAATTAGAAGAGTGCACTTAGGATTTGATTTGTCATATAGAGGGAGAAAAGTCAACCAAGTTATTCTAGGAATGTTCTATGCAGACGACGTTGTACAGTTAGCAGATAGCCGGGATAGGTTACAGGAACTGATTAAGATCTGTGAAGAGGAAGGAGGCTCTCTGGGCCTGAAGTTCAGTAGCGACAAGTCGGGAATAATGAGAAAAGGGACGCGCTGCAAATTCAAGACGTTTTAATAGAACACACAGAGAAGTATAAATACCTAGGAGTATGGCTAAACGAGGGAAAGCGATACTTAGAAGAACAGGAAGAAAAAATGCTAAAGAAAGGAAGAAGGAATGCAGCAATTATGAAGCATAGGGCACTATAGAATTGCATCAGATGTGAAGTTGTTAGGAAAGTATGAAAAGGAGTCATCATGCCGGGGTCGTCTCTAGGCAATGCGGTATTGTGCGTGAAATCCGAGTTCAAGTCGAGTTTAGAGACCCGGCAGAGGAGCGTGGGCAGACTGGCATTGGGGGCACATGGGAATACAGCAAATGAAGGAGTGCAGGGGAACTTGGGCTGGGCATTTTCGGAGGCTAGAAAGGCGATTGTAAGATGAAATTTGAACAAAAGCTAGACATAATTGAAGATACACGATGGGCAAGAAAGGTATAGACCGACAGGCTGTTTACAAACAAGCCCGCGTTTGCCCACACCAGGTGTGGGCACTGCGCGTGCGCAGAAACCAGATTCGCGTGAGGCGAAGCAACTGCGCATGCGCTATGCCGACAGCAGCGCCACCGCAGAGGCGTGACGTCAGAGCCGCGTGTTGGTCTATACGAGCATCTATACATGAAAAGTCTGAACACTAAATGGACAAACCAAACCCAAAAATTGAAATTCAAATACAAACAGTCAAGTGTTGGGCCAGAGTAGACTACCTCTGTGGAAAAAGAAGTAAAAGACGCTGAGTAAAATGTGGGAGGAAAGAATGCAGGGAAAATCTGTTTAAACTATGTATAGGGTACAAAAACAGGAAATAAGGAAGAAGGTATGATAATTAATGGGGGAGCTCATTGTTATTTGAGGCTAGAACAGGGGTATTGAGGACTAGGACAAATAGGACAATGTATGAGGAAATGGATATGTGGTGTGCTGTATGCCAAGGGGAAGACGAGACAATAGAACATGTGGTGTTGAGGTGCACAAGGTTTGCTCTCGCCCTCCCGGAGGGGGCGACTGATTTAGCTGGAGCGCTGGGCTTTGCAGACGAGAATGGAAGAATGGATGATAAATGCATTCTAATAACAAAGGAGATTGGAAGACTCACAGAAATTATCTAGGAAGAATTGAATGGCGTACAACTAACACAGCTAGGGACAGGCGGGACACAAGAAAATTGGGACCCCCTCCCGCGTGGCTCCGGCCCAAAGTCTCAACCCTGTGTCCCAGTGGGCTCGGTGCTGGGGTAACGCCAACTAAGTTTGACCAGAGGAAAATTGGCGACTCCCTCGCTGGGGGAAGAGGCGAGGGGTGATGTTTTTAGTGTTTTTGCTCAATACCCCAAGGTGATCCTGGTGATATCCAACACCACCTGGTAATAGTTACAAAATGGCAGAGGGGAAGCAAATTGGCTTAGAAGGGCAAAAGGAGGAATCATACTTTGGGTTTTTAGTTTCTGGGCGAGGTGGCCCAAGCTCCAGCCCATTTTAAAGGGTACAGTTGTTAGCATCTATCCATCCATCCATAGTAAGTATCTGTTCACGCGTGGTAACAGAGTGTCTGAGACATAGAGTTATTAAAATGTACGCTAGAGGTTCAACTGGCGCTAGTGTCTATGCGGCTTCCGGGAGGCAAATTGAAGCAGACAACAACCAGTTTACTTTTGCGGTGCTCCTGTGCATTCCCATGGGAAAACGCGTGTGAATTTTGTCTCTTCGCCGGAAAATGACACGAATAACTTTTATTATTTCGGTTGTACCGGATAGTATGCACCTTTATTAATATTGTGAAAGTGTAATTGCTTTAGTCACAGCATTTTTCTTTACCACTGAACGATTTCAAACTTCGCTATGTTTCAGGCCCAAACCTATGTTCCATGGCAGGTATGTAAAAATGAGCGACGATTCTAAGCAAAATAACAATCGAAAGGAATGTAGAGTGTGTTCAAGGTTCGCTAGCATTCCGGTGGCGCTTATATATTGCTAATATGCCCGTTGAAAATGAATCCGTCGTGCATCTTTGCGATCTGTTAAAAAAAATAAAGTATGTCGGCTACGAAAGGTGTTGTTTTATTATTTCCTATGTCGGGGCAGTTTGATTCGTGCATCTGTTCTCTGGCTTCTCCCTATTTGTAAAGATTTGGAGCGTGCGGGTGATGATTTGAACCCAGAACACGCACCTTCGCACATATTCGGGAGCAGTAAGAATAAAGCAGTACTTATTTATTGCAAATCTGACTATATTACGTGGCTTTCAATTTATTTTTGATCGTCTGTATGCACAAGGAGTTACTTATCCAGTGTTACTGCATAGTTCTTGCCGTCTCTCTTGGTTTTCCACATGTCCTTCGTTCGTTTGGCACGTATATCCCCCATGCTGGAAAGCACCGACGCCGTGTTCGCGCTAACAGTGTCCAACAGTGCACATAATTACATGTACGAAGCGGTTTTAGCGCCGTTTTTCGTGCCACGAATTTCAAATAAAAACGCTGTAACTGACCAATTATTTAATCTGCGTGACTGAGAAATGTTCCAAGCTACCTAGAGCGCACAAATTGTTTGTGATATTTGCTGTTATAATCGAACGCAGAAAAAAAAAACACTCGCTTTTTCCCATAAAAATGCATTACCGGAAGTCAATTTCGGACTGGTTGCTGTCTGCTTCAATTTGCAGCAGCACACTAGCGCCAGTTGAACCTCTAGCGTACATTATAATAACTCTATGGTCTGAGAGAACCAAAAAAAGGTCTAAAATAGAAGAAAAATGCAGCTCCTGCTGTCCTATCAAGAGTGCTTTCTTTTAGCTTTCTTGTTCCCGTCTTTTCTCCAAAAATTTTTATCCAGCAATGACATTCTGCCAGCTTTGCACCTGCGAGCAACGTAAAAAAGCACAGTAACGCGCCTGAGAAATATTCAGTTTTGATCGCCAGAGGCACTGCCCAAACTTGATCGCACTTGCTACAATTGTTTTGAAAAGTAATTTTTTTCGGGGATGGACAGTCGGGGTTAACGGATCTGCAGTGTGCTCTGTTGCGAGAGCATTCGAGAAATCTTGGGCGAGCACTTTGCGAGGGCTTTGCAAGACTCTTTCTCGGCGCGAGAGCCAGGGCAAGGGCGGCATTGTGAGAAGGTGGACGCGCAGGTGCAGGGCCTGGTGGAGGACCACCTGAAGCAGATGATCCTGAAGCACTTTGACCCCAAGAAGGCGGACTCCATCTTCACGGACGAGGGAGAGACGCCTGGCTGGCTCACAGAGATGATTGAGCACCCGACGTGGCGCTCGCTGGTGTACAAGCTGGCCGAGGAGTACCCGGACTGCCTGATGCTCAACTTCACCATCAAGCTGATCTCGGATGCGGGCTTCCAGGGCGAGATCACCAGCATCTCGACGGCCTCCCAGCAGCTCGAGGTGTTCTCGCGCATCCTGCGCACGGCCACAGACAACTTCCTGGACGGCGGGGAGGAGCACATGGAGCGCCACCTGGGGGAGCTCACGCGCATGGTCTGCCACGGGGAGCACACCTACCTGTACAGCCAGTCTGTGCTGCACACCCTGGCCCAGGAGCCCCGGGGGGGCTCCAACGTCAAGCGCCTGGCTCAGGCAAGTCGGGGCTCCGGTGCGGGCCCACTGCATGGCTGCCCTTGGATTCGGGCGCTGCCACCTAGCCAAATTTTAGAGCGCAGCTCTTAGGCGCCCATTTCCGGCTTGAGCGGCGTCGCCGTAGGCGTAACTGCGCGGGGCATTATGGGTAAATTTCCCCGCTAAATCTAGAGGAAAATTTTCCCCGCTACATCTTGCGGGAAAATTTCCCCACTAAATCTAGCGGAATAATTTCTCTGCTAAATTTAACAGAAAAATCTCCCCGCTAAATCTAGCGGAAAAATTTCCGTGCTAAATCTAGCGGAAAAATTTCCCCGCCAAATCTAGCGGGAACATTTCCCCGCTAAATTTAACGGAAAAATCTCCCCGCTAAATCTAGCGGAAAAATTTCTCTGCTAAATTTAACAGAAAAATCTCCCCGCTAAATCTAGCGGAAAAATTTCCGTGCTAAATCTAGCGGAAAAATTTCCCCGCCAAATCTAGCGGGAACATTTCCCCGCTAAATTTAACGGAAAAATCTCCCCGCTAAATCTAGCGGAATAATTTCTCTGCTAAATTTAACAGAAAAATCTCCCCGCTAAATCTAGCGGAAAAATTTCCGTGCTAAATCTAGCGGAAAAATTTCCCCGCCAAATCTAGCGGGAACATTTCCCCGCTAAATTTAACGGAAAAATCTCCCCGCTAAATCTAGCGGAAAAATTTTTTAGCCCCAGACTAAATAATCTTTGAAGGGCAAGTCCGCTTCAATTTTCTGTCTGAAAAAAAAGAATGCAGTCCTCTTCAGTATTACCTAGGAAGACCACGCATCAAATATTACAACCTAGTTCCGTCTAAATGTTTCTTAAACAGTCAGGCACACTTTAGAACGCGCCAAGTTGCCAAAATTAGCCGGATGAGTGAATCGAGGCGCAATCAACGGCACAGTCAAGCCTACGGTGTTGGTGCAGCCAACATTGAGCTGAACGTCATGAATAGGGTGGAGAAAACAGATTAAGTGGAAAAAGGAGTTAAGAAGGCCGAGGGGTGGATGTGAGAAGAGAAAAGCGAAGAGGAGATTGGTGTACTGGTGGAAAATATCTAAGGAAAATGGAATTAAGTACAAGTAATTAGCACAGCGGGGGGACAGACGGGGACAGAGGAATATTGGGACTGCCTCCCATGGCCCCAGCTTAAAGTCTCAACCCTGTCCTCCAGTGGGTGGAGTCTACCTAACGGTCCTTTTTTACTTCACGGCCTCGTGCGACCAACAATGCTGGGGTGTGCCTCATCTTTTTGGGTATGTCTCAAATTGCTCTGATTTACTACGGTGTCACTTGGCTGACAATTGTGAGCCTTTTCTCATTAAACTGAAGGCTGTTTTGCTGTATAGTAATGGAGCAATTTTTATCGCCTTGATTTACGTTAATTGGTAGGAACAAATAAAAACCAACAATGATTCTGTAGGGAAAAATCGGTGGTTACATGAGGTGATCTCAACCTTTCATCGAAGTTGTACTTTAGTGGTGGATTTCACTTTGTGAAATTGCGAGGCCCCTTTTTGGGAAAAATCAGACCAGCAAACCTAGGCAGTCGACCGAGTTAGCCGCACAACACCGACGACAATCTGCTTTCAACCGAGTGCATTGTTTGCCTCGCTGGGGTTCCGAATTTCAACCTAAAATCCACCACTAAAGTACACCTTCACGGAAAATTCGAGAAAACTACATGCAAGCAATAATTTTTATGTAGGATTATAGAATGAGCCTCAAGACTTAATGCCACCCTATATGTTAATAAAAAAAAAGCAGCTCTATGTTACATCGAAAGTACACTGTGTCTAAAGTAGTGTACTCAAAGCACATTTCAACCACTGCATCGTCTACCTTACTTCAAGTACAAAATCCACCAGTTGCCTCCCAATTTTGTCCGACCCTTCAGGCACGCACCTTGTGCATCATAGAATACCGCAACGGAGGTAGTTTGTCTGTGAAGTAAAATACCACGAGGGCAGCTTTCAATGACACCGACGTACCTAGCCCAAAATGCTTGGGCGTTGAAACCGTAAAGCACGCTTACACATCGGCGAGGACAGACCGGTTTAGGCGACAGATGCGGCAGAAGGGAGTACCGTACCCGACTCTTTTGGGAAGGAAAGGGAACGCCCCGTCTTGCGCAGGAGATCAGCCGGCACGCCCAGCGGTCGGGCCACGACCCGACGCCCATTACGATGGCGCTCAACGGGGCGTCGGCGTACCCCCGGGCCTGCCAGGCCCTGTCGGCCATGCTGTCGCGAGACGCCCTGAACCCGGCGGACGTGACGGTGCTGTCCAAGATGTACCAGGCGCCGGACCCGCCCCCCGTGGAGCTGCTGCGAGAACCCCACTTCCTGGACCTGCTGCTGGACGCCCTGTTCCGGCCGGGCTCCCGGCTGAACCCCGAGCACCGGCCCAAGTACGTGTTCCTGCTGGCCTACGCGGGCAGCGTGTACGAGACGCGTCGCAAGGGAGTGCGCAAGGCCCTCAACCGGGACGAGCTGCGCCCCACCCAGCAGGCCGTGGAGAAGGTGCACGCCACCTGTCAGGAGCGCCGGGGGGCCTCCGACCTGGTGCCCGAGCTGGGGGCCCTGTTCCAGGCCATGCGCTTCCCCGTCGTGGCCCTGGGCGTCGTGCACTGGGTTGAACACACCGTGTCCGAGCCGTCCTACTTCAAGGTGCGTAGCTGGCGGCGTCTGGAACGCGTCTCGACCGGAGTGGATGACGACGCGGGGCACATTCTGCCATCATAGTCCCGGCGTCAATCCGACGAGGTAAAGAAGCCAACAAGGCTGTTTCCACCGTTGTCCCAACTGCAGGCTGCAGCTGCGGCAAATCTGCCGCTGGGATCGCGACCTAGTCAGGCGAAACTTCTTGGACCACAAACAAGGACCTGGTAAACGCGCTAGTTGAAAACGCCTTCCGGCCACCAGAATCAGCGACCGCGTAACCACGCCCAATGGTGATTTCCCCACGACGGAATCGGGCAGGCGCACCGATTTAACGAGCCACTTGCTGGCATGCAAATGTTTTCTTTTTTTGATGACTGCAGTCTACTTGATGTAAGGAGCCTCGCAAATCCCAAGCGCATTTTAGCCGTCCAAAATAACTCTGCCACCCGCTAATTGTTTGGGGGGTTTGGTCGGCGACGGGAGCAGATGGTCGGAGCCGCACAACGCCACGTGCATACTCTACCTTGCTCTCGAGCAAGGACTGGAGACTCGCACACATATTGACTATATATACAAATCCTCGGAACCTGTGGATGTAGTCAGTGCTCTTTCCGTCTGCGGGGAGGTAAGTGGATGTAGTTCATGCTCTTTCCATCCGCGGGAAGCGGCGCGTTCTGCTTGTGACCGCCTCTGGGCCTTACAGCTGTCGACGGAGCACACGCCCCTGCACCTGGCCCTGCTGGACGAGGTGGTGGTATGCCACAGCACCCTGCACCAGAGGGTGCTGGACCTGCTGGTGCGCCTCTTCGAGTGGCCGCCCCAGGAGGAGCTGGACGTGCTGGTGCAGCTGGAGCGGCGGAAGATGCTGCTCGACCGCATGGTGCACTTACTCAGCCGGGGCTGCGTGGTGCCTGTGGTGGGCTACGTGCGCGCCTGCTGGGAGCGCCAGGACACGGACGTGTCCCTCATCCGCTACTTCGTCACCGAGGTGCTGGACGTCATCGCGCCCCCGTACACCCTCGAGTTTGTCCAGCTCTTCCTGCCGTTGGCCGAAAGCGACGAGGTCACGGGGGCCCTGGAGGGCGGCGATGGGGATGCCGTCAGGGACTTTGTCGTCCACTGCAAGGCCAACTACATCGTCATGAGCTGAGTCGCCCTGCCTTGCCAGGTGCGTCGAGTCGAGGCGTTACGACAAAGAATTCGAGAAGTCTTTCCGGGCTCTTCTTTCTCGTTCCCTTTTTCAATTGCCCATTATCCTTTCTTGGAAAGCTGTTTCTGTTTAAGCTGAAAATTACTTTAAGAAAAAAGAAAAACGGCTTCCAAAATAGAGATACCATTTTTTTCAAATGGATGTCCACGACGGATGTTGGAGTAAGAAATATGACGTAATGATTAGCGAAAGATTACCCAAGTTGCTCCGATTGTTTTAACAGAGATATTCCAGTAAGCTTTCCATATAGCCCATCATAAAAATGGACCATGGCAATTGTATCTCAGAAAATGGTGCATTCAAGCTGTACAAGAAACAGGGAAGTCCCGCCCTGCGGGTACATTGGAGTCCGCTGCGAGGGTGGGTGACGAGCCGCCACGAGCTGATCTAGCAGCCTCACCATATCTCTAGGTCACATGGTTGCACACTCCTAAAACCCTCCGAGCTCTTGGCGATTTTTTTTTTTTTTTTAAATCTTATTTAAGAAGTAAATTGAGTTTTTAGGTGGTTAGTTTGCAAATTATAACACAGCAGGTGGCCTAACATCCAGTATGGCATACAACATTATCCTCAAAAAATATTTCTTCGCTTGGTCTTTTTTTTTAATGTATTTTCTCTAAACAAAAACAGATGTATATGCATTAAAAATGAAATACAAATATGAATGTCTGCCGTTTGGGAGTCTATTCTTTGGTGCACTCCTCGCCAGGTCAGAAGCAGCTTGGTTCGTGCACCTCAAAGGTCTCGAGGTTTCTCGCAACCAACCCTCAGGGGAGTGACCCGTGACAGACACCCGACCCACGAGGCGTTTTGCCGAACGATTGGAATACCCAAGGAGGAGTTTGAAGGTACCTGCTCTCAACACACTTGCCTTGGCCGAAGGGAAGACAAGGAGCGAGTCGCCGGCGTAAGGCATTAACAAATGCAGTAGCAAAGTGCTTTTCAGTAAAGAAGAAAATGAGACGTTTACAATTCCCTGTAATTCCGAATTAGAGCGCAGCTCTTGAGGAGGGGAGGGTATGCCTCTCCTCCTCCTCGTGACTTCACTCGGAAAGGTCTTGTAGAGGTCACAAGTGAAGGTCGTGACCTCCATAATGTCATTATGGGAAACGTCCCTTAATGCAATGTGCGGTTCATAGCAGGTCTTCAAATGCGTATTCGTCTTCATAACCGGTACTTTTTATTTTCGTACATCAAATATAAAAGTTCAAAAATAATAAAACTCCATAAAACCTAAAATCACAGGGACACAGCCCGACGGGTGGGCGCAGCAGTCGTCTCTGGTTTCCCGGGCCCCTCCCTCCCAGCCTCAACGTAGCACAAAACTATGCTCCTGGACGAGCCACAAGTGTACTCTAGTTGCACTTCTTTCGCGCCTCAATTTTGTTGCACGACAACGACTGCCTACATCGGAGCATCCAAATGGCCAAGTTCTGCTCGGAGACTGGCAAGAACACTCCCTGCACTTTCCGCCGCAACTACTCCGGCAACTTGCTCCGGCAGACAAGAGCAATTTTGGAGAATCCACAGGAAAAGTTGTCTCTTTCACGAGGCGATTGTTTCGTCGGCTGTTACGCAGGATGCCGGGTTGCCACGTCCAGCACGAAGAGCACTCTCCGACGGAGAGGCAACCTCGTTGTCAGCAAAAAAACGTCCATATATGGCGTCCACCTCACGTCTGGGGAACGAAGACGGCCGTTGGGTCCCGAGCCAGGGAACGTTTGGAGGCTCTTTTTGCCTCCGCCACGTCGGAAAGGAATGCAGCAGTCTCGGGAAGCCGGCTCGCGTGGGTCCCGCTAAACGCAGGCAGGGCCCTTGCCCCTGGGGCGCAGCGCGTACGAGCGCGTGGGGAGCTCCGTCTGCTGCAGCTGCCTGGCCAGCCGCAGATCCGCCTCCACCTGCAGGGCCACCTCGCGGGATGCCCTGGACTCGTCTACACCTGCGCAGAGATGAATTACTCACACTCTGACACTGCCACCAGCAGAAACCGCTCCCGGAGAAAGACTAAGCTCAACACTTACGGGACATGGGGTATTTATGCTCTCTGAGGTTTTTATTTCAACGTGAACTAGAAGAGCCTAACTATCCAGAACAACTTGCAACTTGAAATTCTTTTTTTTAACCCGAAAAACCGCTGGTTGGGAATTGGCCGGTTTAAGGCGCATTCACTCTCTTTTCTATGGTCACGTGGCATTTAAACTATAGCATAATAAATATATTCAAAGTCGTGGGTCATCTAAGGCACACACTCAATATTGAAAAGGATATGAATTTCATTTTCTGTGGCTTCTAAAAAGCTGCAAATACGTTGATTAAAAAAAAATGTTGCGGAGATTACACGATTATGTGTACTAAGTTATCCTCAATATGGCGATGTATCGCGATCTGGATGACTCGATGGCGGCGCACGTTGGACCACCGTTACGACGGATGTGGGACCGCTACTTCGGAACTGTCGTTCGTGGTACCGGCCAACTAATCTTCAAGCAGAGAACAGCGAGCAGAAGGGACGCAAGTGCAAAACAATCGTCCGACAAATGGTCTGAGCAACTCCGTCGTTGTCATCAGCCTCACAGGCCAGAAGAGCGGAAGAACATTAAAAGACTGGCTAGAGAGCGACAGCCATGACTTCCGGCAACTCCCTCCTTCACATTTCTCCTTCCTCCTCGGCACACATAGTCTGCCATGAATCTCCGTGCTCGTGTTCCGGTCTGGAGCAGCGAGCTTTCTGGCTTTATTAAAAAGATACGTGACTGCAGAAAAATTGTGATTGAGTAGTGTCCTAACACCCTAATAAATTGCCTGGCAAAAAATGAATGAAACTTTTTTTGGCGTGTCAGTGTCCTCTTAAAACTGGGAGGAAGGACGCCTCCCTGCTACTTTGGGAACAGACTTGGGATACGGCCGTCTATCGCATATTTTGTTTAGGAAAGAACGCCGGCGCGTTTCTGTCGGGCTGTACCGGTGTCCGGGCGGCGCGTGTGAGCTGCGGCGAACGACGGCGACCCAGTCGGAGTGCATGCAGCGCACGAACCTGAGCTAAGGCAGCGTGCCAGCTCCTGGTCCTCGCGCAGGATTCGTTCCTGGGTCTCCTGCCAGGCCCGGCGCTCCTCCGCGGCCAGCGCCAGGGCGAGGGCTTCGCCGGCAAGCAGCTGCTCCCGGCGCTCTCGCTCCAGCCGCTCCGCCTCGAGACGGGCCTGCTCCTCGAACTCCAGCCGGATCTCCCCGGGAAGGCAGAGCCGGTGGTTCACCGCCGCGACCGGGGGGTCCACAGAGTCGGCTGAGCGCGAGACGAAGAAATTGGCATCAATAAGCGACCGTTTCTTCCGAAGACTGTGACGGTGCGGTGTTGAGACGGCAGCGCTTGCAAATGCCCAAGGGCCCGCACAAAAGGGAGCCGCCCGGTAAACTCTCACCCGGCTCCTCCGGCTGGGACAGGTGCCGTCGGATGCGCGCACGGAGGGCCTCGTCGACCAGGGTGCCCTCCCGAGCGGCCCTCCGCGCCCACGAGCTGATCCTGAGACGACACAGGGGACACTCCTTGTTCGCCAGATGCAGGGACTGCTCGAAGCACGTCAGGCATACGCCGTGGCCGCACGGCAGGGTCACGGGTTCAGCCCGCACGCCCAAGCACACGGGGCAGGTGACGTCGCGGCTCACGTCGGCCTCGCGCATCTGGGAACGCGTTGAGACACGCGCGTCAAACATCTTTTTGAAAGATCTCCGTAAAACAATACCGTGGAAATTGCCGACAACGGCCGCTTTGCCCGCCAAGAAGCGCGCGGATTTGGATTGGATTGTACTTTGAACTGGTAGAAAAAAAACTGGGATTTGAATGCGGACTACAGGACAGATAGGACAGCTGCGTCAGTTATTTTATATTTTTTTTTTTGTTTTTTATAAAAAATAAACGAGAGCACTTGACGTTGATGAAAACGTAATTTTTATACGTAGAAAAGACGACTCGAGTAGATCCACGCGTTAACTTGCTTTACAGCAGCCAGACAGCAGCCGTTCACTAGCGCCACCTTTAAAATTAATTTAAAGAAAAAACGAAAAAGAAAAAACGGAGCAAAGCAAAACAAGCGAGCCATCAAGATGGCGGTGGTGCCTGCAGCGAGTGCTGTGTTGTTGTGGCGAGTCGGCTAGGCCCACTCTGCTGGGCGTCGAATCGTCGAATCCGTCCAGCGCCCCGGCGATGGATTGGGCCGGCCGGCCGAGTGCGCGGGAGATGCGGCGGTGCCAGCCGACCTCCCCGGCGGCCGACCAGGGCAAGCGGAAGCCGCCGTACTCGTACTCGACGCTCATCTCGTTCGCCATCAACAGCTCGCCCTCCAAGAAGATGACGCTGAGCGACATTTACACCTGGATCTGCGCCAACTTCCCCTTCTACAGGGACGCCGGGACGGGCTGGAAGGTAGGACGCCGTCGCCGCGTCGCGAGGCGCGGCCCGCTCATGCCTGGCCTTCCGCGCAGAATTCCATACGGCACAACCTGTCGCTGAACAAGTGCTTTCACAAGGTGCCCCGGTCCAAGGACGACCCCGGAAAGGTGAGACCCGGGCAGACCCCGTCGTCCGCGTGCCACGGCCGCTCGACCGCGACCCGGAGCCGCCCGACCCGACAGTTGGCCTTGAACGGAGACCTCGGGGACGACTGCCTGCCGCGCGTTGTTGGGCCGCTCAGCTGCCGGTGTTCGTGGGGCCCGGCGCCGCTACGTGCACCGCTGGCAGTCGAGCCCTGCGCGCTTTTCCCCACTGTGCGTTCTCCCTGGTCTCTCGCGCGACGCTGCGTCGCGAACTGCCCGAAAATACCTCTCGTTTCTCCACCGTTTGGGAGGTCTCGAAGCGCGGGCGACGGGTAATGAGAAAGTCGTTTTGACGATGCTCCCAACGACCGAGGCCGGCACAGTCGTCCCTCCGGCCCTACGCTTCCTCCACCGTGGTGTGTGCTCACCTCACGAAAGGGCTTGGCGAGCGTAGGCAGAGCGGACCACGAGCTTTCTCCCCGCAGGGATCCTACTGGGAGCTGGACCTCAAGTCGGGAAACGAGCTGCCGTGCCGCAAGAAGAAGCTCAAGTCCTACGAAGCCGTGAGTGTCTCTGGCACGAACCCGCCGGTTGGCCACCTTTGCGGGGCGGTTCTCGAGAGCCGCCGCGAGCTGCCCCCACTGTTTCGGAACTCTCTCCCATACGTATTGCTGTCTTCCGGCAAGGTCCAAACTGTCCGGTTTTCTGTTCTCCGCGATTATCTTACTCCAGTACACATCGGTGATTCAGGAGGGACTGAGATGACTTCGGAAGATCTGGGTTTCCTTTCGAATCGACGAGAGCAACTAAACCCTCTCTTCCATTTATTTCCCTCTGCAAAGTTAGCTCCGCAAAGTGTTCATAGGGCTTCTTAACCGATTGAGCGAAATCAACAAATTCCGAGACTGTAATAATCGGGGCCAGTCATTTTTCGCCGGCACGAGTCCCAAGGTGCGACATTCGGCGGGGGGGGGGGGGGGGGGTTAGAAACGAACCAGCTCGTTGGATTTGTCTGGGCCGCGAAGGGGATGATCCACTCACCAAGGCGCTTCGGCCGAAGTGTGGCGGGTGCTCACGTGGATCGTAAGGTGGCATCGCTGCTTCCGCTTGCCACTTCACTTACGACAGTTGTGTCGCCTCGCAGGGGGAGCCACGGCTCTCCCACAGCAGGGTCGAGCGAGCTAACCTGTCTCCTCTCCGCAGTGGAGTGGCCAGCTCGAGTCCCCTGCGTTCCCGCACAGCCCGGCCCCCAGCACGACCTGGACCCCCGAGGGCCACCCGTCCCCCCAGGAGGCCCTGCCGGAGCAGCAGGTGAGACCACACTCTTTGGCCCAGGCGTGCACGGGCCGTGCCAGTGGGCCCGTCCTGCCAGACGAGCGGGCATTAAACTGGGGTCCGGTGCCGTGTAGATTCACTTTATATAATTTAGTGTCGGGGCCCAAGTGGGTTGCCGTCTACAGATACGGCGCTAAAAGTGCGGAAGCTACTGGGGGTGTAACTATGTCTTCCTGCTTTGTTTCTCAAGTGGATAAAACGCACAAACATTGATTTAGGCGGTACGAACGTAAAGCTCCCTCGAAAGCCCTCGGGGTCTCATTTGACATCCTTTAAAGGCCTGCCGTTGTCCCTCATTCCTCGTAAAATGACCTTACCTGCTTGGTGTAACAAAGTATTTCTTTGCAGTGGAATGGGTGGGTTGTTTGTCTGGACGTTGCCCGGGCGGTCCCGCCGAATTACGGCGACATGAGTGCGCTCACCCCCGCAGTGTGCAGCCGCGATTTGCTGCAGGTGCATGGGAGGTGACGGTCCGTCGGGCGGCGTGTTCCGAGGTGGCTCCTTTTTTGCCGCCGAGAGTCGGGCGCGGGGTGTGTTTTCGTCGCCCGGGAGTTTTCTACGGAAGAACAACAGGTACAGAATGACAGATCGAAACAGATTGTTAGTTTGTGCGTGCTTTAACGCTTCACGTTTGTTTCAACTTTACGCTTGCAACATTGGCGGAGGAGGAGTGTCTGTCGTCCTTGTAATGCCGCCAGCGGGGGGTGCGGTGCTCCGGCGGGCTCTCTCTCCCGAGGAAACACCGCGAGCGTGGGAGCCTAGTCGCCCCTGCGCCTTTTCTGCCCAAGTTCGGGTAACGGTGCATTTTGCAATCGGCCACTTAAAGGCCGACGACCAGTTCAGAGATTTTGGAAGGCGGAAGATCCTCTTCACCATGGGGGAGGAGGAAACAGGCAACGGTGGACAAAGTGGAAGGGGGGAGAGGGAGAGGAGGAAGCGGGAGACAAGTGGAAAGCGCGAACTGGTCGTCGGTCTTTAAAAGGGTTAGGAAACGAAAGGTAGATGGGTGGACCATTTTTGAAATGGAATGCTCATAGGCTACTAGTACATACACCGAGTTTTACGTTTCTTAGAGTACTAGTAATTGCATTAATGAATTTATGAATGTTATTAACTTTCATCTGGCAGCAGCACTGCCCAAGTTAATCACGTCATTGTGCCATTAGTCATATCATTGTGCCCATAAACCATGTGATAATGATGCATAGTCAAACGCTCTCTCATTATTTGCTCGCCCTCACGCTAAGGCTACTCCAAAGGTTCGTTCTCACCCCCTTCGGCCTTCCACCCTGCATGCACGTGCGAGATTGTCACGGACGACGGCGAGTTCATCCGTGACAATCTTGTCGTCGTCGCCGGAGCTGGTTGCTGGTGCGTCCAAGTCAAAATGGCCAGCTTCCAACATTTTTCGATAGCAATCGCACTCATCTTTTTTGCGACCGGTGTCCAAGACTCCGACGAAGATAGTGATTCCGTAAACGTTGTCATCTCGAAACAGCGTGCTCGAAATGATGACGCGCGAGGCACCGAGAGAGCAGAGTCTGCGACTACGTGCAAGGGGACGCCGTGCCACCGCGACTGCGGGCGAAGTACGTCACTGACCCATCAAACTTGGCGGCCTTCCCGATTAAAGTGGATCCGAGGGTCTCGTATAAAAATGGATTTTTCCGCGAAACCATCGCGCCATTTATGAAACAAATATAGCAATAATATAGGTACATGCAATGGGTCCCACCAATATAGTAATGTCATTTTATTTTGGCGCATCCTAACCCTTTTAAGATGGTAACTCGCGGAGCAAGAATTCAGTTTTTGGTACGAGTAGGGCAAGACACGAGCTGGTTCCCGCTTAACACCCCTTTTTGCCGCAACGCTGCAACTCAGCAGATCTCTTACAAATGACGGCTCCTGGAGAAAGTATGATGACCGCGTGTGTGCCCTTGCAAATGCCTCTGAGCTGCCCTTGTTTGGTCGTGCAGGTGCTGCCGTCGGAGGATGATCGGTCACGCGTCTCCGACTCGTACGACGAGCCCGTCAAGACAAGTAAGTGTGCTGCCAGGCCCCTCTGCCCCTCTCCCCCGAGAGCTCTGGGGCTTCAGTGAGTGAAAATGTCCCCAGGGGTCGCTGTTTGCCCTAGTTGTTAGTCCCTAGAATCTGGCCCCAGCTCGAGCCGTGGTTGCAGATGGTGGCCTCCACGGCTGCCACGCAACGACGCCTCCGAGACGGAGGCATCCTTGGGCCGCAGATTGGCACCTTTTTGAGTTCTCAAAGGTCTTGGGAATAGTTAAGGGGGGACACTGGCTAGAGCTCGAACTTTTTAACTACTCAAGTGATCGGAATGAAATTTGCAGGGGAGATTTAGCTTCAGATGTAGGTGTATTGTGCAAACTTTCAGCTCTCTAGGACAAATTTACATACCTGCATAAAGTAATGTGTCACTTTTCATTAAGAAATGTATGATATGCAAATCAAGCTATTAAGCATTATTTTGACTCCTTGAATATAAAGTGGGGGATATGGGACCTCGGGCTATCTAGTTTTAATAACTTAAATGTAAATATTTCAGGAAGAGTTATTACCTCAAACTATGAGATACATATCTGTCCTCTGTCAATTTTTGAAAAATTGGTTTTTTATCACTGAGGACTTCAACCTAAAACAAAATAAAGTAGATAGCCCGATTCCTGAGTAAATTTCAGTTCAGAAACATCTTGATTGTGGTATCAGAATACTTTCACCTTCGAACAAAAGATTCCTTCGTATGAAATTTGCAGCAATAAGTGGAACTGAGAAAAATGCATTCAAACATTGAACTCCTTTACTTTGTTACTGCCTCACAATGTGTTGAAAATATTTTATATCAACGTAACTATTTGGCATATGGTTATCAAATTTGGTGTAAGGGTGTATAATTAGTTTCTAAAACTGAAAACCTCAAAAATAAAAAATGAAATTTTTCAAAAAAATTTAAAATTTAGGCCCATGTCCCTCCTTAAGAAGTGCAACAAGAAACGGACAAGGAAGATAAATGGAGACGCAGCGGTAACTTACAACTCAACTTTATTTCCGTAGTCACCTAGTATATATATTTGATTTCAACAAAAAACGAGCCATTGAACGAACGCAGATACACACCGTTAAAAGACTAAAATATTGTTATACAATCGAGCCGGGTAATAGCCGAGCGGGTATTTCACGCTCGGGTATTTCGAATTATTGTTTATATCAAACCGTCCAAACATCCCCTTGAAGGTCACATGTCATACCGTAGGAGCGTTGTCTTTTTGTATCGAACACCCGTGGCGGGGACACTCGATATAGCGAACGAAGCCCGGCTGCCCGTTGCTTTTCCCACGATCCACTTGCGCAGGTGGATGGGGTGGGTGGCGAGCACATCGCCCGCATTGCGGGGCTGGCAGACTGCCAAGCCAACGTACAGGTGGAAAAAAAAAGAAAAAAAAAAAGAGGAGGATGGCAAAAGCAAGCGGTAGGGCATGCGCGTAGGGAGAGCAGGGAGTGCCCGCTGTTGGAACGGTACCCTGCGCCCTTTCCCGAAACACTGCTGATGCTGTGTGACTCCCTAACCCCAAAATAAAATGAGCAAAGAAAAAGTTTCGGCAAGTTGAGTTTGTCCACAACAATGGTTGTGCAATCGCACTTCAGAATGCCTCACCTTTGTTAACCTTTTTTTTTTTTTTTTTTTGTCGTTATTTCTTTGCCCGTCTTTCTATTTTTTTTTTTAAATTTTCTTTCTTTGCTGCTTGAGTTTAGTAAGCTTTCTTTTTTGTTGCTTGCTTAACTTCTTTTTATAATATTTTTTCTATGCGCCTTGCTTCTCCGTTTTTCTTTCATTTTTTAAAAATTATTTTCCTGTTTTGTCGTTAATGCTGTGTGGAGGTCCCGGCCAGGTGCCCGTGTAAGCGCAACGGTGTTTGCGGTCTCGGCCAACTACGCTCTACTGTGTTTGGCGGATCTTAGATGCTCTATTTCTGCTCGGTAATGCCGTGAGAGGAGGATTTGCCTGGGTGGAGAGGAGGAAACTGCACGGAAAGAAGAAATTGCGTACCTTGAGTGTACGTGGCTCACAACGCGATGTCGGTCCACCCTTCTCTCTGGTGGCCAGAAGTGTCGCATTAAGCTTTCGTCTGCCCTTTCCCCTATTAAGTCCGAACGAGTGATGATGCAAGGTACGCCGGCCGCTCACTCAGCCGTCCGGATAACTCTTACCTGGCCGTTGCGTGCAGAAAATCTCGGCCGTACCGACGAGCCTAGACCCACTCGCCTGCACCGGTGCCTTCCGCGTTGCAATCCTTGCGTCGAGATGCTTTGCGGCCCCTCGCCGGCAGGCCTGGCGCCCCTTCTGCCGCTTCCGAGGGGGGCCCCAAGCGGCGTGCACCCCCGAGACGAGTAGCGCATTATTTTGGAGCGGTTGCGCTATTCCCGCTGAGGTCGACGTTACCTCTATACTCGCTGTCTCGGTGGTCTTTGACGTGCTAGTGGCGCAACCGCTGCAGTTTTGAGCTGCAGGTTTTGCCGATGGAGCGAATCTCTTAGTTTCCGACTGGTTGGCCGAGCGTCCCATTCTTGCTCCTCATGGAGTGTTCGTGCGACGGACTTTTCTCTGCGGAGAAAATGGAGCGCGTCCTAGAGCCGCGAGGAGGAGGAGAAAGTGAGGAGCCTTATTCGAGCGACCGCTCGTACGACGGAGTTAAGTTGCCGGGTCTCTTCGCGGACGTGTTGGCGACCTTCACAAGCTTGCCAAATGAAAGGTGGTGAAAGAAAAAAAGGCAGCCTGCAGCTCGAGGCTGCCGACTGTAATCCTTCCCCAAAAGGAAGGGGACCGGTCACGCTGACAAGACAACGAATATTTCGTAGGCCGGTTGCAGATTTTTCCGCAGCTGCCCTCATTTCTCAGGGGATTTGGGAACGATTGTGATGCGGCACTCCCGACCTCGAATCTCTATGGCATTTTCTTCTCTTCCGGACGAAAACTCGATGATGCGAATGCACCCTAAAAGGCTCGAGCTTCCACTTGCTAGGCCCATTGTATGTAGTGGGAGGAGGACATAGACGAACAGCCCGGGGCACGGTCGACTGAAGACGTGATACGGCCGTACGCTTGTTGCAGTCGTCTCAGCACCAAGTTGGTGGAACAGTGTGAAAAGAATGTTTGGCAGAGACTGGATACGTGTTGAAAGTTGGCAAAGGAAAACTTGACATCTGTAGGAGACGAATTGATTTGATGCTGGTCCTCCGAATAAAGTTTTTGCATCCTTTCTCGGCGTTCTCGAGTGTATCGAGACGCGACTGCATTCTTTGGTCACAATGTCGTCTATACGATTGTTTCTAATTCAAAACCACTCCCGAGCAGTTTTTAACGGGTGGGTTTTGATAAGGCATTCGAGTGACGTTCAAACAGTTTCGTGCCTTGCATTATTCAGCGAGTGAGCAAAACATTCATAAATTGCACATGCATTGAGAGCGGTATCGGAGCTCGGGTAGTGTTTTCTTTTAACCTCCAAGAGATGGTGTTCAAGTTCGCATTGCTCTGCTTTCTTGAGGTTCCTATTCCTTTGCTCTCGAACACCCCTGACTGCCCCTGTCAACTGCTTCGGGTGGTGTTAACGAGAAACAGCATTCGTGTCACAAAATTTACTCCATCTCACTTCAGAGTCGAGGTATTGCACCGTGGCATTCAGGAATCTACTTGCATTTAGCGTCGCGCTATCTGCATTGTCACCTGATACGACGCGCAAGAGTAAAGAGCGTCCAAACTGGCACATAATACATACACGTGCACCGGTACGCGAGAAGATTTTCTCGGCCACCTTCGACGTCACTGTCATTTCATGTCTTCGACAACTGGATTGGGAGTTACCGACATTTCCCAAACTTGAGGATTCTATACGCTAGCACCCAGTCTGACCGGACAGGCGCCCACGTCTAGGTTAGCCCAGTTCTCAGTGAAAGTGAGGTGGGCCTTCCCCTGGTGTTTTACGGTATTTTGAACTTTTGGGGGGCCACAATGTAGGCTTCCGTATTGAGGGCGCAGCGGAAATGTGAAGGGCACTTCCCCCTCTCCTCGCGAAACTTTGGTTATGTGCTGCCCGACGTGCACCACTATGTACCACGGACCCTTTTGCTCCATGGCAACCCCTTTCTCCCTGTCACCGCTCTGCACCACGCTTCCCTCCTTCCCCCAAACGCATTAGCACATTGCAAGTGGTCGTACAAAGCAGGAATAAAAATTTGGGTCCGTATTTGTAAATTGAAGCAGTATCTCTTGGCGTTAGGATGGGGTATGCGTGTTACGCGTCCCTTTAAACCTTCCTAAGCTCGGATCTGCTCGAGCGAGTTGTGGAAAGCGGCCGGCGTCTCCGGTGCGACGTAGCCTGCGGGTGTGCCGCCGGTGGTGGGCATTGCCGAGAGTTTGTGGCTGACCAGAGCCCTCCTTGCGCAGTCATGGAGTCGTTCACGCACGAGCAGCTGGTGGAGCTGACGGCCACCCTGGCCTGCCTGCAAGAGGCCGAGGCCTCGGGGTACGCCAGCCACCCCGGGGACGCGGGTCTGCTGGCCACCTTGCCTCAACCGGGGGGGCCCTGCCACCAGGCGGACGGCGCAGGTGGGCCCCATCGAAAAGGCGGTTGAACCTGCCCCTAACAAACCTGCAAATTTATTGATCTATAAATGTTATCCTCTCGAGATCGATGCATTTCGGAAGGGGCGGGGATTTGGGAATGCAGACGTAATTAAAAGTTGTTACGCCAGCTCGAAACAACAATAATGCAGCCTTAAAGAGACACTGACACCCCCGCAAAAATTAGCTTTTATTTCTGTCGGGCGATTTATTATGCTGTCTGGAGACTACCCAATCAATAGTTTGCAACAGTCCCAAATATCTTTAAAGAATTAAAAGCGTAACTGCTGGAAACCAAAGCCCAAGTGCGGAGTAGTGGCGTGACATGTCAACTAGGGAGGAGGGAGATATATAGAGGAGGAGAGAGTTGCCGGAAGTCACGTGGCTACACTTGACCGCATTCTTTTTTTTAATTTTTTTTATTTTTCCTCCACTTCTCTGGCCGTGAGAAGCAGACAGCTGTTTTAACTTTGTAATGGTCAAGCACACGAGGGGGAACTCCTCGTTCGCAGTATTGTAGCCAGTCGACCGCAGATCAGAAAGTTTGCAGCTACCCCCATGCTGCAGAGGAACTCCCGATGCTCGAAGTTGGGCAGGACCACGCATTGGCCACATTCGTAGCTAATAGAGATATCGTTCGCATGCATATTCAACGCCAAGTATGCACTTCATACTTGACGTTTGCGCATTTTCCAAGCTCTTGCGAATTCGTGTTCGTAAGACGAGCAATGTCTTCGGCCTGGAGAAGGGGCAATAACCCGGCGGTCGGGCATGTTGTACGGAATAAATCGGAATTGTTTTGTTTGTTAAAAATTTTCTCTTAAAGCTAGAGAGATTTTATAGCATCGCGAACGATAGTTGCGAAGTAGAGGTTCCACGCCCGTCGTCCGCCGCCATTGATCAGTCCGCTTCGTCCAGCCATCCAGCCCGCAACTCCCGCGATACGATGCCATGCTGAGAATTACACAGTGCATGTGCTTATAGTACCCTGAATTTTTTTTGTTTCAATCATTGTATCTGCAGTTTTTAGAAGCCACAGAAAATGGGTTTTATATTTTTTTGCACTTTTTAATGTTCAGCGTGTGCTTTGAATGGCCCACGACTGATTATATTTGGTGGTTGTGTCTTAATGGCACATGACCACAGTGAAGAAAGCGAGCATGACTCAAACCGGCCAGTTCTCAGTCGACAATCTTCGGAAGGGGGGAAAAAAAATTTTTGAGCCACAAATTGTGTTTTGGGTAGCTGGGCTTTCATATGTCATGTACAAATAAAAACCTTGGCCAGCATAAATACCCTGTCGGTGTCCCTTTAAACCTATTAAAATCTCCGACTGTCACTATAGAAGGGGAAAATGCGGTTTTAATTGCGAGGTTTTGGGGATGAAAGAACCGCAGAAAGAGGTAGTGTTACATGGCGGTGTTGAAATTATGGTCGAGGCTTGACGATATGTAGATGGAATCATTAATTAGCTTTTAGACTCTAAATATTGTAATAGATTCTATGGCGGAAGATGGCATAGGACGAACAAAGGTTTGTCGCACGCTACTGGTGGTTGTTTTACGCATAATAATAGCCCATTTGTAACGAACAAGCACAAAGTGGTGCCACGGATATTTTGATGAGAGGTTGCAAAAGCTGATAAGTTTTGACATAACCAAAAACTGAAGTGCTGGAAGTTCGGCAGAAAAAAAATGGTTCTCGTCCTGCATAGAGACGCTATTCGGCACCGGGCGGCTTTCTCCCAGAAAGCTCGTGCCGCTCGACGCACGACGCGTCTTAGGCTCGCTCTACCTTCTCGCTTGTAGCATTGGTGCGCGAGTTGGTTTTCCCGTCCGAGCGCCTCAAGCTCCGCTCGTGTTGCCGTCATGTTCGGAGAGGCACCACCGTACTGGGAGGGAGCCTGGGGGGTGTCTTGCGCCGGGGATCTGTTGGGAGCGGTTGCCGACGCCCTTTGCCGGCACGCTCCCCCCCTGCAGTGCGGCCGCCCTGCCAGGCCGGAGCTCTGCAGCCGGACTATTACACGCTCAACGGCGGGAACAGCAGCAGCAGCAGTAGCAGCAGCCCAAACCTCAGCGCAGGATTCCTAGACCAGGTAACAAAGCGCGGCCTGCTTCGGCACTCCAACCGCCCTGGTCCTCTCTCCCATGTTTTGGCCCGCTTCTCAAGAAAGCCGGGGGCTGCATGAACCAAGAAGCGGCTTACATAAGGCTTATTCACACGATGCATCTTTTCAACGTGCCGCAGTTTAGTGAAATCGAGATTTCGCGAAATCGGCCTGTTCACATGTGGAGTTTGACACGCAAAAACCTGTGACGTATTGACTCACGAGAAATTCGCCTAACCGTGTCATCTGCACCGGGAATACCAAGCGTTTCACATCAAAATGATATGAAGTATGCACAGTGTGAAGAGACGGTCTTTTTTGATTAATACCACTTAATGAACTTCGTCAGATTCGTTTCACTGGGTTTACTAGTCCTGCCATACCTGGGAAAGACCGCATACCTGAAAAAACAGGCAGATGATCTTAAAGAATTTCAAACATTTTTGCACTGCTAATAAAGTTGCCCCCAGCCATCATGTTTATATGCGGTGCTTGCATTCGTCGCGACTGTTGATGGAATCTGCACCACGCCACCAACCAGTACTGCTAAGGCGCCATTCACACGCCTGCAACCGAGTAGGACCAAGACTCGTCACGCGTACGCACCGCTTGTCGCTTGCCATGTTTTGTTTTGTTTTTCTTTCGGCTTTGGCTTGGCTACAGAATCGGCCAAAAATCAGACTCCTCCAAAAACTCGCTCCTCCTCTAAGGTCAGACGTCCTAGCGAAGTCGAGCGGCCATTGGCAGCGTCCTCGTTTTTCCTTCGGGTGATCGGCAGGCCTTGGTGAGGTTCCAGCGAAAAATTGCTCCAGAAGCGAGGAACACGTGCCACTTTTTCGGCCGCGTTCAGGCGGGGATTCCGTTCCCCGAAACCTAGTTTTGCGACACAAGATTTGCCAACAAGATGCATCGTGTCAATAGACCTTTAGGCTCTAAAATCGCACCAATATTCGAATTTTCCAATAGTGGTTGAGAACAATACGCTATTCAGTATTCGCTTCTATACCTGTTTTAGCCTCAAGAAAAAAGAAAGTTTTGCTCAATGTTCATATGCCGCACAAAGTAGTTTTACAAGATTTGGTTGTCGGAGGCAGGAGCGTTGCTTTTGGCATTTGAAACGTGTAAGTCTTGATAAGGTAACATATATCTAACCTAAAATGCACCTACATATATCTCAATTCTCAGCATAAAGAGGGAAATAAGTAATGCTCCGCAAGACGCCATACTCTTTTTACTACAGTTCTTGAGGTCAAAATGAGTGTAAATGAATCGTGATATTTGTATTTTCAAAGTATCGATCGCACCAGGTCAGTCTCCTTAGGCGCACCTCTTGCCAAGCACCGGTGCACTGCAAAGAAGCACACCCGCAACGCTCACTTCTGCAGATGCTGCAGAAGTGAGCACTTCGAAGCGTCGAAGCGCCGCAATCGACGCTTCGAAAAGTGTAAATATTGCAGTCGCGCATTTAGGAGCACAGAACACTTTCAAGGCAGGATGGTCTATGTTCGTTCCTGGTGGTTTTAAAAACGAACAGAAACTTTGTCATGTCGATGTCAACACCGCAGTATAAGTTTTGAAATTTCACCGTGGCTACTGTAAAACCCTTTATTTTCGCGGCCTCATTTTTTCGCGAATTGGGCAGCAGGGTTATATTCGCGACCATTAAATTTCGTGAATTTTCCAGGCTCCAATCTGCCTCTACAGACGATGGAAATATTCGTGCCCACTAAGGTTTGCGACTTACAATTGCAGGAATTGGGGGTTTGCCAACATGAAGTGTTTTACAGTATTATGTGAGAGTAGTTCGGCAGAGACACTCAAAGAACCTGCGTTCATCCTTCCTGACTATCTTTTTTCTTTTCTCAAGATTTAAGAGTGGACGTTTGCACATTGGAAAAAGATCTGTAAATTCCCTCCATCAGAAATACCAGGCCGTCTGTGTAGGTTTATTTTACGCCGAAAATGCCTTGTTTATGTGCCATCCCGATGTACGTATTGAACTTTCTGAAGTAACAGACAATAAATATAGTTAGCTTAAAAATGGACGCTTGGAAGCCTGGAAGCAGCCTTGGTGAGTGTGACAAAATTTTCATTTAAGCAAGGTGCAGTAACTAAAGTCTTGGAGAAACTATTCTGTATGTGATTTGAACATATTGGGCCAAAGCAACTTTTCACTTGAAATCCGCTTCTAACTAAAAGTCTACTATTTGCACGTGCGCATTAGGCCGTGTTTCAAATATTGCTCAAGTAGATCCGGATCACTTCCCCGTGTCATATAACGTGGATATCACTGGGCTTTCAATGGACTACTTCCAAAACCGACGCGCCCCATCGCGGCGAAATACCACGCAGTGCACTCTGGGAACTAGTTGGCCACTCAGTTTCGGTTTCAACAGTGCAGCTTCACCTCATGCTATCACTCCGCGACCGGACGCGCTGCTTGCGTTTTCGATTATCTGACTTTTCACGAACGTACAATAGACTCATTCTCGAGCGATACAAAACGAAGACCGGGGCATTTTCCTTGGTTCCCGAAACACCGGATATGGTGCGTGCGTATGCGAACGTAGTAAGACATGGCTTAGTCACCTCACCCTACGGGTGCATGTTTGAGCTCAATTTCAATAATCCCGTCTAGTACCACTGAACTAGAACTAAAATTTGTTCATCTGGAGCCTTATACGTATTTTGTTTGCCAAACGTCCGTTTCTTGTTACTTCATTGGGCGAAAAGAAAGCCGCATCCTCACAGGGTATCAAAGTTGAGCCCAGCGTTTACGCAAGAACTTTTAAGGAAACGCAGTAAATTCGACCTCACTACTGCACAAAAGTTACTATGATCTCTTCCTCGTGTCATCATATATCTCCCACTCGAATTTTATGCTGGTAGAAGATCAATTTCTCGCAAACGCTGAGATCGGCTAGCTACGACGGAGGCCCTAACAAGCGTCCCCTACTCCTCGCTAAGCCTTTTTGGACGAGCTTTTACTGACGCCCAAGATCTGCGCCTGAACGGTGTGTCTGAAATTATCTCGGCATACTCAGGCAGGAAAAAAACGAACACAAAACAAATATTATGGCCATTAGCAACCGTCAAACGCGCTTTGAATTCGTTCGAGCACTTGTGTGAAGAATGCCGCACCGTGCGCCGGACGGGCATGAACCCCTATGCGTTGCGCATGGGGGTTCATGCCCGTCCGGCGCACTTTCGGGGAACGGTGCGACATTCTTCACACAAGTGCTCGACTTTTGCTTTTTCAAAACGGTCTGTATGTGCGAATTTGCCTATATGATTACAGGATAACTTTATGCGCATACGCGATGTTGAATATTAATGGAATGCAAGCGGGTAGGGACTTCACTTCGTGCAGTGCTGCGGGTCAGTACAGATAAGAGATAAGAAGTGTGTCAAAATTGAGCTTTTCAATGGCGCCTCCGAGTTTTACCTCGCATATTCAGGCATATTAAGAAATACAGTAATTGCAAAAAGTAATATTTCGTCTATGGACGCACGAAACAAACAAACTTCCTGATCAGCAACACTAATGTAAAGGTGCGAGCTCGATGTATGCATACTTATTGGTTGCTACAGCTTGTTGTTTCGTATACAAGCAAGAAACCCGAGCTTCGCAGCGTCGAGATTCCTAGCACTGGCTCGTCCACATACCTCGATTCGAACGCTAACAGGAAGACTCAAGTACAAAAATACAACAAGCATGTGTTAAGACAAGCTATACGTCTCAGGCTTGTGCTAAAGCTTCGAGGCCTGGCCATTTAGGTTAGTTTAAAGACCACAAATGACGCTCTCGGGACCAGAAAATCATTTCTTGTCGACGTGTCGATCGAAACCGAAACCATGCCACCCTCCTCCCTGGCCAACTAGTTCCCAGAGTGCAACGCGCGCCGTGTTGCATGCAGGGCTTTATGGAAGTAGTCTATTGCGAAGATAGATTTTGAAACACTGCCCGATTTAGTGCAAGCTGCAGGCGGGGTAAGCGTGCGGCAACCCTCCGTAGCCGACTGCAGAAAGCTTTGTCTTTTCCCCAAGGGTAATATCCATCCCGGCTAGCGCAGCGCCACCCACGTATTGTGGCAACATGCCCGGAGGCCGTCTCCGTTCCTTGCGCTACGTCGGATTCTTAGTAAAAAAGTTGATAAATGGGCTAGTTGGTATATAAACATCTAAACGTAATTAGCGCACACGTAGAGACAGGAAAGAGCACTCTTTCCTTTATCTTCTCTCTTTGTGTGCGCTAATACCGTTTAGAATAGATGATCAGGTTCTCACTTGGCTGCGTGGAAGGTCAGACGGTGCCCCTTCCTTCACAGATCCCGGACCTGGTGAAGGGGCCCCTGCCGGCGTGCCCCGGGGATCCCGCCTTCGCCTGGCACCAGCAGCCCTAGCCCCGCCTCCTCCTTGCATGCCACGTTTGCCGCGGTTGTTTTCCTTGAAATCAAAAGTGAGCGGGCGGTCCGAGTCCCCGGTCTCTTTTTGCTCCGATGTGCCTGTGAAATAAATGTGATAATCACGCGTCTCACCGGTCACTTTGGCGCGACCTAGGGCACTCCGGCCCCCGCATCGTTGCCTCGTTATGGGACGCCCTTCGTTCTCGCGGACTATCGCCGTCCGCCATGGAAAGACGCTCGGAACGCTGGGTGTGCGGGCGTGTGTGCACCTCGCGGGCATCGCTCGTGCCGCCGCGTGCGGCCTCGGACTAGCCGCGTCAAAAGACGCCCTAGAGTTGCCTGTAGCTCCAACCGTGGGTCCCGAACGGCCATTTTAAGGTGTTGGGAGAGGGCAGGGGAATCTTTGTGCCGCGTCCGGTGCACACTGCCACAGTTGGAGAGAAAGATAGCTCGGGTTTCGTCGGGAAGTGGGGCGGGCGTCTCCAGGGAACGAAGGAGACCAAAGAGACTGCGACGTCCCAGGCCGGCCCACATGTCTCTACGTGAGGGAAGTACCGAGCGCTCGCTGTCGACCGTGACGGGCGTTCTTCATTCGTTTGCTCTTGGAAATGGTTGTCCGTCACTTTCGAGAGGCTTCCCGGTCCTCGGCCAATAACTCGACTTGCAGTGGCCGAGGGACCCGGCTGAAACCGTGTGGAGGCAGCACCTTCGTGCAAGGTCCGAGCATCGCCGGCTGGAAAAGTGCTTCTTGGGACTCGAGCGGCTCAGTAGGGGCGGCACTTCATTTTGCCATTGGACGGATCCGAAGCACGAGCGAGGCGCTACTTGTTGGACATCCAGATTTCAGAACGAGGAAAGGCCCCCGAACAGAACATGGGGACGGCATTGTTGCCGCTGTCGAGTTCCGAGGATTGCGTGGCACTGTCCGTTGGTTTCAAGCACCGAGTGCCTCTAGTCAATTCACCTTTGGCACGAACTTTGGCCGGGGCACGTGCGGCCGTTCCTCAATTTCCGCTGCACCGGAGTCGTGGGGACTCGAGTTCTTACTCTAGAAAAGTGGCTCTGACGGGCCATTGAATGGCATCTTGTGCACAAAACGCACCTTAGTTTTTGTTGGCCCGGTGCAACTGGCTAGGGCTTCAGAAATCCGCTTTTGAGTCGCAAGGCCGGTGCGTCGGCCGATCCTACCGAGGATGCTCGTCTCGTTTGTTCATTGCGACCTTGTGCACCACCGGGTGAGGGCTCGAGGTACCCGCTGGACCTCCTTCCGCATTGGCTGCCACCAGAACCAAGAACCAGTTGATCTGGCCGGCTGCTTTGGCTTTCTGACTGCAGAAGGGCAGTGGCAGTGTTGTGTTTTGCGAGCCCTGACGGGGCCGCAAAAGCTTTGTTTGTTTGGCATGCCCCGTCGCGGCTACCGACTGCCTGCCTCGGTTCGGGCTGCTGCCCCGAGTTGTTTACGCAAATCCCCGCTGTTTTGGCCGCCGGGTTGGTGTGCCACGAATGTGTGTGCGTCCGTGTTTCTGAAATGGCTGCCGGGACTCTGGGAGCACAGTTGCATACGTCTGCCATTGTGGAAGGGACGGTGAGGGTTGCCGCAAATGTTGCGTCGCATTGCTCCGTCTTTCTGTGGCCTCCAGCAGTTCTCCAAGCGTGCGTGGGCGACTTTGGAGTTGCCGGCGGAGACGACGGTGGGGCAGCCACAAGACGCCGGGCCGAGCCTTTTCTAAGAACACTCGGAGTTCTTGTCTCGTGCGTCGCAGCAGTCCCAGCTAACTTATGGCTATTGCGACCATGTCGGAAAATTTCAAAACCCTCTAAACGACTCCCCTCTTTTGCTCGCGTCTGGTCCCGGCTTTATCGCTCGGCCTTTCTAGGGACATTCCACGACTGATTCTTCTCTGCTCTAGTCTCGGCGAGTGGTTGGTACCTCGTGGCTCCTCTGCATGGCAGTTTTGGCAAGATGAAACATAGTGCTAGAGTTGCCCGGGAACTTTCCAGAATTGGTGCGTGGAAAGTTGGACGGAGCGGAGGAAGCAACAATCAGCGCCCACGTGTGATATACGGCTAAAGCTTCTCGCCCTCCCAAGCATCCCTCCACTCCGGTCGTCCGTCACCGTTCTCCCTCGGTGTCGCAGCGGCACCTGCCGAGACACCCGGGTTCCTGTGGGTGTTCTCCACTCCGGCGTGGGTTGTGGCTGGGTGGGGCTTGTACATAGCGTTGTTTCCAGGGCCATGGGTGTTCCCACGGTCCTCATTATTTATCCGCGGTCTCGACGTATCTCTGCCGCGAGATTGCCGGGCTTGCTCTGCGCCGGCCACGGAGGAGCTCCGTCGTTCTGGGTTTGCTGTCGCGCTTCTGTCAACGGCATGGGGCCATGTTCTAACCCACGGACATGTTTTGAAGGAGGAAAACACTGCCAATGTTTTGTACGTCTTCGATGCGTTAACCTGTACTCCATTTCCCTCGAGGAGAGAATTGAGCGGTTTCTGTCTGGGTTGCAATAGCGTGTCTTCTGTTTTGTTGTATATTTTTTATACAAACATGCACCGAATAAATGTCAGATGGGTGTGCGAAGGATCTTGTGCCTGTCTGCTTGAAACGAAGAACTGGCGCACGGCCAAATTTGTTTTTACTCTGGTGTGTGAGCAGTGACGAGCGAATGTATGCTGCGCTCAAGTACGACGACAAAAAGGTAATAAAACATTTGGGGGCATTGCTTTTGCCACGCTGGGGTGGGAGGTTTGCGGCGCTATGGTCCCAACGCGACGCATTTTGCTTTTTGTTGAGACGGAGTAGCGACAATCACCTGTCCGTACCTCCTTGGTCGGTGCCCCGAATGAGGACTTTCCACCTCGCTGGTAGCTTTACTGGCAACCGTTCAATTGGAAAGAAAGAAATGCAGTTCCTTTTATTGCACGTAATTCTGAAGCAGTGGTTGAATCTGTGAAGTCTGACAATTACAGCAATCGTAGTGTTTTCAGTGGACTTCCAGGACCTCTACTCCCTTCACCGTGATACTTTGCTCACCTCAGTTCAATCCTGTATTAAGAATAACAGCAAAATATTTTTCGGAAATGCTAATGGTGTGTCTATCGAACCTTCCTGGAGCTTTTGAAGCTTTATTTGAATTCTATGTTAATTGGATGGAGTAACGGCCTTTACGTACATAAATCTGGGGTCTCCATTGGGTCGTGTGTAGCTCCTGTACTGAGTGATATTTTTTGTCAAGGGTAGATCAGGCATTCAAAGACTGTCTTAGAACCCTTCCTGTAAAAAAGGTTTTCCACTATGTCAATGATTTTCTAATTGTGTACTCTAAGACAGAAGACAATTTTGTAGACCAGATTTTTGATATCTTTGACAAGTGTGGTCTTGGTCTTAAATTTATTTTTGAGAAACCCAAGGATGCATCCTTACAATTTTTAGGTCTTGATATTTCTTCACTAAAATCATCCGTGCTGTCATTCTTTCCACGCTTGACAAAAGGTATCCTGCACTATATGTCGACACATTCCAAAGTTGCAAAAAGGGGTATAGCCGTGTCCATCCTAGGGACGGCGCTGGAGAAGTCGTTTCCACAACGTAAAAGGTAGTTTTAAAGCTGAATTGGAACTCCTAGAGTTTTCAGGATTTCCACAGCAGGTATTAACTGAGGTAATGGGGTCCTTGTTAAGCGAGGTTAATAGGGGAGAGAAAAGCAGGCCCCAAAGACGGGAGGGGTTGCCCAGTGGTGGTTTCATGTGCCCACAAAATGTTGCACAATCTGAAAAAAGTGGCAACCCCCCCCCCCCCTTTCCACCTTAAGATGATGGCCAGGATTTGCTCTCAACTGCATTCAAAAATAGAAAAACGCTCAAAACTCGGACGCATGAAGCGACATCAGTGGCACTTCATTCCATGCACAAGTGTTGCTGCGTATAAATTATGTCTTATTTGTAGTAGAAGTTATGTTGGACAGACTGAACGGCATGTCAACGACCGCCTCCGAGAACACTACTATTTCCTTCATGCCACCGTAGGAGGACACCTCCCACAGCACTGTCAGACCTGCCGGTGTGCACCAGTGTTTGAACAAAGAACAATTTTGGGGTAATTTCTAGACCAGAGCACTAGGGAAATCCTGAATGTGTTAAGTGTTAGCTCACCCTGTGACCTGCCCTGCCTTTATAGTTTTCTTTTAGTTATCTTAGTTTCCTTTTGTAAATATTCATGGTGTGAATGTATTGCGCTTCGTCTTTTTCTTTTTTATCTATGAACGTTGTTTTCCTCGTAAATATCAGTTGCGAGTCGGCGCTTCTGTGCTCTATGTGTTCATCTCCTATTGTCCTGTTCTTTGTGTGCTTTCATTGTGTCTTCTCAATACGAACTTGCCTAACTCGCCACGTTGTTTCATCGTGAGTTTGCGCTTTTTATCTGAAACTGAACTTGGGAACCAATCGTCACGAAAATCTTTCGCAGGATCGCCGAAGGGGGCGTGGTCTTGCCCCACTTATTTTTTATCAGACAGCATCACGTTCTTTCTTTCTTTTTTTGAAAGATTCGGAAAGCCATTTAATTAGCGTGGTCCTCAAATGCCGACTGGCAAGATTTATCCCCATGTTCCTTGCATCCTCTTTTGAAAAGCCCCCTCAACAATTGGTAGGGTGACAAGAAAAACGTTAACGAGAGATCTTGTAGATATTCTTTTAGAGCGCAGCTCTTAGGCGCCTGTTTCCGGGTTGAGCGGCGTCGCCGTCGGCGTAACCATGTGTTGCATTATGGGACGTTTCCCATAATGACGTCGTATATGACGTCACGTGTGACGTCATCAGGATAATATTTTTCTGCTGAACTTAGCGGGAAAATTTTTCTGCTAAATTTATCAGGAAAAGTTTCCCGTTAAATTTAATGGGGAAGTTTTTCCGCTAAATTGAGCGGGGGAATTTCCCCGCCAAATTTAGCGGAAACATTTCTCGCCAAATTTAGTGGGAAAATTTTGACCTCATGACGTCGCACGTGACGCCACTCAAACCGAGAAAAATTTTCCGCTAAATTTAGCGGGAAAATTTGTCCGCTAATTTTCGCGGGGAAAAAACACGAACTTAAAATGATGGTAAATTTCCCACTAAATTTAGCGGCAAGTTTAGCGAAAATTTCCCGCTAAACGGGAGGGGAGCAGGAGAAGAGGAGGGACATACCCTCCATATCCACCCCTCCTCCTCCTCAAGAGCTGCGCTCTAATCCGGAATTGCAGAGAGTTGTAAACTTCTTTTATTTTTTTCTAGTGCCAATCTATTCTGCATTGAAAACGGAAAGCAAAGGCCACAATGTTGTGTGTCGTGGCCCCTGCCTCTTTTTTTTTACACTGTTTTGTTTTACTTGTTAGATGATGGTTACTAGAATAAGGTATATTTGTACCATCGACGGCAAACTGCTTATTGTGTAAGCAGCCTGAAACGGTTGAACATGTTTTTATTCAATGTATGGAGGACGATATTTTCTTTCGGGATATTTTACAGCGTATTCGACAAAAATACCTAGAAATGACAGCACATTCTATACATAATTAATATCCGGGCCGCTTTCGGTCACGTCCACTGATTTCTTAAAGTGCTGTAATGCTTTGAAATTGACTGAGGAACTTGGGCTTTGCTGTGGCAGATATTCGTGAATTAAATGATGCAGCGAGCCGTGGCCGTCGAGCTCGAACAGTCTCTGTCACGCGCTCGTCGCTTTCACGCTGAACATTAGGGTGGCTTAATTTTAAAATCAAACATGCACACATCCGACTCTTTCGGAGAGCGAAGATACTTGAATGAATGAATCGCACTTGAGTTCTTACGCAGATAAAGATTGATTGAAAGATTAATTAATATTCGCCCCAGATAAGATCACCCACGCGAGTCCGAACTTATTTTTTGTTTTTGTTAATTTTTTTCATATGTTACTCCTCAACATGTGTAGTGAACGTGATAAAAAATATTTTACAAAAAACACAATACTTAAAGAGAAAAAAAAAATGTCTAGTGTGCCAAAATGGCATATTCGATTTTTGAAGTTTTGGTTTATGTCATGTTTGGTGACACCCGGTAAGCAAACAACATATATGACAAATCTCAAATATTCTTAACTTATAATAGATTATGGGAAATATTGAGTGAAATATGTGCAGCATTGTAGAGGTCATATATTTCGCGTCAAAAATGCGCAAACATAACTCCTTTGAAGTCTTGTCACGATTTCTGAGCCGTTATCCACAAAAGTTGAATAGCTACAGCATTAAAGTTTATATCATATATTGCTTTGAAAGCGTTCTTTAGAATGGTATATATATAAATCATTGCTTTATCTCGAAGATTGAAACTTTTATGTCGCTCCAAACATGTTCTAAATTACAAAGTTAAAAAATTTCGAGGGGTAATTAAAAAAAAAAAAAAAAAAGAAAAACATCTTTGACTTTTCTGAAATCTATAGTGATAGTTATTCACCATACTTTTGTGTACATTTATGAAAAACATCTGTATCATTTTTTTTTCTTCAAAGTTACAGACAGCGCTGCAAAGTGTACCTTCCAGGCCGGCATTTTTGCCCAATGCTACAGACGAGATGATCTTTTCATTCCGTGTATTATAATATATATATTTTTGTGCTATGTTCGAGTGTTGGGCTCAAGTTCAGGTATTCTACTAATTAAAACGATGCCCTCGTTGCTCGTCCTTTTTTGGTAATTTAACCAGTAAGCCTGTTTTGCCCCTTAAAATGACAAGTTCTGTGATAAATTTTTTCCACAAAAGCAGGTCGAAAACTTGTAATCGCTACTACAACCATTTTCTTTTTTGACGGAACTAGAAAAGTAAGTAAAGTAGTGAAAATTATATGCGAATATTTATACCTATACTCGCGTTGAAGTGGGAATATTTGAGCCACCACGCTTCTTACACTGCTAATCATGACGGTTGCACGTCTGGCTGACCAAGGTAAACCTGCGACTTCACTGGCAGACTTTCAGGAAGGCGTCCGTTAAGATTAAAAATATTTGTAATTATTTATTCCACTAAAAATAAAAAAAAGTAAAAATAAAAACGACGAGTAAAGATATCGGGCGCACAATATTGGCCCGCGGTAGCAGGAGGAGGGCTTCTTGAGAAGGCCGTCTTTGGTCCCTCTTCAAAGCAGACTGACGGCATTCCGCGAAGCGCTCACCTGATCCCAACGAGAGCGAGAAAACCGGTCAACTCGAATGTGGCTACAAATAAGGAATGCACGAACCGGAGGATTTTGACAGATCTTCGAAGAATCGACATCCAGATCTTACACACTGCGAAAATTGATCTGCTTTGCTATCTTCTTTTTAGCGTTTACTAAGATAGCACGAAATACTTTATGGACGCTCTAAGTCGCTGCTCTGTCAAGACACCACTACACGGGACTGGCAGCAGCGCCCGTGTTGTCTCGTCTCTCTATCCCAAGACTTCGCAACCTTTCGAGAGAATGACACGACAGAGAAAGAAGGAAGGATAATTATTAGCTTTTCTATGAAGCAACTTATAGACTATGCATAAGCACGTGGCAAGCAGTTCCTCCGAAAAGAAAAGCGCACAAGGAGAAAGGTTTCCGTAAAGCTTCTCTTCAGGCTCACGAGGGGGGCCACTGCGGGCTTGTGTGGTTTGTTTTCTGTCTGAGCCGCCGCCTTTCTGATCTAGCGCTGATGAGGCCAGTGGCACTATACTTCGTTTCACCTTAGCTACGAGCGCGGCCGGTGGAGGAGCGCGCACAGAGAGACGGCGAATACCGCCTGGTCCTATCAACTGCAGAGAGCACGCCATGACGTTGCGCCTCTTTCGCTGTTTGATTGGCGGTATTTCGGCTCGCGGTATTTCGATTCCGGGCTTGCGGTATTTCGATTCCGGTCTTTGCTCCTAGGTACCAGTGGCGTAGCAACGGGGGGTCCCGCAACGGGCGGGACCCTCGTGACGTCACTCGTGACGTCACGTGTGATGTCATTATGGGAAACGTGCCATAATGCAACGCGCGGGTTACGAGTGAGACCCTCGCGTTGCCATTATGGGACGTTTCCGATAATGCACTGCGCGGTTACGCCGACGGCGACGGCGACGCCGCTCAAGCCGGAAACGGGCGCCTAAGAGCTGCACTATAAAACAACAAAAAAATATCCGCTTTGCGCATTTAGTACTAGTGTCGCCATCCGGTTTAACACGTTAAAAATAAAATTAACAGGGCGGTTTATTTACACAAATTCGCAAAAACAAGAATATTAAGTTTTCTTGTCATGGTCTTAAAATTAGGATTAGAGGCAGCCCTAGTACGTACGCCCAAGCGTTTTGTCACGTTTGTCTTCAAAATAATTTTATTTTCAAAAATGTCTCAAAATCACTCTAAACAGTCAGAACGGTCATATTTCTGGATATGATCAGAAATCTCCAGCGCTCTCGAAACAAATTAAATAAATTCAAGGGCCGTACGATTATTATTACGTCTTCATAACTAATTTCCAAAAGAATGAATACTCTCCTGCATTCCTGAAGCTCAGGTTTGTGCAGCGAGATTTGCCCACAAAGTGACGACCGGGTGAACCCCTTTTGAGTTGAGAAAATATTCGGGTTGTTTTCATTGTGTTACAAAGAAACGCGCACCGCTCGCGTCAGCACTGCGGACGTTTGTGAGATAGTCATCGGGCTATCGCCAACAGGAGAAAAGGAAGAAGACACGTCGCCATGTCTCGCATCAAGGGCAAGGTAACTTTCTGGCCTTTTTCGCGGCTCTTCACATTCGGCGAAGAAGAGCTACAGCGTGCCTTGAACAGGGCGATCCACTCACTTGGCAGTGCACATGTGCCGCTCTATTCTGGTTACGCACCGCTGGGAGCGACTGGATCGCCGGGGTTCTCAGAGCAAGGTGGTATCCACTGGACGCCATGTTTGAGGTGACTGCCCAGAGCGCATGCTCGGGATGAGTTTTTATTTATGGTCTGCCAAAGAATAAAATCTTGATGGTGTGGAATGTTCGTGTTGGAACAACGGTTGGAAGCGTGTAAGCTTGCCGTCAGCACGCGCTCAGCAGCAGCGAGCTCAGCTATATGGCCGCCAGTGAATACCACCGTAGCCCTCCTCTATACTGGGGTGCTATGTTGCGCTTTTTGTACTCCCAGGAGACTTGGAAGAGGGAAGTGACGTCAACGACTAGAGCAAATCAGATTAGATGTTGACAGAAGAAAACAAAATCAACATCCAATCTGCATCTGCTGCGTTGTTGACGTCACTTTCCTCTCCCTAGTCTCCTGGGAGTGCAAAAAGCGCAACATAGCCCCCCTGGCCACAGTGGAGGAAACACATTTCTTCCATGTTTCTTTCATGTTTCTTCCACCGTGATAGTGACAAAGCCTGGCAGATCGCGACGAGACGCGACCGCCGAAAGTGAAAAGGTAGTGTGGCACACAACGGATGAGAGGATGGATGGATAGATAGATGAATCTGGCTGAGCCCTTCGGATCGGGCGGTAGCTTACGCCACCTAGCCATTTTGTTTTACCATTTAAGCTTAAAATATTTAAATGTGAACACTATATTCACTCCGCACTGAAAATAAAGTGAGGCTATAAAACCCCTTGCCATCTGTTAATAATAAAATACCTAGTTTTACTAATAAAATACCTAGTTAATAATAAAATACCATTCTGTCTAGCCACTGATCCCTTTCTGTGGCCTTAACTTTCTTCTTAACTGAGACCTGCTGTTCCGTAACTCCACTGTAGCCTAAGAACTTTCCTCTTAATTTCCTAGTGCGCTGTCTCCACTTTGTGTCTATACTCCTCATGTATATATAGCTGAAAACCTTTCGTGCCCATTGCTCCCCATCCAACCGATCCTCAAATTTTCTCTTGCTCACAGCTTCCACGCCCTCAAATGACGCCCATCCCATGTCTCCTTGTACTCCCTGGTTTGGCGTTTTGCAATGAGCCCCCAAAGCCAGCCTACTTACCGCGCGCTGTTTTATTTCTAGTCTGGCATGCACCTCGGATTTCATGCATAGCACTGCGTTTCCAAAAGTCAAGCCAGGCACCATGACCCCTGTCCAAATCTCTCTCACCGCCTCATACCTGTTGTAATTCCAAAGTGCTCTATTTTTCATTACAGCTGCATTTCTGTTGCCCTTACCTATTATATACTTTTCATGCTCACTGAGATATTCTGCACCATCACATATCCATACTCCTAGATACTTGTATTTACTAGCTCTCTCAATTGTAATATTCTGTATCTTCAGCCTCTCAACTTCATCATTGTTAAAAATCATGACGGCTGACTTTTCACTACTGAATTCTAAACCTAATTCCTCTCCTTCCCTACCACAGATGCTCATTAATTTCTGCAAATCTATCGTGTTATTAGCCATTAGTACGGTATCATCCGCATACATCAATCCCGGTAAGGATTGCTGAATTTTTTGGCCTAGCTTACTGTACGTAAGGTCGAATCCAAGCCCACTCTTTCTCTAGTCTATCCTCCAATCCTCTCAGATACAACATAAACAGCAAAGGTGGTAACGGGCACCCCTGCCTAAGGCCTCGTCTTATCTCTATTTTCCCCGGTGCCTTTCCTTGTTATAATCACCTTATTATCTTTGTAAATGTTGCTTAATATTGCTGTTAGTCCTTCATCTAGGTTTAAGCTCTCCACTATATCCCACAGGTTCCTTTGGTTCACATTGTCATAGGCACCCTTGATATCCAGAAATGCCAGCCAGAGCTGTCTGTCTGTCTGTCTGTTTTCTTTTTGCGCTATTTCTATACACTGTGTTTGAGAAAATATATTGTCCTCCAACCTTCTTTGTTTCCGAAACCCGTTCTGTAACTCGCCCAGTATGCCCTCGCAATCTACCCATTCCCTCCAGTCTGTTCTTTATAATCTGCATTACCAACCTGTAAATAACTGGGGTCACGGTTATGGGACGATAATTCCTAATATCAGACTTATCTCCCTTTCCCTTATATATCATACTCATCCTACTAAGCCTCCATTCATCTGGAATATTTCCTTTTGTTATCATAGTGCTCACTACCTCCCTTAGTTTTGCCTTAGATTTAGGACCCAAATTCTTCACCAGCTTGATTGTGATCTCATCTGTGCCTGCCGACGTGCCAATAGGGACTCTACCTTCCGCCTTTTCCCATTCGTTTTGTCCGAAATCCGCGATGTCACAAGCTGGACTGCTACTTCCTTCGGTTCCCCTATCTTCCACATGTACCCGTTCCCGAAATTTCTCCTCCATCACTGCTCCTATATATTGTATCGCATCATCTCCCTCTAATTGATCTCCCTGATGCGAGAGTAAGAACCTCTGTTTAGCTTGCGTCGTTTCACCGAGTGAGGTCAAGTGTTCCCCAAAACTTCTTGGCTGCGTTTCTATCTTTCTTGCTTACATTACTCATGCATTCCTCACCCTTTCTCTGAACTTTCGCATTATTCAAACTGGATGCCTCTCGGCGACATGTTATAAAAGTGTCCCATTTTCTCCCCACTACGCTTGAATGCCTGTGTTCTCTAGAGGTTTTCTGACGTTTTTGTATCGCTTGCTTCACTTCTTTGTCCCACCAGCTTTTTGGTGTATGTCCTTGCTTCCCTTTTCGTTTACTCTGAACTTTGTCTAGTTCCAGAGCAAAAAGCCTAGTTACACTCTCACAGTGTTGGGTAAAGTACATCTAAAAAATACTTCAAGGGAAGTACAGAGTAAATAAGACATAAAGTACTTTAAGTAATGTAGTAAGTACACTGGGTGCAATGTACTTGAAGTAAAGTACTAGAAATACAATGTACTTTGAAAGTAAAGCACAAGTATTTTAACACAAGCTTTCATGATGTACCTTAATTCCCCTATACAGTGATTTTTTTAAACTGGTGCGCATTGCTCAGGGGTAATCAGGGGTGCATGACCTATTTTCAAAAACAGCGGCGAATATTTGATAAAGCCATTTGGACACAGAGTAGTTGTTTTCAGGTATGGAGCCAAATTCAGAAGTTCCTCTTCTGAATTTGGTGCCGCTTGCACTGGATTGTTGCACCCAAGGGGGTTTAATGTACTAGGAAAGTGCATGACGTCTGCCCCATAGCTTCTGCAAGCAATCCTCTCATAGAGTAGTGTCTTCTCTTTAATGAAAACAAAAAAACAAAAAAAAAACAAAAAAAAAACAGTGAGTGTGGAGCGAGGTGGTGATAATTATTCATAATATGACACCTGAGATTGGGTGCGAAAAAAATTAAGGAACATTCAAGTCGAAGGAAAAGACAAAAGAGAATGTCTCAAAACATTGTGACGTTCTCCTCTGTTGTCTTTTTCTCCGACTTGAAAGTTTAATTGTTCCGCACCACAGTTTCAGGTGCTAGATTATGATCAATTTTGCTGTCCTAATATTTTAAACCTCCTCGCTTGCGCTGACCGACCAAAAAGTAGCGAGAGTTCAAAAAGCTACTGGAAAGCCGCCCCTGCAGAACAAACGGAGTGATGCGTCGTCTGCTCACCTTTCTGGTGAGGACGGAATATCCCTCCCAGTATTTCTTCGGAGTTAACAAAGCATCATTTCGTGATACAAACATAACAAATCCAAATTTGGGAAATGTACTTTGGAGTCGGGAATCGTACTTTCCTCGGAAAGTACCAGAAAAAAATACTTTAAGTAAAGTACAAGTACATATTGTAGTGAGTGCGCAGGCGAGCTGGTGGAAATTAACCATTCTGATGTTAGCCTGAGACTGAGGCAGGAAAAGAGGAAGTTTCAAAGTAGAAGAAAAAGGAACAGTCGAGGATACGTCTCTAACACAGCTAAAGACAAGTTTATTCGGTCACCCTCTTATATACACTCCACAATCTTCACCACAGAACCTTCGCGACCTCCAAAGGTCGCGAAGGTTCTGTGGTGAAGATTGTGGAGTGTATATAAGAGGGTGACCGAATAAACTTGTCTTTAGCTGTGTTAGAGACGTATCCTCGACTGTTCCTTTTTCTTCTACTTTGAAACTTCCTCTTTTCCTGCCTCAGTCTCAGGCTAACATCAGAATGGTTACAAGTACATACTCAGAGAATGTACTTCAAGTAAAGTACAAGTTTCCTAAACCTACTTGAAGTAGTAGAGTCCCTCCGATTGGTCCGTGAAAAGAGTCGTGCGTTGCAGCGTTCGTCGGAGGAGAGCCTGGCGTCTGGCAGCTCGATCGAGGAGACGCGGAGCGTGATGTCCTTCATCCTGTCGCGCGTGCCCGGCACGGAGCTGTCGGCGCCGCCACCGCCGCCGCCGCCGCCCCCACCTCCGGAGTCGCCCGTGGCAGTGCGAAAGCGGGCCTTTCCCTGGACGTGGCTGCTGACACACGCGCCCTGCGCGCTCAGGTACAACGCACCGGGACAGAGGACAGACAGTCTCATAGCAGAGCCAAGCTGAAAACCGCTGGCACTCAGTTCGTCGAACGATGTTTCATCAACAGATCGTTTTCTTCGAAATGCAACGCTTCATCGAGAGTTCGTTTCATCGGAGGGCTTCTCGCGTTCGTTTCATCGACACATCTTGTGTCGTTTGGTTGAACAGAGCCCTGCTCTTTTCGCAACATTTTTGTTTTGTTTGTTCCGTTTTGCCGTTTCTGCAGAAGAGAGCGGAGGAGAAATGGAAAGGGGGGGGGGGGGGTGAACGAGGTTTTGGTAAACACGCATAGATGGATCCCGCGCTAGCCTTCAGCGGCTTTTGCACTTGATTACGCACCTAGTAAAAAGGAATACGTTGTCGACGAAACGTCGCAGGAGCATGTATCCATGAAACGAGTGGCCACGAAACGCCACAGTCGACGAAACGTGTCTTCATAAAACGTGTGTCCATTTAAAGTTGTCCCCCAAACGTGTTTCCACGGAACGATTCGGATCCACTGAAAGTAGCCGAAAGCGTTTCTAAATTACACTGTGTAGTCAAAAAAGAAAGAAAGAAAAAACGGAAAAGAAATTGGCGCATATTTTATTTATACTTTTGACACCTTATTGTTCACGATTAGGCCAACCTTACTAAAGAGTCCGATGGGCAGACAGACATTTATAACGCACAAATTATAAGGACAGCCAGAAGAGATGCACATGATATGCGCGCTGACTTGTAGCAATCGAAGGCCGTCTGCGGTGTGTTCTAATTTCTATCTAATATTTCTAGTATATTTACGGTACAGTACAACGCAACACGAAGTTTATTTTTCGCCCCAGGGTTCGTAGTCGTGGCTAACGATAGGCCAAAAAAAAAAAAGAAACGCTCTAAAGGTTTTTCTAACGTGCCATGTGTTTTCTGGAAACTCGTTGTCTTCGTTCATGTTTCTCCACCCAGGGGACTCTGTTAAAAATGAACATAACAGTTGTCCCTCCCAACTGAACAGCGTCGTAGAGTGATACTAATATTTCCCCTCATCTAAACATGCTAGAATCAAGCACGATTCGACATCTCCCAACAAATTGGCGGAAAAAATGCGTAATCGTTTTTTTTATATCTTTTATTATACTCGAGAAGGGCCGCGTGCCCTCTCGTCCTAGAACAACCGTGGCACCTCAAAGTGACTAGCCCTGAATTTTTGCTTCGACGTCATTGCTAGGACCAAGCGACTGGGGTCCATATTGTCACGGAGTAAGGCGAAGAGACGATAAATGATGAACTGAAAAGAAGCTTTAATCGACCAACTTGCGTTAAACAATATAAAAAAAAAAACGAGCGTCGAGACAGCAGAAAAGCGGGCGGCGATTTGGCGGCGTAACGTGAAGCGAGAGCGGGACTGACTCGACAAGATCACGGGCGGCTCCTTATCCTGTGTGCGTCGGCATCGCGAAAATTCGGCCCAGAAGGTTCGAGCATCCAGCGTTCGGGGTGAGAATGAGCAGGCACTTAGGCACTTTCGAAAGCAAGAACTAGCGCGAAAATATAGAAGTTACGCCCTGAGTTAGAATAAACGCGAATCTTCTAGAATTCCGTGACCGGGCGCTGCTTGCTCGGCCTTGCGCGCGGCCATATCATGGGCCAATGACATTTTAGCGAACAGCGCCGTATGAGCGAATCGAAATTTTAGTAAATAACGGAAGCGCGGGTTAACCCACCGCTTCGCGGCGGCAGTTTGCGGCGGCCAAAAATGTTAACCAACTTTGCTCACCCGTCAACGCCGCTTCGCGGCGGCTGACTATTCGCTAAAGTTTCATTCGATGAAAGTTCGTCGTTCGCTAAAACGTCGTTCGACTAACTGAGTGACACCCAAGTGACGGAGCAACATGGATTCCAGTTATTTTTGGTTCTAACCGACACTCGAGGTGTCCAGACCTGTCTGTGCAGCGTTTTGCACATTGGTGTCTTGCTCGCAATCTGTTCGTTGAACGACGTTTCATCGACAGATCGTTTCGTCGACTTGGGACGTTTCATCGACAGTTCGTGTCATCGAAAGGCTTCCCGCGTTCGTGTCAATGACAGACTGCTACGTTTTGCACACACTGCTGTCTGGCTCGCACTCTGTTTGTCGAACGACGTTTCATCGACAGATCGTTTCGTTGAAATAATACCTTTTATCGACGTTTCGTGTCATCGAAAGGCTTCCTGCGTTCGCGCCGATGACAGACTTTGCTACGTTTGATCGAATACAGCCCGGCTGTTTTCGCAGCAAACGTTTTGCTCTTGTCTTGTGTACGGGCGAAGGGAGAGGAGCGGAAGGGAAATGCTTGGGTAAACATGACTCAATGAATTAGCGGCTTCAAGATTTGATAACTCACTTAGTAAAAAGAAAGTGCGTTGTCAACAGAACTTCGCAGCATGCGTCCACAAAACGCCACAGCGTTGATGAAACGCGTGTCCATGAAACGTGTGTCCACGAAACGCGATTCCACGATATCTGTTTCCACGAAACGATAAGGCCCCCGATGTCTCGGCCCCGTGGCGAGGACTCGGACGCCACTCGAAGCAGCGGGGCGTCGTGCTTGTCCAGGCTGCTGCTACTGGTGGCGGCGCACGCAGCCGTGGCGGTGTCCCTGGCCACCTCCGGCCGTGACCCCCGGGAGCCCTGGTGCAGCGGCTCGGGCTTGCTGCTCGTCTTCCTGGGGCTGCTGGACGCGGCGATCGCGTGCGCCGTCACCCGAACGCCGCGGAGGAAGTTGGCCGAGCTGGTGAAGCACGTGAACAGGAGACTGGCGCCAATCACCGCCACCAAACGCTTCTCCAGGTGAGCGGCGAGTGCGTGACAACGCAGGCCGTTTGCTCACCAAGGCGAGTATCTCTCCCGGCACTCACCTGCAAGAAAAGAAGAGAAGTAACTGTTACTCTCTCGTAACAAGTTGCTGAGCTTCAAAAGGAACACTCAAACTCCCAAGTAACCACTTTCTCGTCACTCTGACGAGAAAGTTGGGAGGAAGCACGGACGACGTCCACGTACTATAAAATAGTGACATATTTATGGAACATCTAAGGTGGTGCTGCTGAGCGAGTCTACTCTTGGTGCCCATGCTGCCGATCTACTTTCAGTGGTTCATGGTGCCGTGACGTCACATATGCTGGTTGTTCAAGCGCCCAGGAGACGGAGCGACGATGACGCGTTAAGTTCCTGAGGGATAAAAAGAATGCGCGAACAGTCGCGGTGCCTGGGAGTCGCGAAAGTTTGGGTTCCAGTTGTGCCGCCTCGAGCCGGTAGAGATAAAAGAGGTTGACCTCGAAACGTTGGTATGCAGCTCCGAGAGTGCTGATTATGACGACAACTAGTCTGCCTGTCTACTCGTTCGACTAGTTGTCACGCAACTCCGCCGTCGTTAATCGTCGGGTCGAGCTGTGCCAGCCGCGAGGTGCGGCGATCCGCGAAGTTTCTCGTTCTGACGAACAAACGCGCTGACTGATCCGAAGGGGGACTCTGTACGACCTTCTCGTCAGTCGGTAGATGGCAGATGTCGCAAGGAGCACGCCAAGGAGTCACCATGCATGAGGAAGTTTACAGAAGGCTTGCTCGAAAGTGGCCCGCACGTTGGCCGTTGCCCGCAGGGTGAGCTGGACGCTCATCCTGGCCTCTATCCTGGCGTTCGTGGCCGTCGACTCCCGGCTGCACGCCGCCAGACTGGCGTCCGTATTCGGCATCGTCATGATGCTGGGCTTTGGCTACATCTTCTCCGCTCACCGGAGCAAGGTCAGTGGCGGGACCTTAAATACTGAACTGAAATTTCGAGCTCACTGAACAAGGCTGGACGGATAGGCCGGACGCTGCAAAACCCCAAAACTTCACTCGCGCAGCGAAGTCTCTAACGGATCGCCGTATTTTTGGAAAAGAAGTGCGCGACCGAACACGGTCGACGAGGCTTACGATACAAGGCACGTCACGATTCCCATTCCCTCTCCTCCTTGCTACGTCCCGTCGAGCTGGTGAACCGAACCGAGGCCGCTTCCACTCAGTCTCGAATTCTCCCGAAGGACAATGACATCAAAGACCTCGCCTGATCGCGCCCTTCTTTTCCTAAAGTACTGCCGTCCGTTTGAGATATCGATGTATGAGTGATGTTTTGGAGTTCGTAGAGTCCCGTTCAACGCTTCTGCGGCCTGATTTTGCGAAAGCCAAATTTCGGTTCAGCATCCCTTCAAAGGAATGCTGAACCACGGCCGGACTGGAAGCGCGCGCTCTCTTTCTCTTCTTACGGCCTTTGCAACTTTGGCAATCGCCACCTCCCGCCGCAATCCGCGGGGGGTGCTGTCACCTCACCCCTGGGCTACCCTGTGCCGTTTGCGCAGAGCGCGTCTGACAGTGTATCTCAGCGCTGTCGCAACTTGCGGCGGAGATTTTTATAGCCTTTGACGTCTGATCATTGCGTTTTAGACCCTCAGCCACTACCTAATGCGCTTCTGATGAGCCCAAAACGGTTATTATTTGACGCACATCTCCGAGAGATTCAGGGGTGAAAATTAATAAGCCGAGACAGCGAATGCAATTGCGGAAAAACTGTACTCGTCTTTACCTTCCAGGTCTTCTGTTGCAACTCAAGGGGAGACGGGCCCCTTCTATTTGAAGAAACTTTAAATGATAAGTAATGTGTACCCTCGTGAAATGTGAGCTGGCCCAATCTATCTATTGCCGTGGTCTGCATCATCATTTCATAGGCCGCACATAAAGTCGGTCAGCTGCTCTAGACGAGGGTGTGGTAGTCTGTACAATTTTCGCACAGTGCATATTACAGCCTAAAGTGCTTCCTCGAGGGCCTGTGCACATATCCAGCCGATTTTTCGTTTCTGTCCGTGACCGTCTTTGCATGGTTAATCAGAAGTATTCTGAGGAACCTTTGCCAAAACAACAACTTACGAAGCTCCAACACCAGTGCAAAGCAGCTCAAAGGGCCTCTCCGAGTGGTGTGAAGTGGGGTGAGGTGGTTGCGCCCTTGGCGGCAAGCAAGTGAACTACATACGGAGAAAAAATACAATTGAATGCCGGGCGATTGCAAAGGCCTTAAGAAGAGAAAGAGAGCGCGCGCTTCCAGTCCGGCCGTGGCTGGACCAAACATTTCAAACATTTTTGTGAAAAACTCGAGACTGAGGTATTGCAGGTGACAAGGAAGAGAGCAGAACGTCTCAAGCACAGCTAGACCTCTATTGCGGACAGAGCCTGAAAAAAAAAAGAAGGAAAGGGAACCCTTCTTCACATCACCTTACGACATCGGACCTCTAACAACGGGGTCAAACCAACAAACCATCGACGGCACCAAAAATGACAGATCAATCACAAACAAGAAAGCGCCTGGAAACTTAGTTTGCACTGGACCCTTCACTGAGGGAGTCAGCTATAAGACTGGACAAAGGGGGCAAAGCAAAATTGTAACAAGAACGAAGTAAAAAGAAAGTTGACATCATTATATCCCCCATTCAAGCTTAGATTGAATGGGGGATATGATGACGTCAATCTCGTTGCGTGTGCTCGCGCACACCGGCGGCTGCTGACTCATGGAAAGATAGTGCGCCACTTATTGTAGACACTGAATTGTATGGTTCAGCATCCCTTTAAATGCACGAGGCGCCGCTCGGGTTTCGGCAGCGCGTCTTCGGCCCAAACCCAATCCGAGCTGTGCAGCGGGGCTTCACTCAGAGCCGGGATCGCCTTGAAATGCGATGAAGAGATGTCGCGTCGGGTCTTCTTGGAAAATAAATTTTGGGCCGGCATGAACAATTTTAGATTGAGATTTTGCTAATTGCATATTGTTTAGTGAGCCAAAAAAGAGGGCAGAATGTTAAAAGCATGCCTTTCGGTACGAACATTTATATACCATGTGCAAAATTATTGCCAGCTATCATCATCTTTCCATTAGGAGCCGCCATTTGTTTTTTATATCTTCCAGCTTTGGACGAGGCGCATCTGCATATAACTCGGTTTTCCTAAAATATGGACAATTGGTTTGAGCGCTCAACGAGTTGCTGTTTAGTTTCGGTACAAACAAGAAAAGAAAGACGGCCGCGAAATTCTGGAAAAGCAATTGTCTGCAACGAGGTCGCAACACTCGTCACTGAGGCAGAGAACTGGGCCATCCAGGGGGGCTATGTTGCACGTTTTGGATTCCAAGGAGACTAGGTAGAAGGAAGTGACGTAGGTATGAATGAACGTATCTTAGCAGCACCACGCAACGCGTCATCAGCGACTCGACCAATCAACATTCAAAGAGCGTTGTTGACGTCACTTCCTCCGTCATAGTCTCCTGGGAGTCCAAAACGTGTAACATAGCCCCCCAGGCCAGTGAACAGTCTTTATCGGAGACGTCTGTGAAGTGCTCGTACTGGACTTGCAGCATGCAGGTGATCATAATTTAGTTCTACGGCTCCCCTATTGTCGGGACCATTTTTTCTCGGTCGGAACTATCGGTACGAGAGTCCTCCAATACGGAGGAAATTTGATAATTGATTATGGGTAGGGTACACCAGATGGCACTTCTCTTTTGCATATGGTCTATTTCGTATTTGCCTTTCCTTTGAAAACTCCGCATTTTCACCGTGATACATCCGCGATACCCAACGCACGTCAGCCGACACCAGCTCGGCATTAAACGCGAGCACTGCTCAAAAACGGAAGCTTGGGCGTGTTGGTAAAGCATGATGATTAAAACGTACAGCGTAAACAGACTAGACAAAAGATAGAGGACACACCCGGACGTACTCAATCTGTCGACGAGCAATTGCATTCGGGTTCGTGGCCAACGAGTGCCGTGATGGCACCTATCATTACTTACGCATGACAAGTTCTACGGTGTGCTTAAAAAGCACGGTTGAAGCTTGGAGTCATCGCACCGGTGCGTAACCAACTCAGGACCACGCGACATGTCACTTTTGAGTTGGGTATTAAAGTTAAAGGAGCGGTGCAACGATATGAAATAGGAATGTTTTTTTACTTTACACGAGCTTACAGGCACTAGTGGGACTCAAGGATACTCGCACGCAACGCCACTGTCCAAGAAACTCCTTTGTTGCGGTATAGTTTCAGGGACAAAAGCGATCATTTTCATTCAATCTTTCCTTTGCAAAATTTGGTGACGTAACGTGGGGATCGCAGTACAGCCCAATGACGATATTTGAATGCGGTTCATAGATTGGACCCGAGCATTGCGTGGGCACTCGATTTGGGCTCGTGATAATTACTAGCTCGAGAAGCATTCGGGTAGTGACCCGTGTCCAATCGCTGCGACGGCGACAGTAGCCGAGCCATAACAATGTCTGGAACTCGGCGCGTGTCCTGTGCTTTGCCAACCCCAGCGCGTGGCTATGATCAACCTTGGCGGCATATAATCGGCTCCATATCACGTGGCCGCTTGTTCTGGCTGCGAGTTGAGGAGGTGAACTACAGTGTTGGGTAAACGTTGCTCTTTTTTTTTTTGGGGGGGGGGGGACTTCTGTTGCGTGGGGTGAAAAACGAACGGGTGTTTCATTGGTAATTAACGTCAGGGATTCGTTCTAAGCGGCATTTGCGCAAAGTACAATAATTGTTGCATCGCCCCTTTAAAGGCCTGTTCCCACATGCAGCGGAGCGCTACCAGCATAGCGCTTACCTCGCGCTAAGCGCGTGCTGACGGGAGCGTTCACCAGCTTTGTATCCCACCGTCAAAACTGTTGCTCATGGCTGACGATAAGTAGCTGACGGCACGTGAGGAGCGCTACATCAGCGCTTCGCTGCATGTGAGAACCGGCCTTAAGAATGAAGAAGTGGAAAATTCATTTTAACGAGGGTATGTTACGAGGGGGAAAAGAGCGATCTCAGCAGCCAGTTTGGCTACGCCACCACTGCCGTAATGCATCGAGGGAACTTTCGTATTTCTGCACGTGCGACAACCTTGCTGGAGCTTTGCGTGTGCAGAGCACGAGAAGACACGAGCATAGCCTCCTCTACACTCACAAAGCCTCGCAGTTCGATGACGGAGCCATAGACTGCCGGGTCGTAGATTTGGAGCTCGAGGATTTGGTAGCACAGAGCATCAAAGAGGCATTTCTCGGGGAACCTAAAGCCCCTCTATCCTGGGAAAAGTGGCGCGCACCACTTCTGGGAAGAGTATGGCGTCTGAAATCTAGCTCACTGCTGCGCTGCGGCGCCATGATCTTCCCAAAGACTGCAATTTGCACGTGCCTCGTGCACCGACGCACCTTGCGCTACTTTTGAAACATGAAGGAGCTTTAGGAAAACCTGGACGTCAGCACACAGCTTTTGCTGCGGCGAGGACCCGAAACACACTTGTTCGTACTGGAGAAGTGTGTTTCGGCGTCTCGCCGCAGCGGGGCGCCAGTCACGTGACTCTCATCCGTTGTCTGCCACTCCATGCACCTTTTCCATTTCGGCGGCCGCTTCTCGTGGCCTTCTGCCAGGCTTTGTCAGTATAGACGAGGCTATGGCACGAGCTGTGGCGGGCACAGCCGCCTGCCTCCTGTGGACTAAAGTTATGACGGCTTCACGGATGCGCAGAACGCGTGGTGAGATCGGTCTACAGACCAAAATAATATCGACACAATCTTTCTGATTTAATTCCATAACATCGCAATGCTGTGTGCTGCCTGGGTTGTATATTTACACGTTTTCGATCATTTTTTTGCGAGCGGAGATGATTTTTTTTTTTTTAGTCAAGGTTGAACCGATAAAACTGATGCACGCGCAAAACGTAATTTTCGGCTCGTGACGGACGAAGAGTTCAATAAAAGTTGCAAAACATACGCGACTCCATGTGGCGATGAACTATACTCGATGTTTGTACCGCCGTACATCAACAACAGTTTCACCAAAGCAATAAATATGAACGGCTGTGAAATCATGGGTGTATTTGACAGCATCGCCATTACGCCCCTTTCACACCGTGTGGATGAAGGGCGTAAAATTCGCCCATACACCCTTTTTACACGATTTCAGACACCATCGCTGCAAGTGGGGCGTAAAGACGGTGTGTAAAGGGTGTAAAACGTGAGCACACCCTTTTTACACCCACCGATATTCAGAAATCGCGTAAAAGGGTGTTTTGCCTAACTTACACCCTTCTTACACCCTTTTTACACGATTATGGTTGTTACAATGTTTAGTGTGTATTCCATCAGCTGACATTTAATGATCTGGCAGTAGAAGAACCCGCGAGTCTGAGCGGGAGACCGTGTGTGACGCTAACACTTTGCGCGTGCACTAGCCTCCGTTGAAGTCAAAGGTTCGTTACGCGGCGAACGGTTAGTGAAATCCGTCCATTACGAGTTGCTTATCTAAATTACTTTCACCCTTTCCTGAACACGAGAAAAGTAGCACTTTTCAAAGTATCCGCGATTTTATTTTCCTAACTAACTTGCTTATGGAACAAAATGACAATTAAAATGTCGCCAGTTAGTTGTTCTTTTAAAGGAAAAAGAGGTTGATATTGTCGGTAATATAGTTTACAATTTTATTTCTTAAAAATGCAATATATATGTGCGGAAGTCGTATAAACGCCGAAACTTCTATAGCCATGTCAAATTAAGGGACAAATAAAAAAAAATCCGAATATAGAAAATGTGCCCCACACCCACGGCTCTTATTTCTGAAAGTTAGTGTTCTCTAACTCGATGTTTGTACCGACATACATCAACAACAGTTTCACCAAAGCAATAAATATGAACGGCTGTGAAATCATGGGTGTATTGTCTATTTTTGGTTCTTTGGAGAGTTGGCCTCCGTAACACGTCTGCTTTTCAACGAAGGAATGTTTATATTGGTGAAGCACAGATATACGTGCACACCTCACATTCTCAGCAGAAAGCTTTCTTTGTGTTCTACCTTGGGCTTGCCACAGCCTTAATTGCATTTGCCTCGTATTAAAAAAAAAAAAAAAAAAAATTGTGCGCCTTGTGGAGGAGGTAAAACGTGCACGCAGGCTCATAACGGCCTTGGAAATTATAGCGATGCTTACCGATAAAAACCTTCTGTTAAGCGACGCCTATAACATAATTAAAAGTGTCCCCAGAGGTCTTGAGGTCTAAGAAATATTCCACAATACAGTTGAATTATGTAAATAATGCCATCTTTGTTTCGAAGACCGATGCAAGCAGTTGGCCACCTTAGACAAGAGCAACTACCGTTCCCAGGAGTATTTTTGACAGCCCACCACCTTGTGATAGCTTAAACCTACCTTGAAACCGAAATTAACGTTTTCCGGCTATCCACGATATTGTGGAATAAAATTCCCCGCACTCAATTGAATTTCTTGACAGCGCTTGCAAATCATCGATCACCGCTGATCGATGGCCCATGGCCGCGGTCAGGAAAGAGTTGATAGCGTCGGGTAAAGGAATGCGTAAACAAGTAATGCCTAGGATAACGATGCCATCCCGCACGGGACATCTGAAGAGCCGCTCAAAAAGGTAAGTCGCCCTTGCCACGAAGCCTACTGCGCCGCGTCTAATGATGATGCAATGAAACCGATGAAAGAACAGTGGCGATGATGGTTCAAGTGCAGCATCTTGGGTTTATGTTGTGCGTGATGGCTTTTTCTTTGGTTTTTGGCTTCCTTAAAGGGGCCCTCTGGAGCTTTCTGCGATCGTCTGTTTATATTGTTATGTTGCGTAGTAGGTGCAAGTTAATATGTATACAAAGTTTTAGATTACAAAACCGTTTATTAAGCAGATGGCAGAAGAAATATATCGGGACTATTTTTTCTTGGAAGACAATCCCCCATTCCCTGCCCATCGCTAAAACTTGACCAATGGAAATGCTGCGTCCCGCGGTGAGTGCGAAAGTTATTTTTGCAACACTTTTTAAGTTTTTTGTAAATTAGAGTTTGAGAAAAACGTAAACTGATTGTGGTGCGGGAAACACAGTCCGCAATTATCGCTCCGAAACCAGCGAACTATGTTTTCTCCCCGCAAGCTTGTTGCTAGGGGGTGATGCGTCGGCGCGTCGGCTCGTCTGCTTCCCGAGGCGTCTGCAGGCGTGCGTTTGCGGGACACATGTTCCTTCTTCCCGTGGATCCCGACTCCGAAGCCAGCTTTGCGATCCTTCCACGTCAACGAGTCAAACTTTTTCTTGCCATCTGTGGGATGCGACTGCGTATTGCAGTAGCAGCGCGACGGTGCGGTGCAGCGAACGACGACTGCCGAGCACAAAGTCCGGGTTCCTTGACGACGGTCCGCGCGTGTTCGAGAGATTTCTCCGCGGGTCGGCGGTCAGCGGCGTCGGTGACGCGCAGTGACGCCGGGATCCTTCGCTTGCTATTGGCTGACGCGTAAAGAGATGCCCCTCCCGTTTTCCGGGGGCATCTCAGAAAGGGGGGCGTGCCGGGGACTTTGATAGCAATTTTAGTAGGGAAATCCGCCGCGCATGACCGTAATTTTATGATTTTTAAGATTCTTAGGGCCTGCAGATTGAGTTACCGCCATAAATAGACCATCGCAGAACGCTCCGGAGGGCCCCTTTAAGGATACGATATAAGATGCAAGAAAGAGAAGCGTCTGTCGGGCGTGCGGCGTCGACGTCTCGCAGGTCCGGTGGAGCCCCGTGTTCTGGGGCGTGGTGGCGCAGTTCCTGCTCGGCTTGGCCCTGGTGCGCTGGGGCTGGGGCAGGCAAGCCATGGCCTGCCTGGGGGCCAAGCTGAGCGCCCTCGTCGCCTTCGCCAATGCCGGCAGCAGCTTCGCCTTCGGCCCCCTCGTGTCCGGAGGAGCGCCCACCGAAAATGCGGCCCCCACCGTCTTCTCGGTACGTGCAAGAGAAGACGAGGCTGATGTCGTCGTCGTTTCTGGATCCCCGAGCAGCAAACACGCTGACGCATGACACCGTCAGTCTTCGTGTCGCCACCTTGCGACATCGAGCTCGGTGTGGGACGCGAAGCCCAGCTGCCTCTACTCACTGTTCCAACGCGTTCCAAGGGCGGTACCCGCTATTCATTCTATAGTTCGAGCTCGGTGTTCCCCAGTTTCTATTCGTCCCTGGCAGAGTGTAAACGACAGGACGTGTCTTGGAAGGTCTAGCGCGCGTTGCGTGCCTTACGTCATAGCCTCCTCTATACTCACAAACCTGGCAGTTCGACGATGGAGCCATAGAGTGCCCGGTCGCAGATTTGGAGCGCGAGGATCTGGTAGCACAGGGCATTTCTTGGGGAACCTGGACGTCAGCGCACAGCTTTTGCAGTGGCGAGGACCTGACACATGATTTTCAAAGCCGACTAGAAAAGAAGCGGTAGCGCTAGGAACGCGAGGAGCACGAGCGGACATTCCATCACTCGGGAGAAGTGTGTTTCGGCGTCTCGCCGCAGCGGGCGCCAGTCACGTGGCTCTTCTCTCATTTGTTGTCTGCCGCTCAGCAGCTTTTCAATTTCGGCGGCCGCCTCTCGTGGCGATCTGCCAGGCTTCGTGAGTATAAAGGAGGCTATGCTTACGCCTCGGCTGCGCGTGCGCGAGTTGCACGAGACGTTGGAGGCGAGACAATCCTCCCTGCCTCTCTCTGTCACCATAGGCGGACTCGAAACGCTCACTAAGAACGGCGCTTCCAGGTTTGTTCAACCACTGATGGCAAAGTTCTTAAGAGAACCGATTCCCCGGTTCTCTTTTTCATTCTTAACGGGAAGGGAGCCCCAGAAACACCCGAAGGAATTTGCAACATTCCAATTTAAAGATATAAGGACAAAAAACACACCAACTTAAAACCTGAAAATATATATCTTGAAAATAACCTTATGCTTTTCATAAAAAACTGTTAGAAACCTTGTCGTTCATTTTGAAGTAATCTTACCTTAAAACTTCCTCAGATATTGCACTGAAAACGGGCAGCTGATCGTTTTAGGTATTTGTACTTTTTGATAAATTTCGGCGGTCCAAGTTAAATTTGCGAGTAAAACCTTCGAAGATGACGTCTCGTCTTCCAGTCGATTTCCATTCGAACGATTACTTGGACAAGTAACTGCGTAACCTTCGCTGCATCCCACTATTGTGCCTCGAATGCCCCCGAGCGAAACGCTTTCCGGTGTGGTGCAGTTTAGCTCGTCAAAGGAACGCCAGGTTCGTTTCTCTATTCCGTGAATGGCCTCGGCAGTTTAATCGAAGAGTGCCAACTTCTCATTGGCAGGCTGTGGAACTGCTTTGACTCCGCTCGATGTCTGATAGGCGAAGTCACTCGTCTCAGCCCTGGCGGACGAGTCCACTGGCGAACCGACGACAGTGCCGTGTGGTTCCAAACCGTGCAGGTGCTGTCCACGCTGATCTTCTTCGGCATGCTCGTGTCAGTGTTGCGCCACTACCAGGTTCTGCAGGGCGTGATCGGCAAGCTGGGCTGGCTCATGGCGGCCACCATAGGCACCACGGGCTGCGAGTCCTTCTGCGCCGCCAGCAACCTCCTCCTCGGCCAGGTGCGTTCTCGCGCGGACGCCTTTGCAGACGTCCAAACAGGTTACGAAGAACGGTACGTTGTTGAGCCGTGCACGGAAGCTCTTACGGCTCCCACTGGGAGCGCCCGTCTGTCCCGACGCCGTTCGTCGGCAGGGTTTAGTTCGACCTACGCAATGCTACAATGGCACAGACCGCGGCAGAGCAAAACAATCTTGCCTATTTGCCATCTAAAGCTATAGGAAAGACGCGCCTACTCTGCACTAAACAAACTGACGGCGCTCACGAAAGAATCGGGTGTCGATATTCTAAGCGCCATCAATTATCATCGTTTGAATGGAGGGACTTGACAATGACTGGCAGCCGTTGGAAGGACCGATGGCCTTTGGCTGTTACCAGGCCCCGGCGCCCTCATCCACTTGTTCCGGCAACAGATGGCACGACTAACTCTTTGCAGGCGGACGCTTGCATGCTGATCAAGCCGTACATGTTGCGCCTGACAAAGTCTGAAATCCACTGCATCATGGCGACGGGATTTGCCACGGTATCGGGAAGCCTTCTCGCCATCTTTATCCAGTTCGGGGTAGGTACCGGAAAACAAACACTGCCTTATATTTACAACCTTTACAAGGGCTTACGAGACTGCACTTCTCTAGAGTCCGTGGCTTTTGTGTTAAAAGAATTATCTACTGTCCATCAAAAGGCAATACTTTTAACATGAAAACCGTAGTTTTTACTTTATAGGCCAGGCCCGGTTCCCAAAAGAAAAATTTAAATAATAAAAATTTAGATATTATACAGTCCGCGCCGTGTGCATAGTCCGGACGTAAACAGATTCTTTTCGCAGCACATCTGGAAAGAGGCTCGCTTTATTAGCGCACGGAGCAGCTTGTATGGTCCAGAAAGAACTCTTCAGATATTCACAAAATCCATGGCGCCATGATGAAGGACGTCGAAAAAGCCTGGTATAGTCGCCACCTGCAGATAGTCGGCAACGCATAGAAGGTCTAGACAGGTCCGCGTGTCCGTTAGATATGGCTGGCTCCGGTTTCCTGTTACGGAACGCGGACGTCGACTGGAATTTGTCTCGTCCCAAGGGTGGCGCAACACTGGTCCGGTGCTGGCCGCCGGTAGGTGGCCTAAAGACATCGTCCACACAGCAGCGTTGAACTGCATTACGTCGGCTGTGGAATCTAACTCGATCCATATTACCCTCGCTCACGCGGGTCATAACAGGCGCTAACACAAGTAGAGCGACGTCAGTAGGTTCTCAAAATCCAAGGAACTTCGAAGGGACGATTATAGGACATGGAGTGGACGGGGGTTCGATCGGAATGTCGTTGCCGATTAGAGCGCAGCCCAGTGTTTGTATAGCTCGGGAGCTCAAAGCCCGTTTCGGAAGCGCGTTGCGTCCTTCTCATGGAGTTGCCGAGGGTCCCCGCATGATGCCTCTCCGACGCCAGCTGAAGCCCGAGTACCTGCTAGCCGCCTCGCTCATGTCCGCCCCGGCCGCCATGGGCTTCGCCAAGCTCTTCTACCCGGAGACGGAGGAGTCGGACGAGAAGGACGACCCCCTCCACAGGTTGGTGTCCCGCTCTCCTTTTCGGAATACTCGGAGAGGCCCACAGTTGTCATTCGTCTGTCAGAAGTATGTTGCACAGCGAGAGCTCTCGTGGACTCTTGCCATTCCTGGAAATGACGCAGTTGACGTTGTAGTTGTAGTAGTTGTTGTTGACGTTCTTGATCTTTTAGTAGTAGTTGTTGATATTGCAGTTGGAGATTTAGGGAGTCCGTCGTTGATGTTGCCCAATCCTGGAAAACGATCACGCGCCGCCCGCGGGAATTGAACCTCGGTCCACTAGGTGCGAAGCAGGGGCATTACTACTGAGCTAAGCCACAACGTTAACAACTAACCCCGTTTATACTTAGAGTTTTTGTAGTATCATAGCCTCCTATATACTGACAAAGCCTGGCAGATCGCCACGAGAAGCGGCTGCCGAAATGGAAAAGGTGGAGCGGCAAACAACGGATGAGAGGAAAACCACGCGACTGGCGCTCCGCTGCGGCGAGACGCCGAGACACACTTCTCCCGAGAGAACAAGTGTGTTTCGGGTCCTCGCCGCTGCAAAAAACTGTGCGCTGACGTCAAGGTTTCCCGAACAAAAGGGTTCGACTTCGCCACGACGTGTCGCAGATGCCGCAGTGACCGTACTGTGGATCATTTGTACTTACCCAATGAGGGGATCAGCCAAAGATCTGAATGATTAGATCCAATTGACCAACCCCCTCTGGCCCGAGTTGCTCAGTTCATGCAGCCACCCATTTTTTTTTTCGTTGAAAAGCTTTTTTGTTAAGGCAGCATTCCTTGTACAATAAAAAAAAAAAAGAAAAGAAAAAACTGCAACTTGGTTGTGCGAAATGGATGGAGACTAAAACAACTTCCGGCGATAGGATCGCGTACTGATCGTTTATTTAAATATTCTTCGTTCTTTCTCGAGTAAGCGGATATGACGCAAAGTGAAGAGTCCAATTGAGTAGACTTCCTATGAGTGCCCGATGCGTGGATACATTCGTTATAGGCGTTTCGGTGCGACTTAGCGTTCCCCGGTCCAACTTACTAGCTCGAAGAAGAACTGAAATTAAAAAAAAAAAAGAAGGCTCTCGCAAAGAGTTTTGAAGATGGTGGGGGAGTATAGGCGTATAGTGTCCGAGCTCGTTGGTTGCGCGTCCAGCCGAGAGGCGTTCTCTGGAAGCGCGTCGTCCCGTCGCAGCCCCGACCGGAACGTGCTGGAAGCCATGGCCCACGGCATGTCCTCCATGGTCCTGCTGGCGGCCAACATGCTCGCCTGCCTGATGGCCCTGGTGGCGGGCATGGCCCTACTGGACAGTGCACTCGTCTACCTTGGCACGCTGCTCGGCTGGAGCTTCCTGGGTCTGAACGTGCGTTGACGGGGGGAGCGGTCGCTTTGACCGCTGTCGACTCTCCGCGCTTATTGCAGTGGCTGGCGGGCCGCCTGTTCATCCCGCTCACCCTGGCCATGGGCGTGGACGTGGGCGAGTGCGTGCGCGTGGCCACCCTGCTCGGGGTCCGCGCCACGCACAACGAGCTTGTGGCCCACGCGCGCCTCGAAGCCCTCGAGGGACAGCTCCCGGTGAGCACAAACGCTCTCCATGCGCTCCGAGAAAGGGAGTAGGAAGGAAGTCTGTCCGTCCTCTCAGTTGCGTGCCGACCTGGTGAGCTCGTACGCGCTGTGCGGCTTCTCGAACCTGGGCGCCGTGGGTGTGCAGCTGGGCGCCTACGCGGCCCTGGCGCCCTCCCGGCTCGGGGACTGCGCACAGGTGGCTCCGCGGGCGCTCGTCGCGGGTTCTGTCGCCTGCTTCATGACCGCCTGCGTGACCGGTAAGTAGGGGCTACGAGACTGCCTCGGCCTGAGGCTTCGCTTGGAGTACCCTCCGTGTACCCTCGGATCTCACAGATTCACTATCTAAAGATCTCCAGCCGTCGCTTAAAATAATTACGGCCAGTAATGTGAAGATTTATTTGAAATCTAAGAAAATGGTTCGCCGTCCTCCAGGAACCTGAAAAACCGTCCGCGACAGAGCAAAACGACACCGCCTGAGAATTCAGACACTCGACCGGTAGCAGCTTTCAGTGATGGTACCGCGCTTTGATTATCGCGTTCCTCAGTTCGGGGTTCATCGCATTTTACTATGAATATTCTTGCCTACATCTTACTCACGTAAAATATAATGGGATGCTTTCCTATCGCTCGTATACCTTAAAAATAATTAATAGCGCGTCACGAACGCATAGGGCCCATGTAAAATAAATTTCCGACGGGTTTGAATATCACGCATAAACTAACTTAATGTAATGCAATAACCTGTTCTAATATCTTTTAAAAAAGTTTGCTTTAAAGTTTTTAGGCAAATTAAAATTACAAAAAAACCCACAAAAAGTGCATTTTCTGTAACGTGTTACAGAGGTCAATTGTAAAAGTGATGCGAGTTTAATTAAAGAAAAAAAAAAAGAAGCCAGCCATTGTAGGCTCGTTCCTTTGCACTAGCTAAGCACCTGTCTTCCGGCGTCGTCAACCACGGCGATCGAGGCGTCGCTCACAGCAGTCGAGCCGTACGATGATCTGAAGTGCCCGTACTCAATAACTTTCTTAAAGAATTCGGATGTTGGCCCAATCACACGTTTTGTTCGACTTTAAATTGCATTTTGACGGCTCTGACGTATCACCCTCCATGTACGGATTGCACGCTTTCAACGTCAAATGTCGCGACCACGGGGCGAGGTGTTCCTACTTTTTCCGATGAAAATATAATGTCCTAATAGTTTGCACCTCCGTCCCCTCGGTTGCCCGAGCCCCGAGAGAGTTGGAAACCTCAGAAAGGGAGCCATAATATCGTCGCGGAGCCCTTTTCAACGTCTTGTTCTACGCCCGAATCATGCGGGTGACCGCCATTTCGATGAGTGCCAGTGCGCCCCCTGTAGGTATGTTTCGAGTGTGTCCTCCAGCGTATTCGTTCTCCCCTGGTGCAGGTGCTCTAACGGACACGTCTGCCTACGAAGTGCCGACGAGATTCAACAGCTTCGACTTCATATGAAACAGGAGCCGCGCGTCCCCTTGTGTGTCTCCCCCTTTTTGTTCTCAGGCCCCCGTTTGTTCCTGGTGAGCGAATAAAGGCTATCGAAGTCCTCCAGGGAGCCGCATTTATGTCCCAAAGTTCCGGCCAGAGTGTGCGTGGTCTACACTTTGTTTGCAAACGCTCAGTGCCAAGCACACGTTAAAGGAATACTACAACGAACTTTCGGCGCTTATTTCTTGGTCTATACGTGTTCAAAGGAGCAGTATCACATCGAACACACCAATATGTTGTTAAAAAAGACACGAAAAGAAGTTCTAAAACAAGTTCAACGATTAGCAAAGAGCACCTGGTGGATGTCGCTAAAGCCTCGTTTGTAATGCCTGTCTAAGAACCTTGACAGGTAGTGACGATAGCTGTCTCGCCTAGAACTATACATGCCTTGAACCTGACGTACCATCCCGACAGCCCTACGGCCAGCACAAAAAAAGAAGGGAGGGAGGAACTCCCCACTCAGCGGGACTTTCTTTTACGTGTCCCAGACGTGGCTATTTTCCCTCTACAAGATTATAGGAGATTAACCCACCAATCAAAATTTACACAACAGCAGCTTTGGGGTTAGTTGCGGTGGCCCGATGGGTGGCGTACTTCGACCGCTTCGGTGGCTGGAGCCGCTTGGACATCCTGACAATGTCAGCCTCGCCGCAGCTTTGCTGACCCCGAGACAGACTACATCACGACTGCGCCGGATGTGACGTGCTCTCTTCTGGCTGTTCTCCGAGCGCTTGCCCTCGTGCAGTAGCTTGACAAAATGCCGCCATTTACGTTCACTCATTCTTCTTTTTTTAGAGCGCAGCTCTTAGGGGCCCGTTTCCAGCCTGAGCGGCGTCGGCGTCGGCGTAACCGGGGGGGGGGGGGGGGGTCACGTGACCCCCGGGGTCACGTTACCCCCCCCCCCCCCCCGAGGTCACGTGATCCCCCGAGGTCACGTGACCCCCCCTCCCCCGAGATCACGTGACCCCCCCGGGGCCGCAGGTGACGTGACCCCCCTCAGTACCCTTCCCTACTCCTCCTCAAGAGCTGCGCTCCAATTCGGCGTTACAGGGATTTGTAAACGGCTTTCATTTTTTCTTCTAAGAAAGAAAACATTCTAAACAAGGAGGACACTCTAAATTAAGAATTGATTCCAGCAGAATAATTAACCTTATCGACCCCAGTGGACGTCAGGCTTGGGTAAAAGAAACAGCTAGTTGCTTTAGAGGGCCATGAAACGCTTTTTTTTTTTTCTTCTTATTGTCAGTGGGATGTTAACGGTAAAAACTAAACGTAATAAACTTAAAGGGAAACTGAAGCGGTTCTGCATTTGAGGAAAAACACTTAAATCGTCTTCATTTGGCCCCCAAGATCACGAATATCGAGATTATTTTTTTTATTTGGTGCATGGAGGCTTCAGGAAATCATTTTCAAAGTTCCCTGAAGCCCCTTTTTCGCGGAGCGTGACGTCATATGAGGAGTTTGCGGAATCTCCACCCTCGCGCATCTCAGCTCCTATTGGCGACGTGCGCGACCGAAAGCGTCGCTGTGGTCGGCCTTCCACGATTGGCCGAACGCTGACTATGACGTCAGAAAAGGATTTATTATCGACGGAAATAAGAGGAATGAAAGAACTTTAACTTTGACGGTGTTGGCAGTGTGCCTTTGAGAGCGCAATGATTTCAAGCTTCCACCATGCTATTTACAAACACCATCGAACTTGTTGTTTGCGAGGTAATGACGTCACAAAGGGGAACCATAGGAGGGCGCCACCAAAACATCTCGCCGCTAATACTCCGCTCACCCTTAAGTTGAGGCCGCAGCTATCGCCACAAGCACGAGAGCTCGAGGTCGCTGTTTTGAAGCGTTCTTCCGCAGAACGAGCTCTCGCTAGAAACGCATATCTCAACGCCAGGAGCGCGGGCTAAAGGCCGGTTCAGACACTTGCGGTTAAAGGGGAACTCCGGCGATATCTTGAGCAACCCCAACTAACCATATATTCGAAATCGCCGTCCGTTACTCTTTTCGGTATGCTATTTAGTATCGCGAAATTCAGAATAGTTATTGTGAAATCGGCAAATGAAAACGACGCCAAAACGAAGATTCGAATATACCCGCGCTTTTCATTGCCCTGACGTCACGGTTGGGCTGGATTGCGGTTCGAGCGGCCAGTCTAAATATGAACTATGCCGAGCATTTGTATCGTGCTGCTGCGCGGGAGCTGGAGCGACCTTCCAAAACATTCATTTGACACGATGAAACTGTTTGTAATCAGATGTGAACAAAGTCTACAGCCCAAAGAGTGAACTCCTACCCAACCATGACGTCACTTTTTCAATGTTGCCCGTAGAGCTTTTCACTTTAAAAAACACGATGAGGTCCAAAATTGTAAATTCTGTAACTGCACGAAAAAAAGTTATTTTGTCCAAATATTTGGGTTACTAGTTCAGCGATGTTTGTTGGTGTGTCTAGCAAGCTTTTAGGCAAATCGGGGACTATGAAGAAAACGGCGGAGTACCCCTTTAAGTGCGTTTGACTGCGTTGCGTCGAGAACCGAAAGCCAGTCACCGGCACATCTGTGCTTCGTATGAAGCGTGGAATCTCATTCAAGGACTCATCTTGGCACGCGATATTAGCAGCAGGGATGTCCTGGTTTCTCGCAGCCGCAACGCAGTCAAACGCAGTCAAACGCAACTGTCTGAACCAGGCTTAACTCGCGCTTGTACCTTTGATTGCAATCCCAGCTTAAGCGGTATTCACACGAGGGAGAAATCCCCGGGATTTCTCCCTCGTGTGAATACCGCTTTAAGGGTAAACGGAGTAGATCAAAGCTACAGTGTAAAAATATTTGCACCATTTCGATATTTACGTCATTGGTTTGGGCGAGAGTTTCAAATAGGGCTCGTTGAAATTATTTCGTTCTTCGCAAGTACGCCAACATTGCAAGTTTTAGGACGATGCATAGACATCCTATACGGTCATTTGCAAGAATAAAAAAATACAGATGTTGCGTTGTCAGTGGCCTTCTAAAAATGAAACGAAACGTACGACCTCCGGATGTGACGTTCAAATCTTGCGGCAGGATGTGAAGCGTTGACATCTCGGCCATCGTCGAGAGCTTCACGCACCATCCACTAGGTGGAAACATCCTTCGGTAGATGGACTGCCTGTTCTCACACACAAGCACGAAAGTGCTTTGGTGAGGCAGTAATCAACGTATGTCCATGATCTTGTGCTAATAAAACAATTATTATTATTAGTATTAGTATTATTATGCGCTGGAGACAGTCTATTCAACGAAGGATGTTTCCACCTAGTAGACAATGCGTGAAGCTCTTGACGTTTCGTCCTGCTCACGCTTCCCGTGTACCCTTAAGCTGAGACTAAAAGTTCCGCCTTCAGCGCAAGCTTTCTGCCCTCGCTAAAACAAGTGCAAACGCGCGAGAACACGCAACCAAAGCACTGCAGAAGCCACTCAGCGAGCTCGCGCTGAAGGCGGAGCTTGTATAATCTCAGCTTAAGGGCAAACAAAGTATCGCGAAATGGCGCAAGAGGCGGCCCTGGTGCCAACTAACCCGCAGTGAAAGCGCACTAAAATGAACCGGGGAGCGCTCGTTCGATCGGCGACAGGCTGTTTCATGACCGATGGTCGCATTAGCGCGGACGGCGTGGGGCTCGACACTGTGGGCTCCGTGTGTTGGCGGGCCTAATCGAGCACTCGTTCTTCTCGCGTCCGGGCTTTGTCGGTCTGCTTGGATAGACGCTTCTATTCTTCTCCACGCACAATGGCGCCATTCTTCTTTGGAAGCGATCTCTCGGTTCGAGCTGACCCTGCTGTTAAGGCCTTTGTTGCTAGACTAGGCCGAAGAAAGCGGTCTAGACGTGCACCAGAAGAATGCTCGAAGCGAGCTATCTGAAGCGTTTTCATTTCGCTACATTCGAGCCAAGCCATCGAAGCTCCCAACATTGGAGGTGGGTACGGCTGTCTGTTGTGTCTGTTGGTTCTGAGCCTCTTTCTGTGGTTTCCAATTCAGGTTCGATTGTGCAGTTGTTAGGGTGAATCGAACAACTTTCAACCGCACATTGAAAGATCCGTCGCTTTTTGCGATTCCACGTTTCACCTGAGCGAGAGATACATCCAGTCTGGGATGTGCATTCCCTGAACGGAGGACATCCAGGCGGTGTATTTCATCTGCAGCGCGAGATGTTCCGTCGCAAACTGCAACCACGGCCCCCTTCTGCGCCCGTCCCCGGCAGCCGAGAAGCCAGCCAGTCGCCCGGCCACCGCCCGTCGACGCCACCTCCCCTGGCGCTCAGATGAACCACTTCACGTGACGAGCCTCGTTTTACGTGCCGCATCCCTCGGCCGAAGCTGCACGTCGAGGGTTTCCTCTTTTACGCCATGCCTTTGCCTCTCTGCCGCGAAATGTCTGCTGCAACTTAAGATCTGTAGGAGAAGCTCCGGTTTTCGATGGTACTTCGGTGCGTGCGCAGCCAGCGCACAACGGAAGGCAGCGAACGCGTGCTGGAGGCTGAGCTTCTCCCGCTGATCTTCAGTACTAAAGGACTATAGTCGGTGAAAATATACAAAACAAAGTCGACAAACCGTAACTGTGGACTACATCTATTTGTTTGCAGTAACGGGTTCTCTTTGCAGTTTCGCGGAACAAACGTACACGAAGTCGCTTCCCCGCGAAGGCAGCTGCTCCTAGCACGCCGGTGCAAAGCGGTGAAGCCCGACGCGCGCGCCGAGGCAAAGCTCCGTGGCTTCACGCTCGCTGAGGTATTCTACTCAATAGGGCACCCTGACAGGTCCGTCGAAAGGCAGCGGGGCCCAAGACCACGATGCGACGTTCCACGGTCGAGGCATTCCGACGCATGTTCTCGGAGTCCGGCGTGCCGGGGCTGCGCGTCATCCTGGGCTTCTCGGCGCCGAGCCGGCGCCTCCTGTGGGCGGCCGTGCTCGCGCTGCTCGTGGGCCTGGGCCTTCACGACCTGTACGCCGCCTTCAGGGACTTCGCCCAGTACGAAGACACTGTCGACGTGGAGCTCTCCAGGTTGCCCGAGGGGCTCGTTTTCCCCGCCGTCACCATCTGCAACCTCAATCAGGCGGGTCACCACAACTTCTGTCCGTCCACGCGCTATTCAGCCGGGCTCACCCTGTATGATCGCGCAAAGAAGGCTTTCGTGCGCTGTAATGGCGCATTCACACTGAAAGCGGATCCGCGTTCGCAAAGCGGTTGCGAACGGGGTTGTATAACGATTTAGTACAATTGCACGCGCATTTGATGTCATTAAATGCGCGTGTAATTGTACTGGACCTTTATACAACCGCGTTCGCAACCGCTTTGCGAACGCGGATCCGCTTTCAGTGTGAATGCGCCATAACAGTCTCAAAGCCCGTCATTTTTATGGCCTTATTAAAGCCGAATATTGGGGCCTCTGGAACCAAAAACCGCGCTTCGTATTTTACGCAAATCCTTCCAGGTGGTTTCTTGCGCGCTTTGTTACGGAAATTGTCCACTGCATAAATGTAGCCAGGGAAAGGGCTTGAAACGGGTGTTGAAATATTGAGGCCATATTAGAAAGCCCCTCCTTGGTTGCGCAAAAATGAACAGGAAACTCTGGCCTGTTATTCTTCCGTTGAGGCGTTGTCTCGATATTATGCTTGGCACCCTTCAGATAGTTGAAAAGCGCGACGAGCTGCGATAGTTTAGAGTAACGATGTCAAGTATGCGGTCAAGCTCCCACTGACGGCTCTTTCATCTACCCGCGCAATGCCATTGCATCACCGTTAGCAGGCGGTACCGGGGGCCATCCTTTCTGCGGATATAAATATCACACTATTCATTGACAACTGGTTGAGACATGGTTAGATGCGTCTTCTTTGCGAGAATATGACGCTGACTGTAGAATGATGCGCTTGGTGCAGACAGCGGCAGCGGCCTCCCGCGCAGAAAACGGGCCATCGGAGATGAAACCGCAGACGCGGAGTGGACGAGCTGCTCGTGTAAATGGACGTTTATTGAAAAACACGCAATTCGGCGCTATCACCCAGACATTCCAAAGCTGGACCATCACTTTACCGATGTGGCCGAGCGTGTTCCCGAGCGCGCAGCTGAAGATCTGCCCAGTGCATGCGGGGCAGAGCGTTTGGCGAACTCGAACCGCCCTCGTCGCGTGCCAGGTACGTCGCTCGGTCTTCTGCGGAGACATCGTGCTGAACCGCAGCACCGCCACCGAGTGGCAGCAGAAGCTGTGCTGCGACCGGGGACCCCGCCCCATCTGGGTGAGCAGCCTGCGAGATCCTTCGTCATTCATCACGTTGGTTGACGAGACTGTGGGGCGCTTTAGCCCGAGTACCGCTGAAGCGACGACCGGAAACGGGATCCACGCGAAGACCTTTGAAGGCTTCTCATAATTAGTTCTCATGAACTAAGCACGAGTGAGCATGCAGGCTACGCGCGTGTGAAGCTGATGAGTATCGGCTGTTTTTGTTGGTCTAGAGGGATTCGGACATTGGGCTCCTCGTAGGGAGAGAATGCAACGACTCTCTCATGGGGAGTTTATACTTTCGGATTTGTGAGGAAATCCGCGCTGGCCGAAAGGGGAGTTTTGAACCGGGTGGCGACATTGACTCGTCGCTGGCGAAAAATCTCAATATGGGTCCCGGGCTGATCCAGATTTTCCGCCAGCGACGAGTCGATTTCGTCACCCGGCTCCAAAAGCTACTTTCCGCCTGCGCGGATCCGCCCGCGAATCCGCAAGTGTAAACGCGCCGGCACAATGAAGCACTTCTCGAAGGCGCTTTGATGGACACTCGATTCTCCGTGTAGCCGGGAGTGACGGGAAAACAGGGTGCCAATGTCCGAATGAAGGAGCTCTTTAAAAGCTGTGAGGCAGGGCTCTTCGGCCTTTGGAAGGTCTCCCGAGTACTTGGGGCCCTTTCCCTCCCCTTAGAAGCACCGCACAAGCAGCCTCGCACACGCAGCCCTGCACAAGTAGCCCTGCTCAAGCACCACAAGCAGTCCACACCGAGAGCTGGTGTATCACGCTCTGAAACGCTCGCCTTCCGGACGAGCGTCCCTTGGTGTCTTCGCCCGCAGCTGCCCGAGGACGAGGCCTTGGACCGTAAGGAATTCTTCAAGTGGGTGACGGAGATGCAGCGCCGCAACGCGGCCACGGCCCAGCTGCTGGGACACCAGCGGGAGGACATGGTGCTTTCCTGCCGCCTGGACGACAGGGACTGCAACGACCCCCAGTGAGCAGCCTCCACGAGGCGACGCTTCCGGGCCGCCGTTTGGCTGTTTTGTCTCGCACCATTTTGTTGTAATTTTTTTGTCATTTATTGGTACCTTCAGGGCCCGAAGGCATTACAGACGGGGTGGGATTATAACGTACAAGTTAAAAGAGCACTCAAATCACGAATCAAGTCCTAGTAGTGCAGATACAGCATTTTTGAAATCAACAGGATTAACAATTGTGGTGATGGATGTGGGGAGGTGATTCCAGTCAGCAGACGTACGGAGGTATGAATGATTCGTAATAGGTATTATTGTGACACTGTGGAATTTCGACTTTATGTATGTGATCATTACGGGATGATATATAGGATGCCTCCAGTAAGAGTTCATAAGTATTGGGTTGTGAAAAAATATTTTCTGAAATATCTGTAGGCACGTGATTGAAGCATCGGCTGAGGGCGAGTATCTTAAATACCACACGACACACTCAAATTGGTAGTGCACGAAAGCTTATAAGTTTCATCACGCCTACTTTCTTTCTTCCGATAAATAAAACATTTTCTCACTCACTCTAGCAACCAAATGGCAGATTGACGTCATGTGAAAACGCCCTAATTGGGTAAACTTGCGGAGTAAATCAACGGACCGATTTTGGAACTGTGATTGAAGATTGGAGCGTATTTAGGACATCACATGGCCTGGTTTTTTCGGGGCGAAGAGGGGAGAGGGGGGCTCAGGTAAACACGCCGCCGTCATTCACGCGCTAGCCTACCAGATTTTCTTACACTTGTCGGGTAGGCAAATCTGGGAGCCAGTTGAAGTACAGGAATCACCGAGGCGTGCTGACCTACGCCTCGACACCCCTTCCTCTCTCTTCCCCCATAAAGCGGGCGATGTTCATGAAAATGCGCAATGCTGCAATAGACCGATCTCAGCAGCCAGTTTGACTACGCCACCGCTGCCGCAATGCATTGAGGGACCTGTAGTCTTTCTGCACGTGCGACAACCTCGCTGGAGCTCTGCGCGTGTGGAGAATGTGGTGGTACGAGCCGTCTTGTGCACTGCTGCCTGCCTCCTGCGAACTTAAGTTATGGCGGCGTCACGCATGCGCCGAACGCTCGGTGAGATCAATCTGTTGGCTCCGTTGACCCCACCAGCTTTTTCTAGAACGCTTCCGGGGCACCTGCTTGACGGGGTGTCGCGGCTTCTGGGCACCGAGTCGTTTGAAGGCTCTAAGTCTTGTGGTATACAAACAAGTGGGGGCAGCGGCGTGGGCTGGAGCCCAAACAGAGACCTTCAGCAGCGACTACCCTCCGGCGATGGCCACGCGCCATCGGCGAAGGTCAAAGCCGGCCTTGAGGACTGTTCCCTTCCCACAGTGCAAGAAGAGAGAAAGAGGTGTTGGAACACGGCCAGACAGAGGGTCTAAATTTCACCTGTGCTTCGCGCAAATCCCGATGTCGGGTTAGGGCTGTGCGCGACCTTGAAAATCTGTGCTCAAATAAAGAAGGTTTCACGAGCTTTTATCATGCTGGGCCACGTCACGGCATTTGTCGCAAACGGGAGCAAAACTTGGATCCACTTGCCCCCGTGGCTTGAGACTCTTTTGTCTCCTTCCACCGCCCATAGGCGGATGCAGCTCCAGATGTACGGGCGCTACGGCAACTGCTTCTGCGTCGGGTGCGACCGCAGCGCCCCCGAGCACCGACTCCAGGTGTCCATCACCGTGGACCAGGGTAAGGGCCGCAGGGTCGGACGCGTCCTCCCGGTCTCTGTGTGTCCACGCAGCGAGACACAGAGGTGACGTGACGCCGGAGCAGCATGGCGTCCTTTTCCTCCCGCTGATAGCCGTTTCTCGTCTTCTTTGTCGAAGATGGGCAATGAAAGCGCATTGCGCTCAACGGAGACAGCCTCTTTCACAAACCTGGGCCTACTTGTCCAAGGTATTTTTTTATACGTGGGAAAAGTTACTGGGTGGAAGTATTAATTTTATTTAACAGAAAATAGTGAACTATGTGTTCAGGATACACAAAGAGTATGTATATATATATTGTTAGAGGCCGACGAAGAGGAGGACGAGGAGTAGAATGGTGCCCTAGAGAACGTTAAGTGGCATTCCGTCAGCCGGAACTGAAGTTGACTCCAGTGAGCCTGTAACATTTTGGTGGCAGCGGTGGGATCACTTCTAAACTTCGATGGCGAATCCACTGCACGTTACGTCCCACTCCGGCAACACTTCGCAGCGAGCAGCTGAAAATGGCTTCTCCATGAGCGTTCCAACGCAGCTACAACGCCTTCAAACTGGCTTGAATGTTCTTCCGAGTGACATCAATGGGCCACAAAGGGACGCTTTGGGGATTTCTGTAGATGACCTCAACGCCTGTCCATCGACCCTGGATGAAGGTGAGATCGTTTCAACAGTTAGCCCCTTGACGAATGTGAACCGAGGTACCCGTGCAAGGACTAATCCGTCACTGAAGTTAAAACCCTTCGACGGCAGCGTACCAGTTCACCTTTATCTGTACCAGGCTGAAATTATTGCACAAGCCAACGGCTGGACGGAAGACGACAAAGTTCACGCGCTCGTCTCCCAGTTGCAAGGACCAGCTCTAGACGTGCTTTACCAATTTGATGGTATTCCCCTATCATTCCCGGCCCTACGTGAAGCACTGGAGCGACGTTTTGGAGATAGCCATCTCCAACAAGTGCACAGCTCGGAGTTAAGTTTACGCCGTCAGCGCTCTCACGAAACCCTCCAGGAGCTGGCAGCCGACATCCAGCGCTTGATTGTCAAGGCACACCCTGGAGCCCCAACAGACGCAAAGGATAAGATTGGCACCTCCGCTTTTGTAGACGCAATAGCTGATCCAGAGGTTCAAGTATTTGTACGTCTTTCACGACCTACAAACGTCAAAGATGCCCTGGATCAAGCGCTAAACGCGGCAACTGCTCAAAGGGCCACAGAGTTTGTGCAGAGGGCTAGGCATCTACAAGAGCCGCCATCACCACTTTCCGCCTTATCTTCGGCGCCCAAAACGCGGCATGGTAGTAGGAAATACAATCCTACACAAAAACCAGCCCGGTCTGAGGCCACTGATCAAGCTTCCAGGGTTAACGGTGGAGCGAGCACGGTGCTTTCTTCAGTAACTCCCCTAAAACTTCCTCTGACATCAGTGGCAAGTAACCAATCGTCGGTTCCAAAATTTACTGTTTGGATCGAATGTATTGGATACCAAGATGCTCTTCTTGACACTGGAGCAGCAGTGAACGTTCTGGCATCATCCCTGGTTCCAGCAGACGCACGTCTTCGTCCGACGTCACTTGGATTGTTCACTGTGAACGGTACTGCAATTCACACCCTGGGTATTCTCACTTTGCAAGTGAAAACAGTTGGGAGTACATCACCAGTGGAGTTCGTGGTGCTCGAGAACTCTGTTTGCCCGGTAGTGCTTGGCTACGAGTGGTGCCGTAAGAATAACTTTCTTAATAATGAGTTTCCGGCTTCAAGAGGCAACAGAATCGCAACATCGACAATTGACCGCAGTAAGTTCTTATCAAGGCACAAGCTACATCTTGGTGCCGCTCGAGTTATCTTCAACGTATGGAATGTCACCACTGCACTTCTGAGAGATTCGCTAGACCACGTCCAGAAAGTGCTTCGAGCTTTGCTTGGCACCGACACAGCAAGTATCGCACTTGTGACAAGCAACGTCTACGTATGCAAAACGGTCACCATACCCCCGAGCTCTGCTGCGTGGGTTCCGGTGAATACGCCCGACCAGAGCTTCAGCGGCGACGTCATTTACGAACCTCTCCTTCAAGCTAAACCTGGACACGAGTTTGTCTCCCCCCACACTTTGGCATCTTCTCTGCGGGGAAACTTCGTCATCTTGGCAGTAAATATTGGATCACGCTAAAACCTGGGGAACAAGTCGGAACCGCCCAGCCCTCCTGCCCTGAAGTGCAGGTGAATACAGTCGCACTTGAATTCAACTCACAGGCAGACATACCCAGTCTTCCATGGGAAAAATTTAATGTTAATCCTGACCTTGACGCAGAACAGATGACAGCACTTCGACAGCTTCTTCAACGTCATCGTAGCTGCATCGCACTTTCTCCAAATGAACTCGGCTGCACGTCTTTAGTCGAGCATTCCATCGACACTGGGGACAGTCGACCTATTCACCAGTCACAGCGTAGGTTTGCTCCATCCGAACGGAGTGTTATTCAAACGCAAGTTAAGGACATGATTCAACAAGGGGTGGTCGTTCCTTCATCAAGCCCATGGTCCTCTCCAGTGGTGCTCGTCCGAAAAAAAGATGGTGCAATCCGGTTTTGTGTTGACTATAGAAAAATCAACAGCCTTACGAAACAGGATGTGTACCCCCTACCTCGCTTGGATGATGCCCTGGATCGACTACAGGGATCAGAATATTTCACCACCTTGGATCTCCTGTCAGGATACTGGCAGGTTGCGCTGGACCCCAAGGATGCAGAAAAATCTGCGTTTGTAACACCTGATGGACTCTACCAGTTTACAAGAATGCCTTTTGGGCTGTGTAATGCACCTGCAACATTTCAGAGATTAATGGACAGGGTGCTAGGCCACCTGAAGTGGACCATGGCACTCGTATATCTAGATGACGTAATTGTCTATGGAAGCACATTTGATGAACACCTCCAAAGACTCACATCAGTATTGGATGCGCTCTCCTCTGCCAATCTGCGCCTGAAACCGGAAAAGTGTTACTTTGGGTATAAAGAGGTAACCTACCTTGGACACGTTGTATCGAAAAGAGGGATTACACCAGATCCTGTCAAGCTTCAAGCCTTCGCAGAGTATCCTGTTCCAACATCCTTAAAGGAAGTAAAAAGTTTCCAGGGATTCGCATCATATTTCCGCCGATTCATTTCTGACTATGCGCGCCGTGCGGCTCCAATGACCCGTCTGCTACGCAAGAATGTACCCTGGCAATGGACAGCACAGGAACAAGCTTCCTTTGGAGACCTGAAGAGTGCCTTGTTGAGTGCTCCAATTCTCGCCCACTTTGACCCTGCTAAGGCGACCTATCTCCGCACAGATGCCAGTGGAGAGGGACTCGGTGCTGTTTTGTTGCAACAAGATGGCGACGACACGCAACGTGTTGTTTCATACGCAAGCCGCCGTCTGACGGACGCAGAACAGCGGTATCATTCTTCAGAACTTGAGTGCCTTGCACTAGTCTGGTCAGTGCAACACTTCCGGCCATATCTCTACGGGCGACACTTCACTGTTGTGACCGATAACTCAGCCTTGACATGGCTCCAAAGCAAGAAAGATCTAACGGCCAAACTAGCTCGTTGGTCGATTTTACTTCAAGAACATAACTTCACAATTGTTCATCGGAGTGGCAAAGAACACCAAGATGCAGACTTTCTATCTCGTCATCCGATGAAGGACATGCCGGATTCTCCTGACCACGATGCTTGCTTTTGTGCGTCTACATTTAATTTGAACGCAGGCCAGGAACAAGATTGTGAAATCCAGGACATCGTGTCTCGACTTCAAACGACTGACGTACCACCCACGACTAATCGCCTACGTAAAGCGTACCAGGTTCGTGCCGGGTTACTTTGCCATCGCAGTTCCAGCACTAAACATTGGGTGCCAGTTGTCCCTTCTTCACTACGCGGAGCGGTACTGCATCTTTGTCACGATGACCCTACGGCGGGGCATCTAGGCCGTGACAAAACTTTCCAGAAGATATTAGAAAGGTACTGGTGGTCTGGGCTTCGAAAGGACGTGGCAAGCTACGTAGCCTCTTGCTCACAATGTCAGCAACGCAAGTCACCAAATACAAGCAAGCCATGTGAACTTCACCCCATACCACCACCTGAGGCTCCATTCGAGGTGTGGGGGATCGACCATCTCGGGCCTTTTCCACGTACATCAGACGGCAACCGCTACATTCTAGTGGCGGTAGATCATCTTACCAAATGGGTAGAGTTATGCCCCGTGGCCAGTACATCAACCGAAGAAGTCGTGCGGTTCCTTAGAACCCAGCTCCTCCTGCGACACGGAGTGCCACGGATGATCATAACTGATCGAGGTACAGCTTTTACCTCTGCCGTGTTTTCAGAAGAGCTAGCCTCTCAAGGCATAACTCATGCTAAAGCAGCTCCCTACCGACCGCAGACGAACGGGTTGGTTGAGCGAGCTAACAGAACAATTGCTGGAATTCTTTATTCGTACGTAAATGTCAAACACACTGATTGGGACACTTTTGTTCCTTTTGCCGCGTTCGCGATGAATACCGTGAAGCAGTCAAGCACCACTTATACACCATTTCAACTTGTTCATGGTAGAACGGCGGTGCTTCCTCAAGAATGCTCATCATCTGTAGCGTGGCGGAATAGGGGAGACGATTTTGCTGACAATAACTTTCAGCACCGCCTAGATGACGCACGAAAACGAGCAAGAATGGCTATATTACATTCCCAACAGCGTGCGGCATCTCGATACAGCGCTCCTGGCTCAACGCCATGTCTATCTCCGGGTGACTTGGTCCTGGTTCGGAGGGAACAGCGAAAGAAAGGTCGAGCACAGAAACTTCTGCCTAGGTATAGGGGTCCCTGTGAAGTCACTAAGAAAATTGGACCACTAACCTATGAAGTTCGAGATTGGGGAACTTCACGGAAGACCAAGACATTTTCAGCGCATGTGCATCACCTGAAAATGTACATCCCACGCACAAGTGCGCCTCCTTCTTCTCCGGGTCAGTGAATTGTGGGAACCAAAGGGCCGATGAATTGCTTTTTGTGCTGTGATAACTTTTACGGGGGCGGGGGAGAGTGTTAGAGGCCGACGAAGAGGAGGACGAGGAGTAGAATGGTGCCCTAGAGAACGTTAAGTGGCATTCCGTCAGCCGGAACTGAAGTTGACTCCAGTGAGCCTGTAACAATATATATATATCCTATTTGTGTATCCTTGTCTCCCGTGTATCCTTTCTCCCGTGCGAAACGGCGCTGTGCTGTTTGCAGACCGGTGGCGTTGCTGCGTTTCCATAGGAGCTAAGCCTTTTTCTTTCTTTACTTTTTCCTCGGGTAAGTTCGCTCTTCGCAAATTTTACAGAAAAGTAAAATGCACCATCTGTGGGCAACGCTGCACAAAGTCGTAGCGCGATAGGTTAAGAAACCGAATTTTCCGGTCGATTTAAAGAGCCTGCCGTCTCCTTGTTTCACCCTGTAGTATAGCTGGCTTAACATATCGCTACACACATATTTTTCCACTTAAGATAAAGTTGCTCATATATAATTCCTTATTTTATTCGCATATAAATTATAATTGCCTAGGATGGGAGCACAACCACTGAAAGGAATCTTTAAAAAAAATCATATTACAGAAAAAGCTAATGAGAAGCATTCGCTATGATGCAACTGAATTTCCAACAGAAAATATTTGCATTAACTCCGTGCAATGAAAATCATGATTTGTAGATATGCCGCTTATCTACTAGCTCAAAAATTGAAGAAACAAAATCAAAAATCGCTATCTCAAATACCTAGTTAATTTAACGGAGAAAGTGTACAGATATCCGACACGAAGTATGGAACCGTGGGAAGTACCGTTTCTTAGAATAAATTATGTTCACCACGCATTAACATAGTCTTCCGATCAATTTGAGCCAGCTTAGCTCAAAAAAATTGAAATTAACAATATATCAGCGACCACCTTACGCGATGTGTTATTCAACCCTATCGTCAATTGCAGCGGCATATTATTGCATTTACAGTTGCATTCAAGTTTTTGTTTTGTTTTGTTTTGTGCGTATAGTATAATTTTTAACGTCAAGGTTTACGCTTTTTTTTTTTTTTCATTTCAAAACGTGGTCTACTGCTCAGTGCTGCATATTTGGGGAAGGGGCGACCTGTCAAGCTAAAAGAAATAATTACAAAGGAATAATAATTTCCTAATCAAGAAAATTGTCCTTATCTTTGTCCGTAAAAAAACCTTAAAACAACTAAAAAAGGAAACAATGTTTGCAAGTCACAAACTACGCCATGAAAACACACAGTGTAATTAACGAAGAAACAGTTAGGCCGCAAACAAGCTGGTGACGGTTTAACATTTTAGGCAAAACCCCGAGACTGGGGTGTAATTAAATATCAAATTTACGTCGAATTACAATTATAGGGAAAGGAACACACAAAACAAAAGAACACAGAAATTACGTTTCTTAACTAACCTTATTTATTTTTTTTATTTTTTTTTTAAGAACGTACGGGCAATGATCTACGAGATGTTGCGCGCCGAAGGAACCAATTGAGAAGATGATAACCCGTGCACAAGGACCGAGAGAAAAGCTTCGCTTGGTAGGACATCTAGTAAGTCTCGTTTAATGACGCAATTCGTACGGTTTAGTCGCGAGGCAGGCAGGACGCACGCAGTGAGAAGTAGTATCACGTCTTATGAAACTAAATTATTGATTCTCAAATGAAACGAGCTCGATCTTGTTTTCACTCACCACTTACCAGGAAAAACCCGCCAAGACACCCGAGCCACGTTCGGTGAGAGAAAAACTAAATTCGGGCAGACCCAACTATGTTTTTGTCTACTCAAGGCCCGAAACTGGAATAAGGACACAAACGGAAAATTTGGAAATAGAAGCAAAAGACACAGGCGAGTCGTCTTCTCCGGTGCCTTTATCTTCAACTTCAAAGTTTCCTATTTTTCCCTCACCAGAGTCTCGAGTTTTGAACTTGATGGTTCGTGATTACTCTTACATCACCCCGGTAGCGCGAATCAATTTCCTAAATATAAATTTACACAGTGAGGGCCGAGAGTCAAACTCTGGCCCAGCGCGAAAGGTGGGCTCTGCGACGGCCCAGGGCTGCGGCTCCTGCTGAACGTGGAGCCCGAGGAGTACCTGCCGCTGTCCGTGGAGGCCGGCTTTGTGGTGAACGTGCACCAGGCGGGCGTCCAGGTGGACTTCCGCAGGGACGGCGTCTTCGTACCTCCCAGGCACACCACCTTCGTCAGCGTGGACCAGGTCGGGCTGCCCGCACTACAATGCATATACGGTCTTCCGTTTTCGGGTTTTACATTTCTCAAAATTCGGGGAGTAAAAATGTGGCGCTTTGTTCCGTGTCTGGTAATCGGAAAGAAATCGGGTTTTTCAGGCAGACGAAAAGACAATAGAAAACCAAATTAATTAAATATTTAATGGGGTGAACGTTTGCCAGGAACGAAAAAGAACACACGTGGAGAAAACAGTAGCGAGCATCGACGGCGGTGGCAGCAAGCGACGGCACGTCGGCGTAACAGCTGGATAACGCGAGAGAGAATCAATGAATGAATCGGCGTTGCGGCCCTCAGCTCTTTGTCTACTATGCTCGTCATTTCGAATGTTCGACCTAGGATGTTCGGGAAAGAACTTGAGCGAGACTGACTAAGCAAGGTCATTCTGGCCTCCTTATCGTTTGCGCTCAGAGTAAGAGTGTACACGAATCTTCTAGATCAGGGGTGGCCAGGCTGACCCGGCGTAATAGCCACGAACAAAACCACTAAACTTCCAAGAGCCGCCTGGGAGATGGAAGGCAGAAAAAAAAAAGAGGGGGGGTTTCAAGCTTTCGTTCAGAGCAATAAATGAAACTATTTTAGGTCTATCCGAATCAAAAGCAGTCCGACCGTACGTAGGGTAGCAGTAGCACAAGACTACCAAACCGGAACCGGTCTTTCAATTTAAAATGCATTCCATTTCTATTTTCGGGGAAGTGCTCATGTGACCAAGAAAGAGGCGGGGGGAGGGGGGGGGGGGTTAGGGGGTGAGGTTTACTAGGGAGCCGCGAGCCACAATTTAGCACGTAAAGAGCCGCAGCTAGGCCACCCCTGTTCTAGATGAACGAGGAAGCGTATCTTCTTGATCATGCATGTTGCGTTACTTCCCCCTTTAAAAGCGCATCGCCCCGATGCAACACAAAAAAAAAAAAAATGGTGAGCTAAAACGTCCTCTGAAAAACGAACAGTCCTCAGTGCTACCGAGCACAGAACGGTTTTAGTCGAACGATGTGAACCACCTCGGGTCGTGGTCGACGCCGTGATGATGTTTGCATTCCATCGGGCACCACTTCGTAGTTGGCCTCTCCGAAGCGACAAAGTGCCTTGCACGGTCCAAAGAACCGTTTCAACAGTTTTTCGCTGAGGCCACGAACACGATGCCGTCCAGCGAACACCTTTTTGATTTGCCGGTTTTCAGTTTGTTCACGTGGTCTTGATTGCGTCTTCCCCTCGTATAGGTCTTGGCTGTGGTGAACCTCACCGTCATCCTTCACCGAATTGTTTCCGAAGTATTTTTCAGATGTTTGAAAAGGCAATCCCCTCTTTTCCGACGCCACCGCAGTCAGGACTGCAGACAATGGCGGGGCGGCGGGTGTCGGCAGGCGACGCGGACCGGAACCGCTGGCCAGTGCCGACAAGACCGACTCTCTCAGAACTGCTTTGTAGCAGGAACCGCCGCAGAAAAAAGCGGAAGACGAAAGCTCGAGCCGTAGGCCTGAATAGAAAATGAGTGAATCCCCAAACACCCTGCTTGGCACGACTCTTTGGGTGATTTAACTTGTAGGCGGAGCCTAGGCGTGCATTCACGAAACGCTTATGAAAGGAAATTCAAGCCACAAAGTGTTGGCAACTTTTCTGCGTAAGTCGTTTCGATCTAAGGCCACCGTCTGGTTGCAGACAATTCTGAAGAGGTTGGAGCCGCCGTACATGAACCCGTGTCAGCCGTCTTGGCCAGAGGAGTACCTGCAGCACACCCGGCCCGGGAGGGATGTGTACACGAGCAGAGTAAGTCTCCCCTTGCGTCTAGATTCAGCATGAGTGTATTGGCAGACAACGGAAAGTTCCTGTGCTTCAAGGGGCGCCCTGTAGCTGAGAGATTTAGCGAGCGCAGTTCGACCGCTACACAGGGGTCTCTGGCTTGCATCACGCCGACACACGAATGCATGCCGGTACAGTGCTCGTCCAGGGCCGCTAAACTCGTCAAATACAAAGTTGGGGCCGATGTTCGCGGAGCAGCGGATTGGGCTCATGATGATGGCATCACGCGGGACGAGATGTCAATCATCCAAACTCGCTCGGTACCACGGTGTAAGCTCGGTACTCAAGTTCCAGCGAGATTGTGAAACACAAAGTTGTAGCGAGCTTCAACACCGTGGGGCCCGCCGATTGAACGACTGCACTGATGTCGCGCTCGCGTGTCCCTACATCCGTACGCCACTCCCTGCCAAGGGCCGCTCCACTGTACCCGCTCATCTCATGCTGCGTCACCATTTGCTTCCTAGGGCCGCTCGAAACACAGGCCACTGGCGCACTTGCAAGACAAACGCAAACACATCGAGAGGCTTTACTCTATGAAACACAGTTCACACCCCACCCCTTCCCATTTCAATCTGGATGAGCATCGTACCTGCGTACCGTCGTGTATCACTACTCCAGGCTAGCGATTGTACTGCACTGGCTAAATTTCTCGTCCACAGCTGGGAGACAAGTCGCCCGTTAAGGCAAAGTTTCTAGGCTGTATAGACATACCATACCTCGGCAAACCTCATTCATGAGGGCCCTCACTAACCCTCATCTTCACGGTCGAAATGAGGGTGAATGAGTTTCTGAACCAGAAAAATTCATGAGAGTGAGGGTGAGTGAGGGCCGTGAGGGCTGTGAGGGCTGTGAGGACCATGAGTGCGTGAGGGCCGTGAGGGCGGTGAGTTCGTGAGGGGCGTGAGGGGTGTGAGGACCATGAGTGCGTGAGAGGCGTGGAAGCGGTGATTGGCGTGAGGAGCGTGAGGGCCATGAGTAAGTGACTGGCGTGAAGGGTATGAGTGCGTGAGGGGCGTGAGTGCGTGAGTGGTGTAAGGGCTATGAATGCGTGAGGGGTATGAGTGCGTGAGGGGCGTGAGGACGGTGAGTGCGTGAGGGCCATGAGTGCGTGAGGGGTATGAGGGCCGTGAGGGCGGCGGGTGCGTGAGGGGCGTGAGGGCCATGAGTGCATGAGGGGCGTGAGGGCGGTGAGTGCGTGAGGGTCATGAGTGCGTGAAGGGCGTGGGGGCGGTGAGTGGCGTGAGGGTCACGAGTGCGTGAGGGGCGTGGAAGTGGTGATTGGCGTGAGGTGCGTGAGGGCCATGAGTAAGTGACTGGCGTGAGGGGTATGAGTGCGTGAGGGGCGTGAATGCGTGAGTGGTGTGAGAGCTATGAGTGCGTGAGAGGTATGAGTGCGTGAGGGGCATGAGGACGGTGAGTGCGTGAGGGGCGTGAGGGCCATGAGTGCGTGAGGGGTATGAGGGCCGTGAGGGCGGTGAGTGCGTGAGGGGCATGAGGGCCATGAGTGCATGAGGGGCGTGAGGGCGGTGAGTACGTAAGGGTCAAGTGTGCGTGAAGTGCGTGAGTGGCGTGAGGGCCATGAGTGCGTGAGGGGCGTGGAAGCGGTGATTGGCGTGAGTGCCATGAGTAAGTGACTGGCGTGAGGGGTATGAGTGCGTGAGGGGCATGAGTGCGTGAGTGGTGTGAGGGCTATGAGTGCGTGAGGGGTATGAGTGCGTGAGGGGTGTGAGGACGGTGAGTGCGTGATGGGCGTGAGGGCTATGAGTGCGTGAAGGCGGTGAAAGGCGTGAGGGCCATGAGTGCGTGAGGGGTGTGAGCCGTGAGGGCGGTGAGTGCGTGAGGAGCGCGAAGGCTATGAGTGCGTGAGGGCCGTGAGGTTCAGTGAGGATGAGTGAAGGACTGAAGGCGAGTTTGACTGTGAGGATGAGGGTGAGTAAGGGGCTGAAGGTGAGTGTAGCTGTGAGGGTGAGGGCGAGTGAGGGGCTTAAGTGAGTGTGGCTTTGAGGGTGAGGGTGATTGAGGGCGACCCAAATTGCCGACCTCTAAAACATACACACACCCCAATTTTTCTTCTATGAAACACACAGTTATGAAACGAAAATCTAGATGGCGCTTGAAACGACGGGAGGCGGACTGAAGTGAATAAGGGGGTACCCCCTTCCGCGGGAGTTCCACAATTGAAGTAATCTAGTAACGTTGGTTGCTCCTGATAATCTTTGTCGTGATGTCACGCCTATGAACTACGTTATTTTTTTACAAAAAAAAAAAAAAACAAACAAAAAAACTAGGCATCGCCGAACGCTCCTTCTCAGCCCAACGGTAGCGCTAGAGGTCCGAACCAGATGCTAAAGTTTCAGCCCGATCCAATACCTTATTCAAACGTTATAAGTGATTTTCTGACTATTACAATCGGAAAATGGCGGCCGATGGAGTTTTCGAATGCATGGGGCTCTATGGAGCCAGAAACCGAAAACGAGCAAAAATAGGCTCCATATTCCCATTGAAAGTTTCAGAAAATCACTATAATATAACTTTTGAATAAGATAATATCCATTCGATCTGGAACTTTAACATCTAGTTCAGACCTCTAGCTCTACCTTCGGGAGGAGAAAAAGCGTTCGGCGATGCGTAGTTTCTTTTTTCGGTAAAAAAAAAAAAAAAAACCGTGTAATTTGTTTGGGGGACACCCTGTACATACGTGATCTGACCCGACAGGCGTGCCGGGACATCTGCGCGCAGTTGAAGGTGACGGCAGCCTGTGGCTGCCAGTCCCACGACTACGTCATCCTCGACCGGAGCCTGGCCGACATCTGCGACGAAGACGACGATAATGCTAGTAAGTCCCGCACGCTGCCCTCTGGGCTCCCGAAAGGAGCGTTGGACCACGCGGGACGAGTTGATATCCAAAACTTTCTGGATGCCCAGTTCTGCTACTGCGGGGCGCTTGGGGAAGTTCGCAACCAAACCAAAGCCCTCCATCCTTGGAAAAGGGACGCCATTCATTGTTGTGGAAATACTCGAGACACGTGCCGCGCGCCACTCCTGGGAAGAACATGGCGTCTGATATGTGTACTCGTTTTCACCTCAAGAACCGTAGCAAAACAAGTCCGTCTCCTCGCGAAGCCTTACTAATTTTCCCTATTTATATGGATAATTAAGATATATGTAGGTGAATTTTAGAATACATATATGTTATGAAGACGTACACATTCCAAGCGCCGACAGCATCGGTTTTTCCTCTAACAACCAAATCTCGTAAGAACTACATCGCATCGCGTATGAACAATACGCAAAACTTCTTTTTTTCTTGAGGTGAAAACGGGTATAGATCACTGCTGCCATAGACTCCTCTATACTGACAAAGCCTGGCTGGTCATCACGAGATCGCCAGGAGACGCGGCCGCGAAAATTGAAAAGGTAGAGCGGCAGACAAGGGATGAGAGGAAAACCACGTGACAAGCACCCCGCTGTGGTGAGACGCCGAAACACAGTTCTCCCGAGCGATGGAATGTCCCCTCGTGCTCCTCGCGTTGCCCGCGCTACCGCTTCTTTTCTTGACGCGTTTGAAAACCATGTTTCGGGTCCTCGCCGCTGCAAAAGCTGTGCGCTGACGTCCAGGTTCCCCGAGAAATGCCCTGTGCTACCAGATCCTCGCGCTCCAAATCTGCGACCGGGCACTCTATGGCTCCGTTGGCGAACTGCCAGGCTTTGTGAGTACAGAGGAGGCTATGGCCGGACGAGAGGATGCAACGAGAGCAAGTCAGGACGAGATAACGCCAACGCGCTTTCCGAGCTTTCGATTGATATGCGGGTATAGCATAGGAAACGAAAAAGCCTTTATGCAGCGCCGCAAAGTCATAGCGTGACGAAATACTCCTGCCACGGCCATGTACTACATGGTGCGCGCTTGGGCTTTATGGTCACACGGTTGGTATGTTCGAGTAAAAATACAGTGTCGACAACAAGCAGATGGTGTATCACGCATTATTTAATCGACTCCCTAAAATAGCTCGCACCGAATCCCAAAGGAGTATTAGCTGTAGTAACAAGCTCCTTGACTAGCATCAATGTCGATGATTAAATTCGGTTAAGCATCGATTCTAATTACCAGTAGCGGCTAAAATAGAACAAATAACGGGAAGAACCGCATAGGACGAAGAGAAAGCTCAAGAGCGTGGTGATACCGTTTTGTGGATACCCCATTCACACGGTCAACATAAAGGTACCTTTAACATAGGTCCCTTTGCTATCGGCGAGTCAGCCTGTGCTCTTGAGTCGCGAGCACACGCCACGCGCGGAAGATCGTTAATTAATTGGCCCAAGATAATAAAGGTTTTTTTAGCTAAAGGTACCTTTACGGTCGTGTGAATGCGGTATTAGAACACTAACGCAAGTGCGGGTGAAGGCCGTGACAAGGACGAGCATTAGGGCCGACTTTTTTTGCATATCTGGAAGGTCGGAGCTCTGCTTGGAGTTTCTGAGGTTTCCTGTGTGCCTTGCTCGCAGACGCCTGCATCGAGGGAGTGGCGTCCAAGATCTGTGGCTCTGATTGCCCGTGCCTCGAGAGCTGCAGGTGAGCTCGGCCGCCCGTAGGCCGCTCAGCGTGTAGGGGACATGCGGGTCAAAACACAATCCTTTGCAAAAAAAAAAAAAGAAATGATTTTTGGTTTTTTTTTAATGTATATAAAAAAAAGAGCGAATATGGTCGCGAATTTTTTTCAAATATTCACCTCATGGCGACTCAGAAAGGCTTACGTACGAGACAGGTTCGTGCGAGTGGGTGTTCGAATTCTGGCGACCCTCACAAGTATTTTGAGAAGCCCATCTCTTCTCATTGGCACTATTTTGTAGCTTCAGCCTCTCACGAAAAATAATATCGAAACATTTTTTAAATATCTAAGAAACTTTTGTTGGCCCTTTGAAAATGGCGTTAATGCGATTTTTCATTATTTAAAACAAAAGAATTCTCGTGCATATTATCTTTGTTTGCTCATTTCACTCAGTCGTTAGAAAGGAGCGAATTAACTAGTCTATTTTACTGGGCTCTTTTAAGTGTGTTGCCATGCACCAGGTGTAAGCGAGAACAGTCTTTTTTTATTTGGCTTGTTAATTGCATTTGGAACATAAATAACAAACAACTTAAACACACCAGATTTACTAAAAGAAGATTAAGCACTAAAAACTAAAAACAGTTATTTCAAACAATATAAGAAAACGTTTTCCCCTGGCGGATGCCACCTTAAGGCCTAGAAGGCGCGTCTCCGACTGGTCTGTTTAGACTCGATCCTATGTGTAGTGTTTTTAGCCTCCTATTCCGCCCATGCATTCAAAGTGGTCCCGACCAGGGATAGGCAGTATCGCGATACTTTAGGGGCCGGTGTGTCTCGTTACATTTTCCAAGGAATCGCTGTCCTCCGAACAACAGTTCAAGATGACTTCTTTTCTTTAGAGGCTTGAGCGTGGTGTGAAGGGCGCACTGCGGTTTTGTTATTGTGCAAACTTGTCCCCATCTGTACTGACCCACTTCTTACTTGAACATCGACTGTTCATGAAGGTTAGAAAAACTGCAGACGCTGCCGGCACACCCAATCAAAATATAAGAGAATAATGTTTCATTTTATCGTGACGTCATAAGATCGGTTTAAAAGGGGTGCTCAGATTGGACAAGGGCGTGCTTAAATCTTATTTATATGTTTATTTATTTATTTATTTATACTGCAATCCCTCGATAGGATCTTCGCAGGTGAGTACAGTGGTAAAGAAGATACGACAAACTGGCTAAAAGAACAAAAATTAAAACAAGTTGCAGTACACTCATTTAAATTAAATGCAAATATTGACAACGATGGCTGCATAACAACACTCTCATCGAGGTCATTCCATGATCACTTATTGTTCCTGGAGTTATTGTTAGAGCATCCCTTTTTCGAGTAGCATATCATGATTAGAAAGTGACTAATTCGAAAAGGTCTACCCTTTGATGCCACTTAATTAATTGGTGTACCACGTTTAGATAAGAATGCCGATTTCTTTCAGACAAGGACAGTAAATTAGCTTTGGTTAAAAGTTCGGTTATTAAAAGTTCGGTTAAAAGTTTTTATTATTATTTTATTATTTCGGGATGATCATGGCACATATTCAGCCCCCTCGAAATGGCCGTCAAAAATAAACGGGACCGCGATTTTGTTTTTTTTTAATCTCTAAGACGTTTTGCTTTTCATTACACGACAGCGATAAAGTGGTCGAAGTCGCGAAATACAAACAAAAATTATGACTAGCGGTAGATGTCGTGCTTTATACAATAATAAGAACTAGCGAATAATAGAAATACAATATCGACTTTGGTGCTCAAAACAATCGAGGAAAAGTGATTCCTGATAGCAAGAAAAACAAAAGTCGGCGTGGAAAGCGGTGTCATTATGTTCGAGTGAAGGGCGCTGATCATCCTCCTGTGTCGGTTGCAGGAGCGTCACGTACGGCAGAACCGGCAGCTCCCTCCGCTGGACCGGCGACGTGGTGGGTGTTGGCACACGCTCCCCGTTGGATTCATTTGGACGAACGCGACACTGCGAGCGCGGGCGAGGCTTTTTTCTTTACCAAGTCATCGAAACGGCTGTGGGAAGCGCTCGGTTTAGCGGTAGATGCCTGCCCTTCCAAGTCTTTATATATTGCCCGGACGTTGAAGGGTCAAATAAGTGTCGCACGGTTTACTTCTTCTTAGCGATGCAAAGGGTAGAAAAGTGGAAGAGAGTCAATCGTGCGCTCGCTCGGGGCGAGCCCGTCAGTGACTCGCGCGAATGTTCGTGAATACGGCTGACGTAATCACTGTTCGCGCTAATCAAGTTACAGGTGAACATCACCGGAGTACCCTTCTTGCCGCAATCTAAAGCAACCCGAGAAGCGAAACGTTTTACGCCACCAGCGACTCGATGAAAGTTCGTATCCTTCGGCTGATCGGCGAATTAGCTCGCGATCCTGGCTCTGCGCGTGTCAGGGGCTACCTTTTTCTAGCTGCCGCGGACAAGTTCGAGGCGCGAGCATTCTTAGGTACCGCCTTTGTGATTACTCGCATCTGCACAGAAGTATCAGAAGTGACATCGAACAAGTTATTAATGAGCGTTTCAGTATATTCTGCTGGTGCAGTCAAGCAATAGATCCGCGGTTAGGAACCCCGTACAAGCACCGCCTCCAGCACGCATCGTTGCCTGCCGCCGGGTTTGAGCTGCGCGTCTTGGGTTGGCGCCCGAGGCGCCTTTGGCTGGCTCGTTCCATACCAAACGTCTCAAACGGTCATACCGACTATGTTGGGATTGTTCTTTCGTTTGATGCAAGAGTTCATATCATGTAACAGTGTTTTTTTTTCTAGAATAAACACGCACACACACGAAAAAAAAAAAAAAAAAGAACGGTCGACTTCGGAAATATTTTCAAACTTTATCTGGGCTGGGCTGTCGACGTATTTTACGCTTAAAATTATTTGAGAAGGATAAAGCAAACAGGTTTCAAAAAAATAGACCTGAAAGTTACCAAAAAATAACTTTTCCTGGAGATTCAGACCCAAATTAAGCATTGAGGCCCTCCTCATAAAAATGTGCGGGATGACTTATTGAGTGCACCAGCTTGTTACCTTGTAACTAAGAAAATTTTATCAAAGTAAGTTTTGTTTTGGGGAGAAAAAACAATTGCAGCGACGTAATTGATCTCTGTGGTACCGTACTGCGCTTTGTCCTAGGTCTAACACCCTAAGGGTGTTAAAGCAACAATCTTGGGATACTGGCGAACACTCTAAAATAGGGTACTGAAATCTTAGCAGCACCCTAGAGATATTTTTACGAGAAACAAGTGTATACAAAGAGCACGCCCCACAGACGGTTGCATATTCACAAAATTTTTAAATACAGTCACAATCACGAATTCTGGAACACCCATTTAACACCCTTAAAAGACACATGCTAAGGAATTTTATTTCAACAACCTAAATTTTAAAAAATAAACACAATAAAATAAATTTACAACGAAAAAAAAAATTGAAGCTATGTCTACGGCGCGAAACGAGTTCGTAGTTGACGCCCGCGGGAACTCGCGGAAAAGCGGCTACTAGAGTCACGTGACTGGCCACTATTGTCACGTGGTGCTTGCACTCTATCGGGAACTTCCTATGCGCTCTAAAAGTCGTTTATTAATTTTTGTTTTAAGTGCACAAAACAAAAACAAAAGCACGAGGATAAATAAGTAACTTTAAGAACCTATGGGTATCTCCCCAAAGAGCGCAAGCACCACGCGATAGATCTGTGCACCGGTGAGAAATTGAAGGCGGCGGCGCGCCGGAGCGTTCCCTTTTGAAGTTCGTAGATAAGGGCTTCCTACAAGTAGTGACATTCTTTGAAGCGTCGACTGCGTGACGGTGGAGGCTTTAGGAAGCGAATGGCGGCGCACAGCAGAAGACTGAACTGTATGACTCCATTTTGTTCCAGCGGAATGTGCTTTGTCATTTTTATTGGTTGTAGTTAAAGTGTAAAATGCAGTATCCAGGGACTTTATTCATCTCTAAAACCCCTTGATAAAGGCCTTTTCGCAAGTACCGCCAACCATTGTTTTAGAAACGCGCAAGACACGTGCAACAAGCGGGTGCTCCGCCGCCATTCGCTTCTGGGCCGCTCATTTCAATGCTGGGCCGCCATTTGCTTCCACGGGCCGCTTGAGACACAGGCCTTGTACACCGGCCCATTTGACGCTACTTGCAAAACAAACACAAACACATCGAGGGGCTTTATTCCCTTTCGGCGGCGGCGTGGAGAAAAGTGGCTAAAAATGATAATGATAATGCGTTTTCTTTTTTTTTAGATGTTTTCATTTTTTAACTGAATAAGATTCGTAAAAATGCGGGACATGGCCGTAGTTGGGGGACCTGAGACGAACGAGCTGCGCCTCAAAATGGCGGAGTTTTGGAGAGGGCATAGAAACTTGTGCGGAACATACCCGCACAACCTGACAACAATGCACTTATTTCACCTGATCGGTTGTCCTTTGTGCCAGCTGCAGCAACCTGGTGCTTCCGAGGACAGCGAGGGGTATGTATTCACTTCCCTTAAATTGCTTTTGCCGCAAGGAACTGGCTCGCACGACAGCGTTTCCGCTGTGTTGCACTGCGATATTTTTGACGTGGAACTACGTCGTTCTCCTCGCTTGGAAGGGGGTTCAAAGTTGGAAGATCAATGTCACGAAAACTTGGTCACGGACGTGACGTCACACAGATAACACCGGAGCGCCGACCGATCGCCGCGCTCCCTGACGGCGCGCCCTTCTGCCGAGAACCGCGCAGTGCGCACGCGCGTTCTTTTAATGCCATAGCATACTTTAGCTACCTTCCTCTCGAATTTCTTGGCCTTTCTGGCCTCCTAATGCGCAGTATGGTATGCGCAGTAGACCATTTCAACTCACAATCTCGCACTCCCTCACATTCGCACCCTCTTCGAAGGATCTGACGGCCTTAATGTCGTCCTCGACGTCGTCCTAGAGGTAGTCTTAGAGGTCGCCCTTAAGATCGCCCTAGAGGTCGTTCTAGGAGTCGTCCTCGACGTCGTCCAAGACGTTGTCCTCGAGATTGCCCTATAGAGTAGTGTTGCCAGATGGTCCCATCAAAAAACCGCCAAACGACTGGAAGGTATAGCCCAAATATAGCCAAAGCCGTAAAACAAATATAGCCCAAATTAGCCAAGACTAAAAACAATGATTTTTAAGCCTTATATTGACAATTTCTCACACTCATATAATACACGTTACAGTCTCTGTTCCAACCCTCAGATGCACCACCTTTTGTGTACATTATGTTACTTGTGAAGTTTTCAAAAAAAGCTTCGGAAGGATGAAAATTTGCACAAAACTGGCCCTTTCCTCGTATGTTTTCAGAAGTACAAAACACGCTAAGACGGCTTTATTGTGAGCCCGGGAGATATATGATCATACAGTAAAAGAACAAATATACAGAAGCAGAACTGTCAGAAGAACACAGGGTGTTTCTTTACCAATATCCCACCCGTCTCTTTTTCTTTGTGAAGAATATTAATGTCACCTCTTCATGCTCATGCTATTTCTGATTGTGTTGTCCGTTCTTGGGGTGGGCAACGACTAAAAGGTAGTCAACTGTTTACCGGCGAAACTGCGGACTTTTCATTTCTACAAACTTGGATGCCTAAGGATTCTCGCAATTGGAATCAAAGCAGCATTTGGAGAGTTCAGTCTACGTCCGGGCAAAGCCATATGCGTCCGGGTTGAAGGCGCGCTACTGGGCCTGTGGTAATAGTGCAATCTGCTTGGTTTGCTCCACTGTGCTGTAAAGAGACCGCTTGAACTCTACAAGCGTTGCTTCACTGTGCATTCTTAACACCCCGAGGTTTGTAGAAGTTTGAAGCCTTTTTCCTTCCTCTCGACTAACCAAAAGTGATTTTTTTTTCCAAGCTGATTAAAAGTTTGAAAATTAACTAGGTTCGACAAAAGTTCGCCGCATTCTTAGAAATAGCCCAAAATAGCAACATAGCCAACCACAAAATTTTGACGCCAACTAGAAAAAAATGTAGCCCAATTTGGCTATAAATAGCCCAATCTGGCTACACTGCGAGGTCGCCCAATAGGTCGTCCTGGATGTCGTCATAGACGTCGTTCCTGAGGTTGTCCTAGGTGAATGCTATCGCAATTCATAGGCAACTAACAATATTGGTTTCTGCAGCAATTTCTTCTCTGCTGGCTTGGTCGTTTGTTCGCTTCAACGCGATGCACTCCTGTCTAGTTGATTGTCTGACTGATTGGTTTCTGCAGCCGTAATTTCGCAATCTACTCTCATCGCTCTGGATAGCCGCCCGAGTGGCGGAGCTCGGCAAAACATTGCCTCCCCCGCCCCCCCCCCCCCCCCTCTCGTTTCTTCTGCCACCCACACGTAGTTTTACGGAAATTTATGGCGGCATCTAGACCTATTCACCGACAAATGTTTTGTTTGTTCTTCTGTCCCAATCGTTGTAAGTCTTTCGCTGCACAACTGGCAAGTGTAGCCGAAGCGTTTCTTTAGCGACCCGATCCAATGCTCCGCAGACCTCCCCGAATCCTCGGAGACAATGAGTGCGCCCTGTATCGTCCACTTCCTTGTCCTCTCCTATTTTATGTTTTTTTTTTTGTTTTTTTTTTTGTTTTTTTGCGCTTTTTTAGGTCGTGTGCAAAATAGCACGACTTTCCTGCTCGCCTCCTCTTGTCGTCTCCTCCCTTGTTTTCGGGGGGTTGGGGTTTGACTGCAACAGCGAAGGCCTTGACTAAAAGCCATCAGAGCGTGTGAGTGGCTACGTCCTGCCCTACGTCATGAGCACGCTTTAGGGATTTGTCTAAATACATGCCGTACTCTGCGTGGACCTCTTAAGGCCTGCCCGACTGGCATGGCCTTGCTGTTTGTCGCGACTGCTTTTTCTTTTTTTTTAGCTAGGGAGTTCTGCTTTTTTGCCGATTTCGGGCGTTTTAAAGGGCTTTTGAGTATCCCACACTTCGAGAGCATGTGCAACCGCATGGCGAGCCCTCTAGAGTAGCATAGAGACGGCCGGAAGCGTCGGGGCGCCCGAGTGCTCCTCCGGAGTCCGCTTTGATGGATAAAACGCACTGCCAGCCCTTGGCGCAGACGATCTCGGCTCCCGGGCGACGACAGCAGATAGGGCTTCCTCCTCACAGGTCTCCCGTCCTCGCCGAGGTGGTGGTGCACCTGGCCAGCACGCAGAGGAGGCTGCAACGTCACGACCCCAAGGTCACGGTGAGTTCAGCCGTCTCCACGGGTCTCGACGTCCTCCCGTTTGGGCACTGCGAGTGTTGCGAGAAGCGACCGTCGCTATTGCAGGAGACCCGGCGCCGTGAGGCGTGCGACCTTCGTCCAGGTTGGCGCCGCTGTGTGCACTTCGATAGCCTTAGGAAGCGCGCGCGTTTGCACTGCACAGTCGTCGTCTGCTGGTCGACAGCTGCTTTAAAGCAGCGCTCGTGTCATAAAAAAAGAAAAGCATTTCCGCACTGTCTAGCTTGCACAAATTCCAAGGTGCGAGAAATGTCCTGCTTGTCAGACCCGAGTTCCACATTTAACGAGCGCAAAGTCATGTGTTCAAAACTCGATGCTCCACGAAGACTTCTGCCCCGGTTTGGATCGTTTTGGTGCCACGTAACCCCTTCTCCGCCTATCAAGAGTTGGCGAGGAAAGGAGGGCGATACTCAGCATGTGGACACGGAGTGCCTCCATCGGCCGTCTCTGGAATTGACTCGATGCAATGACGCCCCGAACCGCGACAAGCGCCTATTCGAAGCACGCTGGAGCCGCGGGGAAGTGCCACTCGGACGCATCGAGTCTTTAGAGGGGCACAAACCTCCTTTCCAGGGCCTGGCTCCTATCGAATGCTGCCGTGCCACGGGCGTAGCATGTTTTCCTCAAGATAAATACTTTCGCGAAAAACTTCTTTTTTTTTTCTTTCTATAATGAAATTTGTAAAAACATTTCAGGGACACGTTATGTTCTTTTTGTGACTCGTCTCTGACTTGCGGGGTCCGTCTCCCATCGTGAACAGGTTTTTGCCCCGGCCGAAAGAACCCGATCTCGGTTGCCTGAAAGTAGGGAGTAAAGTAAAAAGCAATAAAATTATTCAGTAGCCGGTCCATAGGACGGTTAATGCAATTAACGAATAACCGATCGTGCAATCAGCAATTAATGAGGACGGTTACAGTAATAAACGAAGGACGCGTAATCTCCGCGTGTGGAAGTGCAACGACTTCGTAGAAGGGCTGAACCGAGCGGACTCTTTGGCGTACGCAGGTGCCGCAACTGGTTAGTAGCATCGGAAGCATCTTGGGCATGTACGTGGGCATGTCCTTCCTGCTCGTCTTCAGCGTGCTCGACATGGCCGCCAGGGCCGCCTTCATCGGCGCCCGCCGCCGCCACACTCGCTCGCTCAGATGGAAACTCTGAATCCAGCGGAAGCCGTACGCCGACCAGATAAACTGCTTTTTAACCAAAAACTACAATAAATGTGGGTTTTTTTTTTTCATGTTGGAAGCGTGATTGAGATATGGCGTTCGCGAAGTCACCGACTCGAGTGCGTGTGGGGGGCCGATTCAGGTCAGCCGGCAACCGCTGGGGCGTCGAAGCGCGTAGGGCGTTCGTGAGAAACCCCTCGTCTTCGAGTCCACCCTTAGTTTTCTTAAAGGCGAAGAACAATCACCGGACCCGAAGACCCGATCCTGCGTGCAAAGAGCCACCGGGAACGCACGAGCGAAAAAGCGGGCGACTGCCTTTCCGGGAAGTTGGGCGGTGACGTTAGGAAGTTTTAGAATTGAGTACGCAAAAAATGCAGAGCGCAAGTTCGTTTGCTTCTTTTGCAGGAATTGCGGTGACGTCAGAACGTCGAGCTCTGATTGGTTGGGAAGGAAAGATAGTAGGCAGACCTTGAGGCAGCTTGCTTTGAAGTCTACCCACTCTCCTTTAATGAGAGCCAATCAGAGCTCAGCCTCTTTCTGACGTCACCGCAACACCGACTGCGCATGCGCCTGACGCTAAACGCGTTTTGTGCTCTGCGTGCCCTATTTTAGCGTAAGCTGTTTTCTTTTTTATTGCGTGCGTACGCAAAGAGTCTTTGTGCTCCTAGAGGTGTATTCACGCTGCGGACAAATTAGGGGAACCAGGTCCGCGGGCCAAAGAAATGTGCGTATCACGTCGTGACGACGTCATTACGGAGAAATCCACAGGTCCGCGGTTAGTCCGTGGACCTGGCTCTCAATCCCATGGTTACCGCGGACCGAAGTGAGGACTGCGAGTCCGAGCTCGTAGCTTCGGTTGCTGTATGTGCTACCAAACAAGTTCAGCACCTCTCAAACTCGTGACCTTACGCCCATAGCTTTCGCTGCACTCCAAGTTAAAAAAGAACCACCAGGCAGCGCACGGGACACTGGATTTAGCGTCTGGACAATCTGCCACTGAAGAATTGACAAAGATAAAGGGTCCCCAGCGACGTTCTTTCTAATTCTACTCGGGGAAGAATTTTTTCAACTGCAGTGCCCCCAATACGATCAGTAGCGGAACAACGATATAAAATGCCAACTCTGGCCTCAGCGAAGAAAATCAGCGGTTGCTTCTTCCGTTATGGGCCTTACATGGCAGGTGAAATCATTGAACGCTGACTGATTCATGTGAACTCGTCGTGCCTTATATTTCAGAAAACGTAAAACGTTGCTTTAAACA